GCAAATCAGAAAACACAATCACTTCCAAATGGCAACCCAAGGGTCTGAAGGTACCATCGCATTTCGTTCAATCAGAATTGGAAATAGCGGACAATTTGATGTGCGTCAAAATTCTAAGTTGCTGTAACTGGGAAGAGTAATAGGCTATGGAGCGATTTTTGCATATATAATTTGTGAAAACTCATAAGCATGGGACACTATCTTATGACACTTTGGCAAGTAGGCAGCCATTTTGAAAAATGGCTTCTAACTTAGTGTGTGTTATTTTGCATATTAACTCGAAAAGTAGTTGACCTATTTTTTCACATTTGATATGTTGATACTCATAAGCATGGCACATTGGCCAGGTGGCCATTTTGAAAAGTGGCCTCTATTTTAAAGTCTAATTTTACTTTTTTACTAAAACGTGAAGTAGTTGAACGATTTTGAGATCAAAAGTTCGATGGGATTTGCTCCACCTCGCGTTGCTGTTATCTAGTTCTGAAATGTTTCATATCTATGTCTAATAAATATAGTTGTATAGATGTGTTTGTAATAACCTTTATGCCCTTAAAATGTATATATTCAGGGGGGGGGGCATTCGTGGGTTCAAGTGGACCACTCCATTGGCCAAATATTCTCTCAAAACCAGTACAATTTTTCACGATTCTGAGCATTTTCAAGATTTCTGGGCCACTTGAAAATTGTCAAATGTTCACCCCTTGATCCTTTTGAAAAACTTAAATTGGCAAAAGCTGGTTATACGAACCTGATATGACCTAGCTTGCAAACTTTTTCTTGACTTTGTGTTTATTTTCCTTGTACCCTTGCATGCTACAATGTGATGGGAAAAGCACAAATATTTTTACTGAGGAGGTAAGAAACGTTCACATTCGAATGTGCTTGAATACATTAAACCTGCACATCGCTCCAAAACGCAATATGTTGACACATATTGTTTTTACATTTTCAAGCTCTAATATAAATTCTATGTAAATAAAAAAAAATTATCTGCGTAATGTCAAAGAAAAATCATTTAGTTAAAAAAAATAAAAAGGCGAATGCGGGATTCGAACACGGGCCTCCGGCGTGCCAAGCGAGCATTCTTCCGCTGGATCACCGTAATATTATGGATGGTGGAAGTAATTAAACGCTACTTATTTTGAATGCTATGATTCGGAAGTGACGTCACGTTCTTCATTTAGAAACCTTTCCAAAATCATATCGCCGGCTCCGATCGAAGTCAAGCTTTAAATATCTTTAACTCTCTTGGGACAGATTCTTAAGTTCTATACACAAAGTAATATTTCCAGCAACTTCATATGGACTGAGAAATATCTAGAAGGTACAAGGTAGAAGGGTTTTTATAAAAATATATTTCAAAAATTCTTGACACCCTGTAAGTCGTAGGTCGTAGGGTCGAAGGGTCGAAGGGTTTTTAGTACATTCCATATTAAAGACGTGAACAGGTAATATATCTATAAGATGAACCACTGCACTAAATCTAAAAAGTATTTGCTATAAAAATATGCATAGTGATTTATTTCAGGCCTTATACATGTATAATAGTGTTTGCGACATGAAATATTGTGATAAAAAAATATTGTAAAATTGTGACAATTTTCCGAAACATATTCTCTACTCGATTGCCTAGTATCTGTTTGAACCCTGGATCTTTTTAATAATGGTGAGTTCTTAAGTTGATATGCATCTCATTGGAGACTAAAAGCTGGCGATATATTTTCACAACGTAACCGCGAATGCAAAGTCCATGAATCAATATACAGTAAGTATATAGAGCACATACAAAACAAGTGCTAATTAGTCTACTCTATCTGATCAGCTTCAGTTTCGTGTTTAGAAAGGGAGGTTCGCTAAGTTCACGTTGGTGTCAACGGGAATCATTATACTCGTGTCTATTGAATACTATGCTGGCAATTTTGATTTCGATGCACAGTAAAATGCTTTCCGAGGAAAGTGATGTATGCCATACATGCTTTAGCTCCAAATATCTTACGAAACGAACACATATCCACATTATAATTGAGAATTATCGAACAAATCAGTGTGTAGAGTTAAATAAAATCCCTAGATGATCTTACGATGCCACCGGGAGTCGTAAGATAATCGTGCGATGACCGTACGGGACAAAGCCGGGTATGTACCGATGAGTTTGGTTGAGAAAAAACACATCGGCAACTTTTATCTCCGCGATAAAACTCTACCGGCGCCCGGGCGACGTCTAAAAATCGGCTGATGATGATCGATCATCGCCCGGCGCTCATACGATGCTCGGGCTCGCCGGCCGATTTTGAACAAAATACTCATCGGCCGGCCACCGTAGTGAAAATCGGAGCCTACTGTATGTGACCAAGGCATAAGTGTGTCGAATGGTTGAACAATCGCGGATGTTGAAAATCACTTTTTATCCATTTTCAGTAATATTTGGTTAGGGCTTATAATTTCTGCTAATTTCAAAACTAAGAAGAATGTATGGTACCAACAAATATTTTAGACCTTCCTCTATAACATGTGAAAACATGAAAGGATTCCTGCAGGTAATAAGGAAAATATGGCCCGTTGCAGGGGTTCACTTTTCTTGGACCACCCCGTATAACCATCAATGGCAATTACATGCTGCAGTTTGGTCTAAGTAAAAGACTAATGTCGTGGTCACATTTGCTCCGATTTTTACTACGGCGCCTGGCCGATTGAGTATTATGTTCAAAATTGTATTCAATTTTGAACACAATACTCAATCGACCGGGCGCCGGTGCTGAAAATCGGAGCATATGTAATATAAGTAAACACTAATAACCAAACGATTATTTATGTGAGAAAACTACATGCATTTGTATAGGGCGATTTCTTACGTGCACGTTGGCGTTTCGATTTTATGTGCCAGCTTATATTTAATTAATGTCTCTATTATCTAGACGGCACGTGTTGTCGACGGAGCTGGAGTTTTAAATTACCTCAGTCGCTGCTTCACCGGACAACACATCTCCAATCAAAAGCAGCAAATACAAAGCTGAAACAAAAGTTTATAACATTTAAGTAATTAACTGTTGAATCTACCAAACAAAACTGTAACTTCTTTCAAGCATAATATTCGACCTGAAGCGTACGATTTAACGTACTTTTAAAAATACATTTGTAGATGCCAGTAGTGAAATTCCCATATCAGGCTGATACTGTAGCTCTGCCATCTTTTTATCGCCATGTAATCTGTGGTTATCATAATCGCCATGTGGCATATGCTTACAAGAGAACCAGTTTTATAGTTTATGTTACGATAAAAATGAGCAAACAGCAAAATTGTAATCTGAAATTATTCATATGTCATGATACTGTTGTTATATTTGGCACAGTTTAAAAATATAGTCCTTCGATCAAATAAAGTTTAAGAGAAAATCATTTTTGTGGTCTCCGAGAAAAGTTCGAGAATGCTGATATTTGAGGGGTGTTCAATAAATAACGGCTCTATCATACTAAAATTGTCAATTTTAATCTGTTTTAATCCAAACTGTGCATAAACATCCTAAAAATCCAAACTTTGCAGAATAGACAACGAGCCGCATCTTCTGCACAAAGATTGACTATAGATATTGTATATTAAGAGGATGTATGGTTGTCATGGAAACAGCCCATCGCCAATCGTTGTACCTAGGAGGAGGTGTTTGTGGTGCATTTATCCAATATTAAAAGAGAGACATTTTTTAAAAAAGCTAAAGAAATCCTAAAACTACAGTACTGTTGAGGCAACCCTTCCCTAAACAAAACAAAACTTGATAGTAGGTACGACATTGGCCTTATAACGTGCCAGTAAGAAACTGTAAAAAACAGGACTTTCAATCATAGTAACATGTTAAAAAATAAAATATACATCGCGATCGATTCGATGAAACAAAAGTTAACAAGCCAGTTATCTAAGATTTTCTGATCGATTCTAGCAAACTTCAAAGTATTTATTTTTACTTACCTAAGATGAAACGCATTTCAGATGAGTATTGTTCTATTAACGTTTTTCAGTCAGAAGATATATTAGCCATAAAAATCACCTGTCCATTGACGTCTTATATGGACTGAGCATCAATTATTAAAATCCAATAAATACAGCATCACCTGTAGTGGACAACACAGGTGATAAAAACCATAGGTCCGGATTCCCATGTAGTAAATGAACAAGAATATATGCGTGAAAGAATCGATTTAGCCAATTCTAGCATTTTAGAACAACTGTTTGTTTCTATTCGGAATATTCCAATAAAGTTAACGTTTGAGACACTTTTTCAAATAATGTAATAAAATACGTTACTTATTCTGTAATCATTTTCATATTCAAAAATTGTCGATTAGATACGTGCCTGTGCTCAACCGATCATTTCATATCAAAATGTTGCCAGATATGATGCTGATATGACATTTATCATTCAATTCGATTTAGGGGACCTTTATAATTTGTGTCATTTAGGAGGGGAGTACAATATAGAAATGAAGTGTCAGGATACATAAAATGGATTTTATATTGCCACTGGACTTAACTACTATATCTAGTATATTTTTATCCCGAATAAATCAATTAATAACTACTCTGATCGAAATCAACTCATTTTAAGAATTAACAAGTAAACTGCATGGGCGGATCTGGGAACCAACAAGGGGGGGGGGGGGCAAATTTGAGGTCAGAGAAAAATATCTTGGGCCCCTAAAACCCAAAAGTGGGCCCATATTTTGAAATTTTGGGGCCAATTTTCTTCAAAATTTGGCCTGAAATTAAAAAATAAGGCCTTAAAAGGCCCAGTAATGACCAATTTTTTCATGCGTTACAATTCTTGAAAATAATAAGACTGTGAACATATAGCTTTACTTTACGTTTATATACTTTCGATTTGGAAATAAGAAACACACTTTGAAATATGCTGTTTGACTTCGGAAAGGTACTGAAACAGAACCGAAAACGAACCTCGCGCAGATGAAGCGTTCGGTATTTTAGAACACAGTCGGTAAGTTCCGGAAACCTTTCGTGCATTTCCGCCATCACCTGGGTGATGCTTTAAAATGGCGGCCATAAAATTTGACACTGGATCTGGAGGTTATGCCTCTAATTGCTTCCCAGTGAGAGGACTTATACGTACAAATGTTGAAGGTATATTAGATACAGATTGATATATTTTAAATTCTGCAGCCTTTTCCTATTGATCAACTTCGCCCACACTTCATTTTTCGAAATTTTCAGATCCGTTTTTTATTTTTTTTTCGAGTCGACATTTGAATCTCGATTCTTCTGAATCTGATTGTCCAATAAATTTCACAAACTTCCATGGTAATGACTTAGAGAAATTATACCGCTTTATTCCACTCTTGACATGTTCGATTCTCGATCAAATTATGATAGATCTAGAGTCCATTTCACTGCTTCATTTTAAAAAATCTGAAATATACAAATGTCATTCATGTACATTATGAATATACTTTTCCATATATTATTACACAATGGTCTCCCAATTTCTTATTTTTGCCGTTCTACTGACGAAATGAAGCAGTGAAATGGACTCTAGGGTACAGACTGGGGTAGTCATATAAATCGGACCCTCGTATGATGCAAAGGGGTGCAATGTAGACGTAAGAAATGGGGTAAATTCGACACTTACTTATTAAAGTTAGAATTCCATGCGAGAGAAAAAAGAAAAAAAAACATGGCTTACGCCTAGATTGGAAATTTGAGCTTAGGTGTCAAAGTTATATATGTTGAAGTTACCCCAAATTGTAACCAAACTCGTCTGGCCCAGTTATCTACTCCCAAAGTCGTAGATCTGGGCCAGACGAGATCCAATGCAAAAAAGGGGGATTTACTCTGGAAAAAACACACTGGTTTTTCAATGTAAAATACATGCAGCATTGCTGATAAATGAATAAACATCATAAAAAACACTCACATGTTTGTTCCTTGTATCAAACTTTGTATTTATATTAAGTTTCCATCGCTGGATGGCGGCTAATAAATAAGAACGAAACGATTAAACGCAGCAAAAAGTTCTTCTGCAATCTGTTCGTGATCTCGTAGAATATCGAGAAGTCTCGGCTGCATATTTCGTTCAGTACTACATTTGGTCAGTTCAACAAATTGAAAAATCGTATTTAATGTCCACCATATTCATTTCAAGTCTAAATACAACAACTATACGTCTGTTTTATAAAGTAATCTACATTTTGATAACGAATCTGCTGAAGAAATCATAATATTTTGGATGTATTGGTTCCCAGGAAATGTATTTTCGTTCCATGAAAGTTAAAAAATCATCGCATCACACTTATGTTACGTCACATCACGTGAATTTATTCAGTGCGGAGAACTGACGAAAATATTGAGGAAATCTTGTGCCCATTTCAACATCAATATTACAAACAAAACGCCACATTTACATGTAAGTTATATACTCTTTATTTCAAATAAATACTTGGGTTTACATTAAGCCGATGTTTTGGTTAGATAGGGAATGAATAATAAGTGATGATTCAGCGACATGTTTTTTCCGGAGTAAATCCTCCTTTTTTGCATTGGACCTCGTCTGGCCCAGATCTACGACGTCAGGAGTAGATAACTGGGCCAGACAGGTTTTGTTACCCAAATTGGTGACGATGTTATACCCCTTCGCCCTTTACATTTTTAAATGTTAATGGTTTAGTTTATTCAAATGATATAACTACATATAAAAATTTGTATTTAAATAGGCTTACTAGCCTTTTGCAGATTATTGACATAAGGAGATGTGTCGAACTTCCATGTATGGGGCTACTTCGACCATGGGGTTATTTTTACAATTGCCGATAATTCAAATATCAGGGGTCAGCCATTTTGGATTAAGATCTTGCCCGTTGGAGATTTCAATTTATTTTTAAAACTTCTAAAGAACAAACATGGCGGACTTCTTGAATCGGAAATATTAGCCAATGTCAAAACAGCCCCATGGTCAAAATAGCTCCATGACGGAATAACCGAATAACCCCATACGTGAGTGCTACTAACTTGATAAAAGGCCTGCGCTAGTTTGAACTGCCTATGGTCCTAGTCAGGATCAAGATACCAGGTCCTGTCAGATTAATACAAGGATCTGTTTCTACCTTCAGATATCAAGATACATTATCCAACCACACATATATGGTGTCTGTGTGAGATAATTGTGACTTGAATAAATAAAAAATAAATAACCCATGATAAGGTTAAGACCTGACATGTTGGTCTGCCTTCAATGTTAGCCCAAAAATATCACTGAAATGTATTTTCTTAGATTTCACAGTTAAGAAAAAATGATTTTGACATGTGGACATGCACTCAACCAAAAATATGAGGCATGGAATATAAGCAATATTTTATGTTTTTCTCTCGGACCAACGCTATACAATATTCCATAAAAATCTGATAATGTGTGGAGCAACAATTGTATGACTGACAATAGATACTGTTGTATTGAATTACTATACATGTACTGTACTCCCTGTACTTTTTGCGTGCTACTAAATTTCACTTCCTTTATGAGTTTTGGTAAAATAGCGAAGTATAATAGCCCATGAGTAGCCCCAAAATTTTTTGAATAAGCGATAATTAATGGCTGCAAAATTTCAAAATTGCTAAAGTGTGAAATATAATAGCGTCAAATATTAGTTGGGGTATAGTATTTAAAATAAGAACTAAATGTATGATAAGCTGTCATAAATGTCTAGCAAAATATGATTTCAGAGGGAGGAGCATGGGTGAGTTCTCACAAGGCAGAACAGCGGAGGCGATTCAAGGCTGTTCTATGTAACAAACCCAAGACATATTCACAAATAAAAGCAGAGAGAAAGCGCTCGGTGAAACAGGGGACTGTTATGTCAGAGACTATCAATACAGAAGATACTGAAGATTTGGAGCTACTGGATGGTTTCTTTCTGGTATGTAGCCAATGGCTACTAGCCATCTCAGGCCTGTAGCCAGCTTTTGCCAAAGGAGGTTCACTTTTCAAAAACTTTGGCTCAAATTCACTTAGAAAGTACTCAGAATGGTGAAAAGAAAAACTGCCTGATTTGAAAGAATTTTTGGCCGAGGGGGGGTTCTCTGATCACTCGAACTCCTCAAATCCCCCTCTGGCTATGGGCCTGCATCTGTGACTCAGGAATGTGGCAGTTTAGCTCCAGTGAATGGTTTCCTTCTGGTATGTCGCCGTGTATAATTGATGATGTTTTGCTGTTTCCAAATTATGTGTCCTTCAAATTTTGCCTCTTAGCACCACACAGCCATTGGGCACCACACGGCCATTGGGCACCACACAGCCATTGGGCACCACACGGCCATAATACATATGCATGTTCTTGGAAATACAATGGCCCTAAGGAAACTGAATTCTAATTCTCTATTTCAGATGAAACACTGTTGTGTTGAGGACCCAGCTGATCTGTGTTCTGTAAATATTTGCAACCAGGGTCTAACTGAAGCAAAGGAAGAGGACCTTGCATTGTTCGACAATGTGGCTTATGTAAACGCTGGCGAAAATATGCTGCCATTTGGTGAGTATTCTTGAAGTGAGCTTTGGTGAGTATTCTTGAAATGAGCTTTGGTGAGTAATTTTGTAGTGAGCAAGGGATAGCACTCAGTGTCAACATCTGTAACAAATGTTACATTTTTCCATTGAAAAAACATGTTTAAAAAACATTTTAGACATATTGATGATAGAATAAAACTTGTCTATAAGTTAAACAATTATAAGTGGAACAGTCACCTCACTTATTGTTCATTGAATTTCTATAAGAGGAATGAATACCTTTGAAGTGGAACACTTTACAGTAGAAGCATGGATGTACACTTTCACATGTTTTATTGTACTTTCAAATGATTGACTTTTTGAAGGCTGAGTTTTTTGTACTTTCAAATGATTGACTTTTTGAAGGCTGAGTTTTATTGTACTTTCAAATGATTGACTTTTTGAAGGCTGAGTTTTATTGTACTTTCAAAATTCAAATGATTGACTTTTTGAAGGCTGAGTTTTATTGTACTTTCAAAATTCAAATGATTGACTTTTTGAAGGCTGAGTTTATTGTACTTTCAATTGATGGACTTTTTAAAGGCTGAGTTAAATCTATAGTCTTATTGATTGACCTTTTCATATTCATGTGGAATTGCAAAATATTATAAGGCCTGCTATAATCATAATAGAATATTCCTTGCATCTGAATAGTATAATATGTTAACAAATATTTAGGCACTTGCTTTTCATGATTCATAATTTGCTTGTTTATTACAGAGGCATTTAGGCACCTGCCTATCCTGAGAGAGCTTGAGATTCCATTGAATGGACTGAGAGGAATTAGGATCAATGATGGAGACTTCAACACCTTAGAGGTAAAACAGTTTGATATTATTAAAAGAAACTATAAAATAAGTCTGCATACATCCTCCCATCACAGGGCTTCAAAATCCAGAATATATTCTTTCTTTTTACCTCCTGCGATAAGCAGTTAGCATTTCCCCGATTAAGAACTTGCAATTTGATTCGCTGTCGCAACACTGAGACAGCAATCATGTATACATCATCCGTGCATAATTAAATCACGTGACTCAGTTTAATCGGAAGCTTCAATATTGGTTATAGCAGGGTGGAAGAAGGAGGTACGGATCCTGGACACCTGCTTACTGTACATTGTAGTTGTTGCAAAGAAAATTGTACACATTTTCATGCAATTTGGTATTGCTCATTCTTATAATATAAATGTACAATATATATTTTAAGTGTTACCCAACTGCAATTATTGCATAAGTAGTATGTACAATTTCATCTTGATTTAAGAAATATAAATATAAACAATTTTTGTCTTAATATTTCATAAATTTCTGCAAGGTGTAAACAGATTTTCTACAGAGTGGCATGCAGTTTTCAGATTTTCTACAGAGTGCTGCCTATGGTTGCCTATGGTTGCCCATGGTTGCCTATGGTTGCCTATATCATTGTTAAATGTAAGCTGTGTGCATCTTAGATAATCAATGTACACGTTAACATTCTTTAGCTACTTGATATGTCATACAACAATCTGTCCAGGGAAGATGCTGTTACTTTAGGGATGTTACCTAACCTCAAAGTCCTTCACCTCACTGGTAATGGCCTCACCTCTCTACCACCTGATTTGACCAGACCCTATCTCTCCAATGATTTGTAAGTCTATATTTACTTAAGTTCTAGCTTTGAAGCACATGGGGTTACTGTATCGGCAAACTTTTACAGAAATTATTTTTTTTGACATTTTTTATTAAAACTAAAAATTCTGGCCCAATATTCTTTTTAGCCTCAGTTTTGCCTCATCTATTTAAATTTGCCTCTCCTGCTTTTGGTTTTGGATCCAGAGTACATCCTTGAAGATTTTACATTGTACGATTGCATCATTGTCATATGAATTTAAAGGTGACTTGGACCAATAAATTGCGATCAGTTATTTGAATTTGATCTTGCATACAAAGAAGTAAAGAGAATCAATCCGAATGAAATACGTATTGCAAAGTATTGATGGTTTATTATGTCACCAGCATTTGGCGGTTAGCATCAGTAACAAATGGCAGGTGGTGACATTTTGCATGTTAATACCCTGTTATGTGTTTATTATACGACTGTTCAAGTGTCCTATACACATACCTTATTCTCTTTGTGGAATTACAAAATATCGACATTTTTATTTTGTTTTTTTCCAGGACCACTGAGATGGACAGGTTTCCTAAATTAGACATTCTGATGTTGGATGACAACAAATTCTCAGATTCATCAATATTTGCATGCCTCGCAGGATTAAAAAAGTAAGATTTTGCTGAAATTTTCACTAGTGCATTCATATAATTTAATGATAATATTTGATTCAGGCTAGAAAAACTTGACAGGTCTGTTTGGTAATCTCTCCAGATTTTTTATCAACTGAGGGTATTAAATCCTAAATTTACCATCCTTTTGTCAGAGTTTGAATATATTTCCAATAGGGGAGGGGGCATGTAATTTTTATGTCACCACCAATTTTTTGTGACTATTCTTTGGTGTTTGGTGGTTGGTGTCTGTTACAAATGGCAGGTGGTGACATTTTGCATGCCTTGCTGTGCAGAACACTGTTGCTCTAAGGTTGGGAATATTACTGATACATGTACCCATTCACAGACTGTAATGTTTGTTGACCAACATTTTATTTTCATACAGGCTTCGACATCTAAGTCTAGAAAGAAATGAGATATCAAGTGTACCACATTTAAAACTAGTCCCAGGAAAACACATAGTTGAAGAAGTTATCGAGAAGAAAAGAACAAGACCAAAAAGTCGAACTAAAAATAGAAAGAAACCAGAAAAGGCTAAATCAGGTTTGTAGACTACATACTTTCACTGATATAGGCAAATCCCATTTCTTGTTATATTCTACTTAAATGTGAAATGAGCCCCTGCAACCTCCCAATATTTTGAGTTACCAAAGGTACTCCAATTAGACAGGTTTTACTGAAGTTGTTAAAAAGCACTGTACTGTACTGTACTGTACTGTAAGTTGTTACAGTACTGTACTGTATCTTCAGTGCTTTCATGCATAAGAGTAAATGTTCATGTATATGAGAGAATGAATCAGTTCATACCTGGTTCCCTCCAACTGCATTTTCACATACATTCCTATAAGGCTCCATTTTAAATAAAAGACTGGTGCTCTTCCCCATACACTCCTAATCTCAAACAGAACTGTGCTGTTTATGAAACAGTGCTAGGCAGCACTGTAAAAACAGTACTTGTACACTGCTGTTTTAGAAAACACTGCACTGTAAAATCAATACTGTATTGTGCTGTATAAAACTGCTGTTAGAACATGTATGGTGTTGCAAAATAGTGTTGCGGATTCGGGTGTACATGTAATTGGTCACTGTCGAGTGCTGCTACTGTACAGTGCTGTATTGCGTTGTATAAAACTTCTGTTATAACAGTACTGTACATCGCAGTGCTCGAACTGCACTGTTTAGTACTGATTACAGTACTGCCTGTAGAGTGACGCAAGATGATATTGCGGATTGGGCATGTAGGATAACCTGCTTTATCTCTGCCTTTCAGATGATGCATCTGCACCTTCAGCTGAAAGTGAGAAAGACAAAGATCCAACCACAAGTGCAGTGACATCACCTGAACCTGAAACAGAGACATTCAGTGAATATGCCCCTACACCTGATCTTATCACAACCTCCATGCCAACTGCCCCATTTCCAGCTCTGGAGCATCTCAACCTGGCCCATAATAAGGTAATACATGCAATCTATTAACAGAGACATTTAGTGAATATGCCCCTACACCTGATTTAATAACAACCTCCATGCCAACTGCCCCATTTCCAGCTCTGGAGCATCTCAACCTGGCCCATAATAAGGTAATACAGGGTGTTCCGAAAGTATGGGGCCCCCCTAGGCAGACATATAGCAGTGTCTTCATAGTATGTGTCATAAATCATTTTAAAGCTTATCCAAAGGTACATTGATTTGCCAAGTATAATGGTTCAACTCTGAAATGGGAAAGTTACAATGTGGGTCAAAAAAGTGTAAAATCCTTATTTAGGCAGCCAATTTTGTTACACTGTATATGTATGCATTGCAGATATCGGAGGAAGAAGTACTTCTGCCCCTTGCAGGTTGGCCTGAATTGAATGAGTTAGTGATACATGACAATCCTTTAACAACACAGCGAAGTGGAGATCCTCCATTGCTACACAGATTTTTACAAAAAAGACTTGGTATCAAAATAATTAGGTGAGTTTACACATATAAATGCATTAATTTCATGTAGCATTGTTCCATTTTTAACCAAAAGTAATTTCATTTGAAGAGAGGAAATAATAACCCAGAATTCTTCAGTTGAAGCTACCTTTAAGTTCATCTGTGCTTGAAGATACATGAAGCATAATCTTTTAACTATGGATCATTTCCCCTTCTTCATTGGAATGGTCACATTTTTACTTAGTTCAATGACCATATCCCAAAATTAGAGAATTTTCAAAATTCTGAAATAAAAAGACTTGAGATAATATGAAAATTGACATTAAAGGTGTCAGACTCAGATTTTGATTTTGAATTTCAGAAAGAAAACATCTCCCCTGTCAAAGCCACATATAGAGGTTCCAAACAAACCTCAGCGTAAAGTAAATACCAAAGTGCCAACAATTCCAAAACGCAATGTAGACGAGCTGCTTGCATTAGAGGCGCCACCTACAAACAAAACTAAAGAAGAAATCGTAGCCGAGTTTAAACCACGTCCAACATCACAGCCAATGTAAGTGATAACCGTTTACAGGGCTTTTTATGTTATTGTAAATCTAAACTACACCCTCCATCAATTAATGAATTTGAAACAAAGCGGCCCAAAGGAGTTTTATCTTAAAATTGTTTGCAAATTAAACGAAGTTAACCCTTTAGTATATTCCTTGTTTTAGATATGCAGCCTCAGATGGTGATGATAATAAACTCTTATATTTTTTGTTCCAGATATGAAATAGGTAAACCTCTTCCTCCTATAGCAAGCCCCCAACCAGCTTCAGATGGTGATGAACCTGAAGAAGAAGAAGAGCAGCCAGAGGCACGTACAGAAGCCTGGGTGGATGAGTCCAATGACAATGCTTTCTTCATGACACAGGTATGAGACTAATCATCTTTATTTCCATAGGAGATGGTTTTGAATACCACAGTTTCCATATAGCTTTTGAAATCTCACTAAATCTTTATTTCCATAGGAGATGGTTTTGAATAGCACAGTTTCAATATAGCTTTTGAAATCTCACTAAATCTTTATTTCCATAGGAGATGGTTTTGAATAGCACAGTTTCCATATAACTTTTGAAATCTCACTAAATCTTTATTTCCATAGGAGATGGTTTTGAATAGCACAGTTTCAATATAGCTTTTGAAATCTCACTAAATCTTTATTTCCATAGGAGATGGTTTTGAATAGCACAGTTTCCATATAACTTTTGAAATCTCACTAAATCTTTATTTCCATAGGAGATGGTTTTGAATAGCACAGTTTCTATATAGCTTTTGAAATCTCACTAAATCTTTATTTCCATAGGAGATGGTTTTGAATAGCACAGTTTCTATATAGCTTTTGAAATCTCACTAAATCTTTATTTCCATAGGAGATGGTTTTGAATAGCACAGTTTCAATATAGCTTTTGAAATCTCACTAAATCTAGATTTTCATGAGGTTTTTAGAGGTTTGCATATTAGACCTCAGTTGTGGGATAGAAGAAGAAAGTTAGTTTTGTAATGAGATTGAGGGGATATGATGATTTATAATTGCACGAAAATGTTGATTTTAAGTGAAGTCAACAACATTGTTTTGTTATTTGGGAGGAGGATAACCAGAATGAAATTAATTTTAAGAGAATGACATTGAATGACATAGCTTACTTAAAGATTTTTCTATTGATTTTAAGCTGATAAAAATAACGACGACGAAAATAAAATCACTACTAATGTGATCAAATAAGAGGATGAAATTAAATAGATCAAACAAATGCATTACATTTTAATTTAGTGAATTTATATTCCAGAATATTTATCTGAGAAATAACAATAACCAAGGCAATAAGCCAATCACAATACAGTATATCAATGAGGTGTACAATAATTTATTTGATTGTTCAGGTTGATGGACAAAATGCAAACACAGAAGTCACAGAGGACAAACAGGAGAAAAAGAAGAAAAGAAAAAAGAAAATACCTGCAAAATATCGGGGTTACAACGTCTTACTTGATGGTGCTGATGATGCTGAAATTCACGTACCTCAAGGTGATTTAGCCATTTTATCGAATTTTTATGTCAAGATATTGTTATAGTCTCTTTGTGGATGGTGATCCATAGTTGGTGTTTGATGGTCTATGTTCGGCGTCTGTAACAAGTTACAAATGGCAGGTGGTGACATTTTGCATGTTAAGTGCAATATTGTTGCCATATAGGCGCGCTTGCATGCACTTGAGCAGTTGAGTGGGTGCCACATCAATCTTATATTCAAACTTCCATGAAAACTGCTCATCTGTTTAACTTTAAATTTATTCATATGTAAGAGCTTGGTGGCCATTTTGAATTAAGTGGCCATTTTGAATTATATGATATGTAAAGCGTGTGATATTTATCACTGTGTGTCTTGATATTCAAAAGAGATATAATTATGCCTAGTGCATGATTGTATGTAATTTTTATTTCTGAATAATTCTGAATTCCTCAAAGAAAATCGCAAGTGGTGTAAAAATGGTACCATATGTCACACAACAAAACTATTTATAAGTTCTTAATTTATCCAGAAGTTTGCATACAAACATAATGAACAGAAATGGTGTAAGGTTTTACCAGCTAGGCTGTCAAAAGGCTCAATCATCAAAGTTTCAAAATTGTGTCATACTTTAAAAAAATATTTTTGACATTCATATTTTCTAAAAAATGGTCTGATCGAGTTTTGAAAATCGACCTTATGTAATTCTCAACACCATGTCTTATAAAGTATTTCTTCTTGTCATTGCAGGCATACAGAACAATATTAGAGCGCTACAACATGCGTTGAATCACCCACTGGTGTTCAGAGATAACCAAGTACACCTTGACCACAGACAGAAACCATTCAAACCACATGTTAAGGTAGGTGAAGGAGCATAAATAATAGTTCAATTCCCCTTTATTTAGGTAGGACATATAGCTCATGAAAAATAACTATATAGGATAATAAGCAAATGCTTTATTATCAGTTATAACTTGATCTCAATTACTCTCTAAATAAGCAACGGTTTATGATCCTGTTACCTTTCACAGGGATCTCTCCATATTGAAATCTCTGAGGTGCGGCATCTCCATAATGCAAAATGCTATTCCAATATTTCTAAGTGTTTCCTGAAATCCTGCATAAAAGTTCTTAAAATGTTGCACTATAAACTACAAAAACTTGTATTGCACAGAAAAAGAAAGTTTTAAAAAGATCAAAATCCTAGAGAGAGTAACACTGTTTCAAATAACATGTTGATCAGCCTGAAGGAGGCTGATTCAAAGATCTTATCAATTATATAATGTTTTGCATGCAGAGGCAATCTTTCCCTTTAATTTCATGAATAGTTTCACACCAGGAAGGCAATTGTAACGACTGTACTTCTACTTTATTCCGTGCTACTTATTTTGGCAGATTTGCTGATTTGAACATCTGGCTGCTACTTAATTTGGCCTACTTGCAATATTACAATGCACTAATGATACCTATTTACATGGTACTAAAACTACTAGGGAATTTGACGGCTACTTAATTTGGCAGACTTTTGACAATTTGGCAGATCCACCAAATTAAAATTGCCGCTAAATTAAGTAGAAGTACAGTAGTTGTAAAATAAATGTCAAATCCTTATCCAAACTTATTGCATTCAGACGGCTGTACCTACTAGTGTCGAGAGAGTGTCCGAGCAACAGAAGATCGATGCAGTTCTACATCAGATGAAAACACAGAAGAACATAAAAGAGGACAATTTACAGAGTGTCCTAGATGAGGGCAAATTTGAGGACTTTCCTGAAGCCCAAGTCTTGTTATCCCAGGTATTTCAAGATTTACAGTAAAACTTATACAGTAGAACTTGCTAAGTCTGTTATCCCAGGTATTTCAAGATTTACAGTAAAACTTATACAGTAGAACTTCCTAAGTCTGTTATCCCAGGTATTTCAACATTTACAGTAAAACTTATACAGTAGAACCTGCTTAGTCTGTTATCCCAGGTATTTCAAGATTTACAGTAAAACTTATACAGTAGAACCTGCTTAGTCTGTTATCCAAGGTATTTCAACATTTACAGTTAAACTTATACAGTAGAACCTGCTTAGTCTGTTATCCAAGGTATTTCAACATTTACAGTAAAACTTATACAGTAGAACCTGCTTAGTCTGTTATCCAAGGTATTTCAACATTTACAGTAAAACTTATACAGCAGAACCAGCTAATTAAATCTTGTTATCCCAGGTATTTCAAGATTTACAGTAAAACTTATACAATAGAACCTGATAAGTGAGCTCCGTGGCAGTGCTAGAATTCAACATATCACTTGGGCGGGCCTGGGCTATAATATTATGTTACCAAATTGTTTGCACAAAAACTTGATATGAGGGTTGTCCCATAAGTCTTGAAATTTATACAATAAAAAAATTTCAAGACTTATGGGACAACCCTTGTATGTTACCAAATTGTTTGCAGAAAAACTTGATATGAACAAAAAGACTGAAATATTATTTTCCTGTTGCAGATTCAACACCGCTATAACAATGTTAGAGCCAGTTCCATGAAGAATACTAGAGATGCTAAAGAACAGTTGAAATCCACCATACAAGCAGTTGGACATTGAACACTTAATGTTTATAATGAACATAAAGTACCAGTTACCTGCCAAAAATATTTCAAAAAATTGCAACAGCACCTGACAGAGGATCCTAGTCAGAAACAGACTATTAAAGTGTTTTTCACTTTATTCACTTTAAAAGATTGCATGCCAAAATGTTATCATCAAAAAAGCTTTCTGTTTTATATTGCTTTGTGTTTTTTCTCCAAACTGCTCATAATTTTGTAATTTACTTTAATGCTTTCAATGGACCTATGAAAAAGCACACATTTTTATGTCACACCATATTGTTATGGCCTCCGTTTTTTAAATTTAATTTGTTGTAATTATAAAGGTCTAGTAATTCACAAACGTAGTTCTGATTACTAAAGCCTTTACTGATTAATGTATGTTGACCAATGCTTCTTTATTTTGCCTCATAAATTTTTTATTATTATCTACGCTGTTATCCACTTATATGATCAGCCATGTACCATGATAATATTAATGTTAAATAGTGCATATATTTGTTGTATAATAAGACATGTACATTAAATTGTAAATAGTAAAATATACTTTATTAATTATAAAAACAATAAATCATAAATATTTGTGATATCAATTCAATGTTTATTGCTTCATATTGATATCATCAGCATGAGCAAAATTATTTCACAAATCAAATTATTTGTTAAAAGCTATTTGTTAAACTATCCCCGAATCATGAAATAATTCAGAATCCCCAAATAGAAATCCTCTGATGTCATTGAGGGAGCATTTCAAAAGTTCAGTTAATGATTTCTCTTTACTCCAGTACTTCATTTTTAACTAATCCCTCATCCCTGATAATCATGTTGATTTGAAAAAAGTGTTGATATGCAATTGTTTCCCATGGATTATACTATATTTTAACATTTTACATGGCATCTATATCACAATGTGTCGAAGATATCCACTGCAATCTCATATTGAACAGTTTTAGTCTTATGTTGTTGTAACTTGTAAGAAATTCAATACTGTATATTGCATTAATCTGGCAGAAGTTTTAATTGGGCAGATTGATAAAAACCGCTAAATGAAGTTTCCGCCAATTTTTTAAAATGAAATTCCTGGGTATTCCAGTGTCCTTTCAATGTGTTACCTTGCGCGATAAATCTTGATTGAAACATTGATAAATGTCAATTTAACTATTTTGGGAGATCTAAAGCATCCCTGCTGGTTTAGATAAAACAACTTCATACCAGGGGTGATAAAATTGTGTTATTTGTGGCGATCTGTGAAGTGGGTGATAATACAATCAATGATGATCAATCTACCAAATTAATAGCAGTCAGAATTTCAGGATTTGCCAAATCTGCCAAATTAAATAGCGCCAAATTAAAGCAGTTTACAGTATTACATTACACTGCGTAAGCCATGAACAAAAATGCACCATTAAAAATCTCTGAGATTGAATCAATGACAGATCAGATAACCCAATTGTAAAGCTGATTGCCCCTTGTTAATATCTTCCATTGATCTCATGGTGCACCTCACCTGTATTCATGTGGTATTCAAGATAAACTACTTTGTTTTTAATTTACCAGTGTTTGCATAATAAATACACTGTAATGCTATAACTGAATTTGCCAAGCTGACAAATCCATATTTGGTCACTAAAATGATATCAGCAGTTTCCATTACTGACGTCAAGAGTCGTGACCAAGACCTATAGTTCATAAATGTCACTGTTATGTATGACAGTTGGCCTGGTCCTCCATTACTGTAGATTTGTTTGATCTGGGTAAACTGAAAATAGATGATTTTCCAAATTGTAGCCAAGTTTATTCAAGTGGGGTGTGGGCTATCTCAACAATTCAATATTTGCTGAGTAAAACCCTCAATTATAAGAATCTAAAGTAGTAGTGTGGAATAAGCCTTGCCTAAGTGGGTTTCTCTTACTTATCTTGATTTCTAATAATTCAAGATCAGTATAAGTAAAAAAAATACCGACTTGGGCAAGGCTCGTGTGGAATGGGTGAAAGAAGTACAAACAACTTCGCCATCTTTCAATGACATTGATAAAAACTTGACACACAGCTCTGTATAGCAGTATGCATAGGAATGGTAATATAGGGAGATACTAGGAAATACATACAGACAATATTTCTATGACAGTCAATGCATACCTTGCCACTCATCACAAAAGGTGTAACACAGCTCTGTATAGCAGTATGCATAGGAATGGTAATATAGGGAGATACCATGAGACACATGCAGACAACATATCCAAGTAGTAGTCCACCAATATAGCTCTTCTGGTTGCTGTACCATAGAATTAGAATTGCAATCAACATTCCTTCTAATGCAAGGAAAAGTGATTCGCCCCAGGAACTGAAAAGGAACATTATAATGTATGTACAGGCGCAAAGTCAGCTTTTGCAAAGTTTTTTTAAAAAAGTTCCAAGGGAGGAGTCGTTTGACAGTTTCGGCCCAAAATCACCTGACAGGTGCTCAAAACTGTGAAAACTGCATGATTTTTAAGTAATTATTGGCCAGGGTTGGGGGTGATGTAGCAAATAATTTATGATTTCCTTACACATCTGAATATGTCTGTCAACTGGCCAATGATGATAAAGATAAATAAAATATGAATACATGTGGAATTTACATAATGAGATTCACAATGTCATAAGTTTAGATTCTTCTTTCACCAGAACCATGGCCCATGCCAGAACACAACAACAATACCAGTTTTGCACTATGCATACCTAAATGGATATTGATTGACAATGCAGTAGGCTACAAAGAATCCTGATGATAATGCATCAACCAGTTTACTACATCCCGGGGATCACATACCTAAATGGGTATTGATTGACAATACAGTAGGCTACAAAGATTCCTGATGATAATGCATCCACCAGTATACTGTAGAGACTAACTCCTTGACCAGAGCCTGCCCAGTGGATTTTCAACAACTGGGGAAACTTCACTACAAAGATTAAATTCAACAGAAATTAAACTACATGTATAGATGTACTGATCTATTTACAATTGCATATGAACAATACATGCAGTATGAAATACACATGATGAAATACACATGAACAATATATACCGTATGTAAATGTATCAAAAGTTAAATCTGGAGAAATGTACATTCACTTACATAACAGAGATGATGACACCACAGTTGAGTAGCCCAGTAGTTTCACAAGAGACATTTCTCAATGCTGGAATAAATTTAAAAATTAAAGATCTCTCCAAAAGTATTGATGTGATTCATACCCGGAAGTATTTGTTAAAGATTAATTAAATGTCATTGTCAATTCAAAATAGCAGAATTAATTTTGGATTCTTAAAAGTCCATATTAATCTACAATATAGCCAGGTTATATACTTTTCAAACATTGATTAAATATCTAAAATACTGTTTTAATGAGAAGGTTGCCAAGGCCGGCTGGACTTTGTTTATCTTTTTCTTGCCTCTCAATTTGAAGAGTTAGTTTACATCCGGGTAATTTCAACATGGAAGGTCACGGTTAAATTTTCTTCGAAATTCAACCAAAATAATGGATATAGTAGCCAAATCAAGGTTTGTTGATAATTCATATTCACATATATTGAAAGAAAAATATAATGCCCTAGCCCAGGCAAATTTTGGAATTGTTTTGACGTTTGGATCGCCGACTAATTATCAATGAAAAGTGACCTCATTTTTTGACAGTTGCTCTGTCAAAACAATCTGAATGAAAACTACTAAAAAGAAAGTTCTTTGAGTTTTATATGCAATTTCAACATATGTCAACGATATTTACCACATTATATGTATAGTGTTAATGCTATTCTATTTGAAAGAATTGTCAAATTACTAGTTTAGTGGTACAAATTTTGATAAATATGTTGACAAAATTGAAGTGTCAAAATCCTTTGTTGTTGTTTGGCTGGCAAGGACCACATGTTCATTGATGACATAGAAATCTGGAGCATTTACTTTTAAACAAACAGGGTGATATGGATTATAATTGTTTACTCATGAATATAATGATCTTGTATGTTGTCTTGTCGCCTGTGCTCACATATGTGCCCAGATGTGTTGTATGGTTTTATAAAGTGTCAGTATGAAGAAGGGAATATACCAGAATTCCTTGGAGTTCATCTTTACAGTGTAAATCAGATAGAGGTGCGATTCAACTTTTAGTATTTATGGGGTGTATTTCTTTCTCTAGGTCTATGAATTATTGGGTGAATTTCCTCCTCTGGGCCTCAATAATTACTATTCTGTTTTTATGCTTGTCTGCTTATATTCAACACTTTAGACATATCTAGAGTCAATCATTCATAAAATATTTTATTGATTGCAGGCTTGACCCTGATCCTGTACAACCTAGTAACATAAACCTGCTAGAAATAGTTCTCCCGCGAAATGTTGTTGAGGGATGTACTGAAGTGTTTCGCAACTCAACACAGACTCTTAACTTTAAGGGAGAACATTCTGACACAAATGTTAAGATTGTGCGTCAAGGCAACGACAGTGTGAGTTTAATACTTTGCGGTACACCATGTATTCAAGTACGCGACCAGTTACACTGCATTGTGCACAATGTACAACATTCAGCAGAAAAACAACCAAAATGTGATAACCTCAAATCACATATTGATGAAAATCTCAATGTTAAACACGAAAATCATAAGAATAATGATGACCATACTCATCATAAGGATGTAACAGATGAAGCTAATAACTCTGTATATCAGAATCAAGTGTTTGATTACACACGCAGTATCCTCGATGCAAACTCGAACAAAACGAAAATCCCAGATCGGCATCTTGAGCAGGACTCGATGGAAAAAAGTGGACTTCCAGATAGGATTAAGTTTGAGAGAGACTCAACAGATAAAGGATATGCGACGGAGAGTGAGCATGACAAGTCACCAAATTCAACATCAATATCGCATCAACGTAATGAACCTGATAACTGCAGTAACCATGACATTTCAGGGGTGATTAGAAAGCCCCTGGTGAAAAGATTGATTGATTCATGTAGTCATGTGAGTCGACCCCACAGTGCAGGCTCTCATTCACATGGGGGTTCCAATTCAAATACAGGGGCTAATTCACACGGAGGCTCTGTCAACCCATCTTTAATGTCACCTCCAATTTATCCGCATAAAAAGCGCCATTGTGTAGCAAGGACTAATGTATCCCCTCTGCTGTCGCCTGAACGAAGGACTTTATACTCATGCAGTGTGTGTGATAAAGAGTTTGTGTCTGAACCAGCCCTTAATGAACATGTGGCTAGGACACATGATCCAACTAGCCCTGGCATGTTTAAATGCAGTTTGTGCAATGCTGAATTCCCAAGTAGATCTGAGCTCGATAACCATAATACTGTTCAGCATTCACCCTCCATAACAGGTTTGAAATGTCCAGTCTGTGGTGTTGAGTCTGACACGGAGGGTGGTTTGATGAAACATCTCCAAATGGTTCATGGACCTCCTGGTATGGCATATGGCTCTGGAACCACCCTACCACCTATCTCAATGGCTTTTGGGCCATTTCCTCAACCAATTATCCCCCCAGGGATGCAACCCCAGTTAAGCCCCCAAGGTGGCGTAAACCCAATTAATCCTTATATTTACAATAACATGTATCCAGCAAACTTCCAATGGCCGCTGTTAAATTCACCCCATAATGCACCTATGTTAACTCCACTGAATTTTAAACACCTTCCCAAAGGCCCAGGGCCTACCCCCTCAAGTACAAATAACGCAACCGACCCCACCCCTGTATACACATGTGGCGTATGTAGCAATACATTTCCGTCCCAAGACGCAGTCGATAACCATATACAGCTTTCCCACCAGCCGTCCAAGCAATTTAATTGTACAAAATGTTCAAAGGGGTTTCAGTCGAATTCTCACTTGTGGCGCCACATGCAATCTCACCTGAATCACAAACTCTACAAATGTCCACATTGTAACAAGGGATTTAACTACAAGCATAATCTGAAGACACACGTCATGTTTAAACATGAGCATAAACCACGAAAACGTAAAGGGGACAACACAACAAACCATGAACCACCACATGTTAATACCGACCTTTTGCAAGGTCCAAAACCCCCAGTGGAGCCTCCAAGGGATCCAGATGCCCCATTCTGTGCCCCATGTAATAAAACCTTCGCCAACAATTTGACTTACACGTCACATTTGAAGCTGGTACATCAGACTTCTAGAAAGTTCCGCTGTCCTGTCTGTATGAAGCTGTTCAAAACTAACGGAGATCTTAAGCGTCATATATTGATCCACTCTGAGCAGAAACTCTACAACTGTCCACACTGTAACAAAGGTATGGCAAAAGCTGATTGTGATTATGATGTTTTTAGACATTACAAATTTGTTTGTACATTTACATATTGTTATGGTCTCTGATTTTTTGTGACGGCGGTTGGCAATCGGCGGTTGATGGTTGGCGTCTGTAACAAATGGTAGTGACTTTTTGCCTTGTTTTAATTGGGACACGGGGGTTTTGAGAAATCATTTTCTTTATGTATTTCTGGTTTAGAATCCTTCAGGAAATCCTTTCTTTTTTTAAATTTATTTCTATCATTCATGAGCATACAAATCAATATTTCAAAATGCAATATTTCCTTTCATTTTATATCACGTGACCATATAATATGATATGATATAGTAAATTGTAATAATGATAATTTTCCCTCTGATATAGGTTTCAACTATAGATATGTGTACAGGCAGCATTTGACAACACACTATGGTAACGCAGACAACTCTGAAGAACAGATAGACAGAGATATATCTTCCTCTAAAAATCCAGTATACGCTTTGTCTGAGGTATGTACGCTTTGTCTGAGGTATATACACTTTGTCTGAGGTATGTACGCTTTGTCTCTGAGGTATGTACGCTTTGTCTGAGGTATGCACGCTTTGTCTGAGGTATGTACGCTTTGTCTCTGAGTTATGTACGCTTTGTCTGAGGTATGTACGCTTTGTCTGAGGTATGTACGCTTTGTCTGAGGTATGTACGCTTTGTCTGAAGTATGTACGCTTTGTCTGAGGTATGTTTTCGTCTGAACAGGTTTAATAAAATTCCAGACTATAATTAAAACATTTAAAAACAAGAGGCAAAATTATTGAAAATATTTTTATTTTACTTTTTGGTAAAATCAAATGGAGAAAATCATTTATAACCTATTTCTAAAACCATTAAATTATTTTACAAAGTACATAAATTATAGTAGTTATGATTAGAACTGTTATTGTCAACTGCCCTCATTTGGTAGTTTGAATTTTGTTTGAATCAACCTTTTAGAAATCAAATCAAGAGAAAGCCTATTTGTAACTTTTTCCAATAACTAACCAGGTAGTGATTTATTTTTGTTACTGGCATGTCTTGTTTATATTGTGCCACCAACAAAAGTGGTGAAATATTGTCTCCAACTTATTTGTAGACGTTGTTTGGTGTTAGGCAGTTGGTGTTCTGCGGTTCACTGGTGATCCACTCGATTACGCCAGTTACCGAAATGGTTCGTTTTGGTAACAAAATGTCGGAACATCGAAGGTATGATTTTTCTTTTTTGCCTTATTTCACACGTAGGCAGAATTCCCTCAACATTTTCAATATAAACATGTATCAGTATCATATGTTTAAGAAAATGTACATATTTGCGAACAAATAGTTCAGAAGACAACAGAATCGTCGATTTAATTCCTCACTTAAGTTACATAAATGGTTTTTTCGAAAAACGGTTAAGATCTGCACTTTAAACAAACCGTTTATGTAACTTAAGTTAGGAATTAAATCGACGATTCTGTTGTCTTCTGAGCTATTTTTTCGCAAACATGTACATTTTCTAAAACATATGATGCTGATACACGTTTGTGAGAAGAAACGTCGTAGGGATTCTACCTACAACGCGTGAAATAAGGAAAAAAGAAAAATCGTACCTTCAACGTTCCGGCATTTTGTTACCAAAACAAACAGTTTTGGTAACCAGCGTAATCGAGCGGATCACCAGTGGGTTGGACTCTGTAACAAATGATAGGAGTGACATTTTGCATGTTAATGTCTTGTTTCTTGTTTGTGTTATAGGCCAACTGTGAGGTTAAATCAGAAGGGTTTGATGAAGCCCCCATGGATGCAAACCACCCTGAGGCAGAAATCTCAAGTGGGGAGAACAGAAACAGGCCAAAAGCAGATACAAATACACCCCCTTTACTGAGCCCTATCAAAACAAAGAGCCCTCCCCCTTATAATATAAGCACCCAGAATAAGCCAAATGAAAATACTCCACCCATGATGAGCCCATATATACCACCCAATGCCCAAAGTAAGGCTAATACCCCTCCCGCAGTTAGTGTCTATGTCACACAAGCAAAACCAAACTCCCCACCCTTGATCAGCAACAAGCCTAACACCCCCCCCATACTTAACCAATACACACAAGTTAACCCTTATAGTCCCAGGCATGCCATCTCCAGGGAGAACCCATACCTAGGGAAATACTTCCAGGAGAAGGAAACGGGAGGGTTAAGCTCTCAAGATTCTGATTCAAGCGCCATCTATAACCAGCATGATAAAGATGTCGCTGTTGTTGGTGTATATAATCAAGACAAAGACCCTGGGGTGTTATACAGTCATCAGGAAAAAGACCCTGGGTCCATGTATAGTCAGGAGAAAGATCAGGGGGTAGGAGGGTACAGTCAACCCGACCCTATGGAGCAACTTCCTAAGGTAGCAGCAACCGAGGCTAAATACTCCCAGTGTGATTTCTGTTTTAAATTGTTCAACAGCCGGGAAGACATGATCGAACATATGAAAACTGTTCACACTAAATACACAGCCAATCAATGTCAAGTTTGTTTTAAATCGTTTAAAACAAAAGGTGAACTGACTCGTCATAGCCGTATTCACGATGAGAAGAAAATGTTTAGTTGTTCCATATGTAACCAAGGGTTCAATTATCGTTATACGTTACGCAAACACATGGAGGTCACCCACCCTGGTGTCAATATTGATGATCTGCAAAGCGTCGCTGAAATCGAACACAAATCTGATGATTTTTCACATGAGCATGGCGTCCCTGTGACTGCCTTATATAGCAACCCCCGTCTTCACGAGAAATCGTTAACAGAAATAGTCCAAGCTGCAGGAGGCCAACCTAACCCTGTTGGTCACCCACTTTCAAATCAAACCAATCTGGATCAAATGACATCCAGTCTCCAATTTAATGAATCTCGTGACGATGCCAGATATTCACCTCTTACTCAAGATAGATCTCGTTTGACACCGGATCTTTTCCCTGAGATTATCTGTACTGAAGTGAAATATGAATCTGCTGGCTCAATTATCAGTGACTGTGAAGGTGATGCCCCCGAAACTGTTGATACAACACCTGATGATCCTGATGTTGAATCTAATGATGGCGGTTTTAACAGAGCTGAGGACAAGGATGACTCACATAGAACTTTACGCGAGACATATGCAGAGGGAGGGAGTAAAGAAGAAAGAATGGCATATGAATCTACTTCAGAGGGAGGAAGTAAAGAAGAGAGAACAACACCCGAAGTTAAGGATCTAAAGGCACAGAGACAGCACTACCTGGATATCTACAGGAAACTCTTAGAAGCAAAACTGAAACAGTCCTCCCCTAAAACCAATTCTGATTCAGATACACCTAGCACCAGCACCTCTCACTCTATACAGGAGAACACTCCTGTGTCTAACTCGCCTCACGTGTTAAAAAACCCGCCGTTGAATTCATTAAGAACACCCACTGCCTCCCAGTTGCATTTAACACCTGCTACACCCGGCTATGAGAATGAGTGTGACATTTGTCATAAGATGTTTAAAACAAAGGGGGATGTAAAACGGCATAAATTAATCCACTCGGACAGTAAGCTCTTCCAATGTAGCCATTGTCAAAAGGGATTCAACTATCGTTACGTGTTCAACCAGCATATGCAGAAGGAACACCCGAATGAATCACAAAATCCAAAAGGTGAACCACTTAATGAAAATCCAAATTCAGTAGATGGGGCTAGTGGTAAAAAGGTCCTATCACTGAGTGACCAATTAGAATCCATATTAGATAATGCAGTTCATGATGTCGCAGAGAACAATGATGGTGTGACAACAGATCAGACCACAACCACATCTCAATCTGATGAATCACAGACTGATGACGATAAAACAAAAGAACTCCATATTGACACAGGCGAGACAGACCATAAACCACAAATTGTTGAAGATGTAAAACTTCCCTCTGGGGGAGTGGGAGGGGGTCCACCTGGGGGTCAATCACAGTCTATGCCTGGGGTAGGGGAAGGAGGGTTGCCCCATATTCCCTGGCAGTCCATGTATATGTACCAGAGGTTTCCCTTTTATGGAAATTCAAGCTTCGAGAGAGGATTTATGACACCTGAGGGACCATATATCAAGGTAAATAGATTTTGTGTAGCCAGTAAAACCTGTAAAGTAGAACTCTGTAAGTGGAACATATCCATAAGTAGAACACTTTCCTAAGTCAAGTTCCCCTTAAACTACCAGCACTATTAGCCGGGCAGCAAGGCCCTTGGTTTCAATTGTCTATGTTGTTTGGCATTAAAATGAGGTATTCTTCCGCGGAGAGAAAATAGATTGTTGACTTAATATATAATTATTAATCTTTATATGGTTCACTAGAGGCACCCCAAAGATGTTCCACTTACTCAAGTTTTATTCAAATATCTGCTGTATTATATATTCTTTTTAAATAATTTATTTCATATGTTAAGTTTATCATTTGTTATACCATCCAGGTTTATAGCATTAACATTATTGGCAGTGGTTAAAATAGTATATGATAGTATGTGTTCACTACAGAGAGGGGATTTTATACAGGAGTCAATGTAAAATGTGTCTTGAAGTGGTGTTCATTGAGCACAGGTGTTCACTAGAGAGAGGTGTTCACTAAGACAGGTTTTACTGTATGTAGCTAAATGGAACCAATTCACAGAACCACAATTCAGATAGATATAAACTATAGATGATTGTCATGATTTAAAAATTGGATCATGATTTCCAGCCGGATGTTGTCAAAGAGGAACAAGACGGCAATTTCTACTGCCAGGTCTGTTTCAAAAGCTTCGCCTCAAAGATGACACTCAGCGCACACGTGAGACTCGTCCATAAGGCAGTACGAAGCCACGAGTGTCCTACATGTCACAAGACATTCAAGACAAAGGGAGATATTAAGCGCCACATGGCCATTCATAGTGATACCAAGCTCTTCCAATGTGAGGTTTGTGGTCGCGGGTTCAACTTCCGGCACAACATGAAGCAACATGTTAATAACGTTCATCGAAAGGAGAAACAGGTTTGTGAATTTTGAATTATTTTGGAGTTTTTGTCTTCTATTTTGTTACAACCTGAAGTTGTGACTTGTTATAGTCTCCAACTTTTTTGTGGATCATGTTTGTGTTTCCTCGATTTTTGTGTTGCATTTCTTCGTAAGCATGTTAAATTGCTTCTCATTGTTTTTTCAAATTCGGAGATTTTATTGCCCGTTATTATTAGAAGCATTTCAGAGAAGGTTTTTGACATATTGTTATATAAAGTCTTCAACTTTTTTTGTGGATGTTCGGCAGATGGTGTTCAGTGGTCGTTGTTTGGCGGTCAGTGTATGTAACAAATGGCAGGTGGTGAAATTTTCATATTAATGCCAAATCTTTCATTGGATTTACTGTGGTTTATTGATAAGGTTGTTAATTTAGTGGATACAGTTCACCGCATACAACTTAAAGGTGTAGTTAAGTTTAGAACTTTCTGATTCTATGTCTAAGTCTGTAGGCCTCTCAAGAACAATGCCATGTGTTTATTTTTCTAATATCTGGAGCAAGAGTATAGCTGGCACACTAAGCTAAATTAGCCTCACTAATCTAAATTAGCCACACTAATCTAAATTAAGTAATCATCCTTATATTTCAGGAGCAAGCTGCCAGTTAGACATTCTTACACACTTTCTTCACACTTGACATACATTTCATCTTGAAGGAGGTTTTCCCTTGTTGGATATGGGCCCAAAGGAGTGTCTTTGCTGAATAAACTTAAAAAGTGAAAGGCACACACTGGTAGTTTTCCTTTGATAAAATGACTTGTTGGGGACCAAAGTCATACATCTGTGTCCCATGGTCTAGTGTACTCACAGAAAAACATTACAAATGTTCTTAATCCTGGTGTAATATATAGTGAGAACAGTGTAATATACTTGTACATGTAGTATTATAGTGTAGTATTGTAGTGTACATATTATAGTGTAGTATTGTAGTCTAGGTGCTAGTACAGTGGAATTATTTTGTAATGGATCTGATCCAACACATAGATGCAGATGTAACATAAAATATAGGATGCACATCATCAAATGATGGATAAATGACAAATTATGGATATCTTCAAATTATGGATACATTTCCAATTTTGGATATCTCCAAATTATGGATACATATCCAAATTATGGATATGATGGAAATATCTTGACTGCCTGAACAATTTATTGCAAGGAGTGTACATATACATAAAACTATGGATAAACTACTTCTAAATATTGGATAAATTGATCACAAAATTATGGATACATTGTGACAGGAATGCAAAATAAACGGATATTGCTAAACACGGATATGAATGACTAAGAGGTATTGAATCTGCCCAGTTAGTAAGGGCTGATTGTAAAATGGCTTTGTGTAAAAATGCACACAAGTGTGTGAGGCATGATATATGTTAAAAGTAAAGTAAACAGTGTACATATACATGTAACCATAGGTTATAAACAGGGTGATACAAAAAATGCAATCATTTGATTTTATTGTGTCACCCTGTATTAGATATATTTCATGCATAGCATAGGTCTATAATGCATGTTTGCATTTACAGACATGAAAATTACTCTATAAGTATTGTTTATAGGGCATATGTTTACAGATAATGTACAGTTGTTTCCTCGATGTATGCATGTTATTAGTGTGTGTAAACAAAACAGTACAATATTATAAAATTATACATAAATGTAAAGCGCATAATGTATTATGAGTAGGTAGTTAGTTGAATTTGTAACAGGACATTCAAAAAGTTTTGGAAAATTGAAGTTTAAAGACAACTTTTCTTAGCATCTTTTTGTGATGAAAATGGTGGAGAAAGCTTTTTTTTGTGTTTTGGTAATGCAGAGGTTTAGATTTTTATTTTCAGTATTTTAAATGGAATGTCCAATATGTGAATATTTAGCATTAATAATATCACACAGAATTTTATTTATTCAAAAACTTTTTGAATGACCTGGTACATTTATCAAATGTATACATAGTAACTGTTATGTACAGAATTATGTACTGTTTATCAAGTACCAAAGAGTTTTACGAAGGATGTACCATAAATTCTTATAAAATTTATTGATGGATTTCTTTTCATGATGTATGAAAAATTAGCTTAAATTGTCACAGTGGTCTTGTTATTTTACTCCCATTTTTCTAGGATTTGACCGAATTGTCTCATCAAATTTCTACTAAAAAGACATGATTTCAAATTGAAATCACCAAATAACCACTCTTTAGATATTCACAAGGTGTTTCACTTTCAAAAATTATAAATAAGGACCCCACGTCAACATTTTTTTCAAAATGATGAACTTATTTGCTTAAAAGAGGATCTTCTTTTTCTGACTTTTATTGCATGAAAACATTATTTTTACAAGAGGTCTAAAAACATCTTCAAAAGTAGAATGGTATTGAAAGTCTAGACTTGAAGATATCAATTTTCGATGACCAAAATCATGCTGAAAACAATGGATAGCATGAGTTTTCCCTATGGGAAAATAACATGGGAAATGTGAACTTGACCATTTTGGCATTTTAAGCTAATATGTTAAGAAGCAGATTGTCAGGGTCAATATTAGTTTAGATATACACTCCCCCAATAAAGGTTGGAAATTGGAAGTCCCTCTTTGACCATTATGTTTGCATTAAGAAATATGAACAATAATATAAATGTTTCACCAAAAAAAAAAAGAAATATGAACAAAATCACATTTTGTTATAAATCTCCAATCATTATTTCTCTTGGGAAAATTACATAAGGTTAACACTCTATCCACTGGAGACTTCTAGTTGCTAAACTTCTTGTGGGGGTGTAACATATATTGTTGAACGATATACTTGTATAGTAAAATATATTGTACAAAACTTGTTTACTTTCTATTAGGTCTATCTAGTAATACCTAGATCTGTATAAGATTCATATATACAAGCTTTGAACATTAAGTCATATTCAAGTAGTTTTGTATATTCAAAAGCCTTGTTGTGTTGGACTTAATGATGTTATACATTAAAACCATATTTCAGTGGTCTTTGCTAATATATATTGAGTATTATAACTAAAGCAGTAGAAATATATGTTACGATAAAATGTATTTTTATATAAATTATTTTTTGTAGCACAGTATTGCAAATAATGCTTTTTCTTGGGCTACCCATGTGAACGGGAACTGCAGTTACGTTGTACAACATGGCCATTCTTTTACAATTTTTTTTATTTTATATTCATGCTTTTTATTTCTTCATATCTGTCTTAGTAAAAATTTAAAATCAATGAAAATGTAATGAAATAACAAGCTAATTTATCACAAAACAGCATTTTGGAAGTTTGCTAATAGGCCTATCTTTATTTTTATTCTGTTCTGAAATATACATTGGCATGTCTTCAATAGCTCTTATTAGCTCAAATTACTCTTCATAAATACTTATTATTTTTATGTAACACCATATTGGGTGACTGTAACTGCAGTTCTGGTTATAACTTGTAGCCCAGTGAAGTGAGGAATAAACTGCAAGATGTCTGTTGGAAAGTAGAACATTATCAACTTTATGGTAAAATCATTTTGCTTGTAATTTGTTCTGTACCTTTCTCACATTATTCCAACCTAAGAAATGCCTAAACCTAGTGGTGTAACCATGGATGTTAGACCCCTTTAAATTAATTGTCTGATTTTAAATGTTAATGTCTGTCAATTCGTGGATGTAGAGGGATGTCAGTGCTTGAGCACTGGTGGTTTAGCAGTGCTCGCTTTGTTATCTGAAAAATTTAATTGGTTAAACCATTTCTTACTTTTTTAGGATTTCAAGATTTTCTTTCACTTAGACATTTTAGTTTGGCAATTAAAGAAACATAATAAGAAGATAAAATGTCTATGTTATTCCCACCAAACAATCTAAAGGGGTCTAATGATTATAGGAAGTCTTTGGAGTTTTACCAGAAATGTACAGCATTTGTAATTAACCAATTTTGTAATTAACCAATTTTGTGTTTGTCAGCTTTACTTACAACTTACACTCCACTGGAATTACTTCTACACTTTACTATACCTTGCATTTGGTGTTCATAAGCAACCCATTCGGCTTATTGGTAATGATTATGTATTTGTTTTTATGTGTCTGCTGCTTATGAATGGTTTATCGGATGACTGTTAGATGTTACTAAGGTACTTTCAAAAATATACTAAACAATACAATTAGACAAACAAAGTATCTTATGCATTTCTAGGTGTTAGGTATAGTAGAGGGCTTCTAAGACTCCCCTCCCCTTGTGGTGACTGAAATTAGTAATACTCTAATGTTATAATTGTAAATTTTGATTTTCCTCTGTGTACTTGAATATTTATTCATTCATTTACATTTATTTCCAAATGTTAAAAATTGACTGCTTTATTTTCTAGTTGTATTAAATTTTATAGTCATTATATTGTATTGTTTTGCCTTTATTGTATTATTTTGTCATCCTTATTGTATTATTTTAGCCATCATTGTATTATTTTATAGTCATCATTGTATGTTTTAGACCGGTGAGATTGTTTTGTTTATAAAGTTTGTGTACATTAAGGAAAGCGGGTTACATACAGTGTTGAGTTAAAGCTTGAAATAGAGCTTGTTGGTATATTTTCACATGCAAAATAGAGGAATATGGAGGAAATGGCAAGAAATAATTAAACAAGTCATTGCTCTTATTGTATGTGGAGTGCTCGAAAATCATATACTGTAAATTGCTTAATTTGGCATCTGTTTTACAAATGGCAATTCAGCAATTCTGTACAACATCTTTGTCAGCAAATAGTTTGTTGTTTTTTCATATATCCTCACAACGACTGCCTAATTAAATATCTACTGATGTTTTCAATTTGCCTAATTGGTTTCCACCAAATTAATCCAATTTACAGTACTTAATTTTACAGACAGTTGACAAGGAGGAAGTGAAGATAGGTCAGGGATTTATACAAAGGGAAAGCATTGAGGTCACATTTCTCCTAAATGTTTTTAAGGCTTGAAAATATAACAAAATTATTGTAAAACATGTTCCTTAAATGTTAATTTTTTACAATTCTACAGCACTCATTAAATCTGTTAAATTAACTTTAATAAATCACTATTTATGTCAGGTATTGATGTCAGGCATTTATGTCAGGTATTGATGTGGCTAATAATATTATATTCTAAAAATATTGAATTCATACATGAAAGAAATTACAAAATGATTCAGAATATTTGAAAACTGCATGTTTTACAATTTTTAGGATGATGTTATTGTACTTATTGTATATTGGAATGACAATATTTTAGTTATTGTATATTGCCAAAAATGTTTCTCGGTGACATTGTAGTTTGTAACTATGTAGTATTTTGTTTACAATATTATTTTTGTATATATTTATTTTTGTAGATACTTGTGTTGTGCAAGTTACTTATTAAAGGCAGTAATGAATTACAAAGGCCTTTCGAAATAGTCGTGTCATTTTAGTTGAATATTTTGGTCCTACAAGCATATTGAATTTGGTCTATCTTATCCTCAACTATTTTGGGCAGTGACAATTTCTATATGTTTTACTGAGAATGTGATACATGCTTACAGTAAAACTCAATCAAAAAATGTTCAGGTGTTCAATTTTAGAGGGTCTCATTATATATGAGCAAATGAACCAACCAAAAATGGAACAAAAAATGATCACCTTTATAAATGGGTTTACATATGCATGTACAGTACTGTGGTACAATACAGTACTGTGGAACAGAACAGTACTGCGGTACAGTACTGCATTACAGCACAGTACTGTGGTACAGTACTGCAGTACAAGTACAGTACTGTGGTACAGTACAGTGGTACAGTACAGTACTGCATTACAGCACAGTACTGTGGTACAAAACAGTACATTTTAGTGTTAAACAGTTCTCCATGCATTTGAGATTTGTCCATGTATAGAATTCAATGGCTATATGTACAATTCTAAGCTAACACTTTTGACGATTATATGTGTGATATTCACAGATATACATGCATGTTCAGTATCATATAGGTATCTATTAGTCTACAGTTAGGATTAAATGATCAATATAAAATTATAAATAAAAAAACAGTTAGTTTAGTATTAGTTTTAAAATTAGTGTAGATCACTAAAAAATTTTGATTATTGAAGTAAGATATATACAGCCAGGGTGATTTATGTTGGTTCTGAAATATTTATTGTTTAAATCATGTTTTGATTGTGAACACCCAGTGGGTGCGCGACAGTGGAGATAGAAAATGTTATATTTCAGTATATGTTTTAGAGATATATTTTTGCATGCTATCTACAATATGTATTGTATTAAGTAACATTTCAAGAGTTCTTTGTGTTTTTTAGACTTTAACCAAGAAATATATGAAACACACATTTTAAGGTGGCCAGAGTAGAATGAATAATAACCACAAATTGGCAGAAATTAACCCACATGTTCCCACCTTAAATTGTGCAATTGGAGGTCCTCCTTTTTCAAAAAATATCAACAATTGTCCATTTGAATTTTTTCAATTCTAGAATATTTATATGTGTCCGTCTTTCAAAATTATAAATATATCACATTTTGATTTTTCTTATCATTCATCTTTATACATTACTTTAAGTGTTCTTTATTCTAAATGTTCTTATTTTTATCCAAAACAACTGTCTTGTTTTGGGTTATGTAATTTTTAGTATGGACTCAATTAAAAATGTAGTTTTACTCATTACTGTATAAAGTGCATTTGATATTACTATATGAAATTGTGTATATTGTATGATATATATAATTAGTTATAAACAATAAATATACCAACTGTATTGCCAAATATAAATCATGTATGTTCTTTTAGAAAGGGATCATACTCTTGAAAATCAGTGATGAAATTGATATCATAGATGCAGCTATTCAACAGTTTAAAATTGTCTGTAAAACGTGCGGCTTCCTTTTTATTTAAACTATCTCTAACATATCTAATGTCTAACGTTTATATCTCCAGGTAGAAATCGATACAAACTAGGACAATATTCTCTGATATTACTAAGCTCGTTCGCTAAATTCAATTTGTGATCCATCAGTGCAAAACCGTGGTCGTGTGTTTCCTGTTTCCTCATGGCATTCCTCATTGTGATGTCAAGACGTCTTGAAGCCTGTACAAACATTATTATAGCACGATGTAAGGTAGACAGATAATCAGTTTGATAAATAAAACAGACGCTTGGAATCTTGTAATTTAAAATTCAAAAAGTTATGTATGATGCTTGATACTCTTCAAAAAGTGCACAAAACTTAAAAGCTTTGACCAAGGGGTGGAATAAAATAACTCACTTTCTTATCATGGACCCAAGAACAACAAAATAGGAAATTAATATATATTTTCATTTATTTTACAATAAAATACAATTAGCATATATTTTGTTTGCAATATATATATCACAATTTGTCATTCACCTTTTAGGTATTCAGTATCATTGAATTATTTTAAAATTATTTTAAATTTTAAAAAGTAGCCTAGCTTGAGATACAACATTTTCTACATATACTACGGCAATAGTAACAAGGCATTACTTGCAAAATGTTACCACCTGCTAATGCCTGGGTCACATTTGCTCCGATCCATCGGCCGGGCACCGGCCGATTGAGTGTTTTATTCAATATTGTATTCAATTTTGAACAAAATACTCAATCAGCCAGCGCCAAGGCGTTAGTTATTGCAAATTGTTACAATCCATGGATGCAAGTCAAAAATGATGAATTTAAAAGTATGACGCCACCTCTTGCTGGAATTCAAATGAATATCTTCTATGTAAAAATTGTTGGATCTCTCACTGATACAAATGTTGTATTTTGAGACTTCTCATGAAGACTACAAACATCTTATGCCTAGGTCACATATGCTCCGATCCATCGACCGACGCCCGGCTGATATTGAGTGTTTTGCTCAATATTGTATTCAATTTTGAACAAAATACTCAATCGGCCGGGCGCTGGTAGTGAAAATCAGAGCAAATGTGACCAAGGCATTATAGAAATATATCTGGTATAAAAAATATGTGTTGCTTATGCTTAGAGCTTACAATACATTGTCAGACTTCAGGGGGGATAAATTTGAAGACTCCACAAAGTTATCAATATGTAGTTCAACTGTAACAATGCATTGTAAAATTAACCAAGAAAATACTAACATTGGTGAATTAAATTGGTATACAGATACCCTAATCTCAATCCACTGGTAGAGCTGGATGAACTTTGAAGATAAATTCAATTAATTTTTCCAATTTCTTATAATTTAATCAGGAATATCCCAAGGTAAATTGACAATCCAAAATCCACCTTTAAACATTGATAAACTTTTGATGAATGCAATTCAACATTCCATATCCATTTTACTTAAAAACCTTGCATTGTACAAATTCAATTATAAATCCAATGTCGATCACACGATAAAAATGTTATAGAATGATTTGAAGTGCAATACAGGATAAATTCTGCTCTCAATATTCTGTATTGGCACTAGACTTCGTCTTGTTCCAATACGAAATTTCTCAAGCAGAATATATCCTGTATTGCACTTAAAATCATTCAATAACTTATAATATCTGTCTTAAATTGACACCTTTAGTAAAACTAAAATGGACAATTAGAATATATTTTAGAAACTGTGGTATGTTAACACTGAATTTTACAAATAATCGCTTGCATTTACCGTGCAGGTGGCAAGAGGCTGTTTTATGAATTTTTTGTTCATTTGAAGATGATACACAATGCATATTTTGCACTTTCAAATGATGTGTCTTTCATTTAATTAAATGGAATACATGTAGAATTCAATATAAACATTTTTGAGAAAATTCCATATCAATAAAATACTAATTAAAAATAGCGTTTCCAAATTCATTAAAGTCATATAAAAATATGCTACAGATAGTTACTTTCATATCAAATTGAGATTCTACATTCAAATGCTGGCAAAATGTGTCCAGTGAGCAAACATTTTATTTATTCACGCCAAAAAAATCTCGATAAAAGTTTAAAAGCATTACTTTATCAGATCTTAATTCTACATCCTCCGAACAAAGGCCTCCAGAAGTCGTACATCAAGGAATTTGGATGTAGCAGATGTTGCCTGGAGCCCTGTGTTCAGAGAATGTTCTTTCTATTGCCACAATTATAAACTATACTTAATTTATCTCACATCAACCACTCTCTATATGAGAATTTTATTTTAAAATTGAATAATTCATACAACCCTTTGAGTGAGTAGAATAAAATACAGGGTGATCAGAAAGGTGAAACCCCCTAATGAGTGTATGTAGACACCCTGTATATGCATATATACGGTAAATCTAAGCTGTAATTGTTATTTTTCACTCTTATATGTTCAACTAAAACCATTTTTCTATTAAGCAAAAGCATTTGTTTTTTGAGCATTTTCCTGATTATAATGCCTTCTCCGATAGCATTTGTAGAAATAAAACCAGAAAACATAAAGTACATGTGAACACACATTTATAAATGTACAGTATACACATATATATACAATTTTACAAAAACTTCTATCATTTCATTTCTTACATATAATCATTAGGAAGTAGATAAAAACATAAATCACACTTTATATGACCCCCACTCTCATCAGCAAAAATAAGACTGAAACTGATTCTTTCAAATTAAGGGTTCAAAATTTTTTTGGCCAATTAAAAGTGATAATTCAAGATAAGTTGAGAGGTTTATCAATTTATGTGACGTCCCATACCTGAATTTAAAGACATCAAAATTCTTGTGAATTGTCATTCTAACACAGGGTGACACAATATTATTCATTGATGACTTCAAAAAGTTCTTCCATTTTTGTGTCAACCTGTACAAGAGTCTTATAAAATGAAATCTGTTGTATTCATGTGAACAATTTCAAATGTCACTATTTGCTCTAAATATACATATAACCACAAACTGATCTGTCACAACCTTAGTGGAGATCTACTCCCAGCATGCATTTCAAAAGAACAAAGAATCATGGGACAAATTGATCTGTCACAACTTTAGTGGAGGTCTACTCCCAACATGCATTTCAAAAAAACAAGGAATCATGGTATAAACTGAGCTTATCTTCTGGAATGACATTATTGCGGAATAACCCTATACATGTATATGTACATATTTAACAAGCTTATATTCTGGAATGACATGATGTTAGTTAATACATAACGGTAAATACTCTTTTTTCACTTCTCTATAATATGATATTCATACAAATATCAACAATAATCTTTGCTATATATGATACAATAATAAACACATTCAAGTCTCAGTATATACATTATAATAACAAGGCATTAACTTGCAAAATGTCACCACTTGCCATGCCATTTGTGTGGTGGTGACATAAAAACAACAGATTTGCATAATTCAGAATGGCTAAGGGGCAAAAGTGTATCCTAAGGGAGAAGGTCAAAATATAGATGTTGCAAAAAAACATAAACAATGTAAATTTTTATGTTTTTTTGCAACCCCCCCCCCCCCCCCCCAGGTATGAGCCTAAAAGTAATGAACGTATATACCCCTCCCCAAACTTGATTACTTTGAGGATGCACAACAGAATATGAATCTGCTTCTTACTTAGGCCTCTCACAAATGTAATTGTTAATTTGAATTCTGAATAATTATGTTTTTAAGGAACCAGTTATTGAGGGATGGTGAATCAGTCAAAGAAACATATTAAAGGCTAAATGCCATGCTTTCAATATTGCCAATAAACTGATATTTAAAAAAATATGTAATATCAAATTTAGACAAAATTCACAGGTTTATAGTACACTAAAACTGAAATTTCAAGTTATAATATGTTACAATTAATTTTCACACACACCCTGCCATTTTCAGTATATGTCAATTGAAGAATGTAATCCTATTTTCTTTACTTTATTGCTATTTTTACTGTTAATGAAAATTGTATGTTGGATGTACGTTTGGCCTTAAAAGGGCATCAGTACAAATAAATCCTATTATATATATGTAAAAAAAATATATATATGCGAGAGCATTAATATAATGCAGTTTAAGATTAAGACATATTTTTACAGAAGAGTTCAGAAGTGTTTACTGTAAGGACAAAGTGCACCTCTCAACGATATCCTCACATGTTGCCTAAATGAAAGGACAAAGTGTACCTCTCAACGATATCCTCACATGTTGCCTAAATGGAAATTGGAGAATATAGTTTCAAATGAGCTAACTGAATTCAAAGGATTCTCATGATATAAAGAATTGTTGGTTGCTTATTGTATAATCATGATATGGAATATTTTGAGCAAAACTATAAAATTGTGACAGGTTTTTTTAGAGTTATTTCATCTTACTTCTAAATTCTAGACACTGGGCTTGACATTTAATAATTCGTGAATATGGTGGGTTAAAATTAATGATTTTCTACATAATTTTGCATGAGTTCATATAATATACATGTTATATCCCACTAATACACATGTTATACCCCACTAATACAAATTCAGAATCTCGCATGATCATTTGATGGTATTGAATTTTTGAAATTAGGATTATATCCACTCTGTTGTCGATTATCATACATTTCTATTGAACTAAGTGGAGTGCCAGAATTCGGTTGAGGGTGAAAGCTTGATGTACCCGGTTGTGCACCATATCTTGGCGCACTGGGCTCAATACTATTTGGCCCACGCATTGGCTCATAATGCATTGATGGATTTTCATAACCCTCTTCCCCGGTGTTTCCCATGTGGTGGTATGAGGGGGCTTGCTGTCGCATTGATTCGTGATAACTCGGTGGTTTAGGGGCAGGTTCAGTTGGGGGTGTATACGTATCAAAATCGGCATTGGCAAGATTCGTGATACCATATGGGTTGACTTGTCCCGGTCGAGGCTGGAAATTAACCTCATGGTATATATTAGTTGTACTTTGACCTGGGGCTAGAGCGACACTTCCGGGCCTAGATGGTGCTTCACCAAATGCAGGGGGAAGAGTGTCCTCTGTAGGTATACTAGGTGCTCGATATGGGCTCATCGCCTGCCTGTTTGAGGCCTGCCTGTTTGAGTTAACTGTATTGTCCACCATTTCATGGGCATTATTTTTCTTCCCTCTTTGTTTCCTACGATAAAGGCAAACACCGACTATAATCGCTGCTACAATAAGTATCACAGCGACAACCACTCCCACTATCACCCCTGTCTGGTTATTTCCTTCTTCATTGCCATCGCCATCACCATCGCCATCGCCATTGCCATCGCCACCATCCCCTGGACCTTGGGGAGCAAAAAGGCCATAACAGGCATCATTTCCCCCTGAGCATTTAGATTCCATGCAGAGACCCTGGGTTGCATTATTTGGGTTTTTACACCATGTGCATGTACCAGACTGAAGACAATCGCTGGAAATACGGAAAAATACATTTTACCAATGAATCAATCAACTAAACTCAATATTCTGAAAACATTGACTCTATTCTGGAAAATACATTGTAAATCTGAACTACACAGGCTGAGCATATCCTTGAATGACATCGACATAAAGCCTATTATCTCATTCCTTTTCTATGGTGGTTCAATTACTCAAAACAAGAGAATGAGTACTTTGATTGGTTCAAAGATTTGTCAGTTATATTTAATTTTTTTAATTTTTTGGATGTACGCTATAAAAGTGGCAATCTATTTTATTATTTGGTATAAAAGTGGCACTCTAACACTTGTCTTAATGGGTCAATCATTGTCTTGACATTGTGTATAAAGAGTTAAATACATCTCATCATTTTTGCTTGGGATAACTTACTTTTGGCTAAACTGTTGAACACATGAGAACAACTGCACGCAAAGATCTAGAGAATTCACAACAGACTCCTCAATCAAAGTTTTCAGCTCAAATGGTGGAGGGTCAGGGGTACAAGTTGGCGATCCATCGCTAAAATTACAATAATGAACACGGTCAATACAGGTTCATTGTTCCCTCATTTCTTGCGATGAAGACGTTGTTAGAAACAGTCCAGTTCGAGAGTTTTTACCTTCAGTATCAGAACTTGAACAAATTGAATCAGTTTTTCGTTCTGTCCCATCCCTACACTTTAATTTTTCTGTATCCCAAAAGGAAGCTAATGAAGGTGATTGCAGCTTAATGCAAATACATGACACTTTGATCTGTCTTTATTCAATGAGTGAGAGACCTTTTATTAAATTTAATCATATTCACTTAAGTGAACTACATTTGGGGATAAATCGTGACTTTTAATTTTTTAGTGTGTTTCAAACAACTTACCTTCCCAGTGGAAATGTATTAGTGCAATAGTCAAAGTCAGCCTGGCCGAAGCATGGACACTCACAAAATTTGTCACCTTCATTTGTGCAGGAATAATCACTTCCTGACTGGCCTTGGTTCTGAAAAAACAATTTCCATTTATTTTATTTATTTATTTACTTTTTCTTTTCCAAAATATGTACAGTACTGTACTTCCAAACATATTGCTAATTTTGAAATATTTATTAGATTTTTGTAAAAGACGCTTCATACAACCTCTGACATTAACCTCTTGAATCCCAGGTTTTAAAAGAGGTTGAAACCAGATCATTTTTTCATTTTGACTGCTTTTGACATTTAACTACATACATACACAACAGATGATGTTCAATTTAATAAAATTAGACACTGGAGATCATTTCTAGACATTTTAAAAGAATTTTTGTGTAAATCGGATAAAAATTGTTCAAATAAGAGCAATTTTAGTGAACAATTTTGTGACGGATTATCTCGTCACTCTGGGTTTCAAGGTCATTTCTGAGGTGACGAGAAATCTCGTCACTCTGGGTAATAGGTTAAATCTTGCCGATATATCATAGTTACTTTGATACAGCAAAAGGCGGCAGAGCTTTATTGGGAAGGTGTTTTACATTACAGCTTGAAAATAAAATATTTCTAAGTAAAAGGGAAACCTTAATCTAAATTTGTGTCTAGATTTACATTGTCACGGGGGTCTAAAATTCAAAAAATTAACATTTTTTGTACATAGTTGGACCCCCGTGATTGTAAGAAGAGTAATAAAAACTGTACATCTGAACACCACAGTAATCATAGATACACTTATTTTGACGCTAATTAATTTGACAGATTTGCTCAATTTCAAATATTGGTGGCTATTTAATTTGGCGGATTCAGGACTGAAGTTTAATTTTTGTAGATGTTTATGTCATTAGGACAGGTTTTTACTTACTTTAAGATATTTTCTGTATTTCTTTTGGAATAATGTAAAATTAGTGACATGTTGGCAGGAAAAGGGGCCCCTCGCGCCCTGGAGTTTAATTTCTGAAGTGCATTGGAAAAAAATTCCGAAATTTGACGGATTTTTAATTTGGCGGATTTTCTGAATCCGCAAAACTGTCAAATTAAAGCGGGAGCCAAATTAAGTGTATCTACAGTAAGTATGGGATGGGAGAATTGAGAAAATAAAAATCCAATCTTGCATAGTAAAAACACAATGCATTTAAATAATGAACGTAAAATTTCACATGGAATGATCTTGGCTCTAAAAGTGATACCTGAGGACATCTATTATATTAGTAGAAATATCATGCTGTTCATGCTAGTTGGAAATTAACACTTTCCTACCCCCATAAACGTGGGGTTGGTTTTTCAAATCACCCCCAAAACTACTTGTGTATTGAAAACTTGGGGTTGTAAAACATTGTCAGCCGTTGACACAAAGCTGAATTTTATCTAAATAGCCACTAATCCAGCTTATTTTCAACCCCAAGATTTTCATACACAAGTTATTAGTTAAGTTAAGTTATACACATGTTCCACATTTATGGGGGTACACTTTCCATGTATGTTTTGAATAAAGTTGATATGAATAGGCAGCCATGAGGCAAACAAGGAAACTGCCTTGCCAGAATTTTACAGAAAAATATAATTATAATTTATTTTCAATTGAAACTGTGAAAATGAGGTTTAATTTTTTTTTTCAAATATAGTTTATTCCAATTTAGGTTTTTACGATACAGAAATTCAATGGTACAATTAATTACAATAATGTATAGTGAGTTTGTTTTTTATGATGTTTAATGTTGACATTTATAATATTGCCTTTCACTCAAAACCCTTTTTGCCTCAAAGTTGTCTTGACAATTGAAATTTGATTGCCTATGTGTATTCTTGTGTATGTTCTTGTAAAAGACATTTTCCAGTTTATCTACTAGATGCAAAGAGATAAGTTTCATGATTTCATAAAAATGGGTATGCTTTGAAAAAAGTAAATAAAAAAATATACAATATGTATGAGCAAAATAGGGTAAAAAGGAAAGCCAAATATAAGGTTGTTCTAATCGGAGAAAGGAGTGGGATCGATATCGTGAACTTTTTGAACATGCGTTTCTCTTAAACCAGTCATCAAAACATACTGAAAATTTTACACATCGTCAATTTACTGGTCATCTTGTGGATGGTATCATTATAAATGAAATGTATATTTATCCTTTTCTCTATATTGGTTTAGAAAACACATCCGATGTTCTTTTGTTCTTGGTATCATAGGTTCGGAATGAAATGAAACATCTATCCGAACCTCATTGAAACAAAACGACATGAACACAATGTGTTTAGGTCTCTCAATTTTATAATTGTACAAACGAAAGTTAGAAATGGAAATTTCTTAGTATCTTGTTTATGAAATAAAATGCTTATTTTAATTTTCATCTATTGGGGGGGTTGTTTTAAGTTTTTGCATACTTTTTGTTAAATCAACCAAAATTTCCTTTGTAATATTGAGAGGTTTAAGAAAATGTTGTATATGCTTTTTTGTTCCAACAAGGTTCGGAAAAGCATTTTATTTCATTCTCAAGAATTGGTAGAAAGGAACTAAAAACAATTGCACTAAAAAACAAAAAAATTTTAACAAAAACAGTTATATAAAACATATACAAATAATTTTTGCATTAAATTGTTGCTTATCAGTCAACATTACATAAAGGACTGTGTTTTTACAGAATGTTTTCAATAATTGGTTTAAGAGAAAAACATTGTTGAATTCATTTCACCATATCGATACCTATCCTTTTGAAAGCTAGCAACATGCTCATGCTACACAATTATAAAGTTTACCTAGTATGAAGGTAAGTGTTCAGTTATCTACAAAGTACCTGAAGAGTGAAGAAGACATACAATGGACACACTAAAGATGTATGAATTTGCAAGGTCATTTCCAAAGTCATCTCCATATGATACAATGGGTAGCAGTGCTCTCCCCAGGATTTTTTGCTTGGAGGATTTCATTATTTTTTTAATGCAACAGTTTAGTATTTTGTACAACATTTTATGATTTTGTACTTTTGTGTGCAACATATATAGAATATTCTTATTCTTAATTGTAACATTTTAAGAGGTGCATCTAATTGCATTGAGGAGAATTTTGGTTTTATAAAATACATGGAGGTGCTGCACCTCAGAGATTTCAATGTGGGGAGAGAACTGGGAAGTATTTCATAATAAGTGTTTCATATGATGAGACCCCTCTCAAATTCATAATACTGTGAGCAGTCAATCCCAGCATGATCAGGGCATGGGTACTACCAGTAAATACCAAATAGAGTAACCAAACCAAGACAAACATTAGCACTCCACCTAGTGAGGAAAGAAGAAACTGAAAATACAACACAAGTGCTGCCACCTGGTGATTAAACATTGAACAACAAGTATTAAACACAGGTAGTTGCATTGTACCAAGAATGAGAAAATTAAAACAGAATTGAGTTATAAAAAAGAGTAATAGGAAACTAGAAGTATATGACCTGGCTTGAGGACTTATATGTGAAAGATCTCGTGAGGTAAAACAACGTATTATGTTTGATTAAACAATATGTGCATTAATAATGATGGTGGCCATATTTATATCAAATATTGGATAATGATCATGGATAGACAGAATGGACAATTACATGATTTTCAAAATTGTTTTTGTTTATTTATTTAGATAATATTGGTTTATATAGAACACTAATGTGACTGGTACTTCAAAAGTTACATATCTTAGCCGTGGCAGAACAATTCAGTTTTCATTGAATTTTCATTCTCTCCAAAGTTCCTATTCAAAACTGTCTGATAAAATATTCCAAATACTTTAAGGAGCAACAAGGCCTGTACAGAGAAAATAGGAAAATTTTAACTTTTTCTGAGCTATCAAGGCTAAACTATCAATTTCAGCATTAATAAGTGTAAATTTAGTTCAAAGCTTCAAAAAGCGGCAATCCAGTTTTATATTTTAAGATCCACTATGTTTCAAGAGGAATATCAGCTGAAATAATGTTTATCTAGGGGGTTTCTTTGTAGATAATAAAAATAGATGTAAGTCTTGATAAAATATCCAAACTTAATATATATTGACACTGGTCCATGATCGTGCACTAATTGTTGCACCTTTAAATGAATCAATTAACATGAGGATGGCCACCATTATAATGTTACTTATAAGCATAAAAATAAAATTACATTGATAGGGCTTGTAGTACTAATGGAGGAATAACTCTAAAAGAAAAATAGTAGTTAAATGCAAAGGTGTCACTGACACTGTAAGTGTAACAAAGACATTTCACAAAACATATCTTTCACTGATAAAAATAGTCATTTAACACTTCAGTACATATCATCTTGGAGTTTTTAATGGTTAAAAGTTAAAATTTATCAATAGTACTATATCCTTATAGTTTTGGAAACCATTTATATTGAGGTGAAAACTTTAATTCAAGTCTCTACCTCCCTTAAAATATTTCAAACTGTCAACTAAAAAAAGCTGCATTTAAAATTATAAATTTAGTACTTCAAAAACTCCAAATAATAAAATAAAACTTAATTCTTCGTACCGTTGCTGAGCATTTGCATTGTTCAAGGCCTAATGCAGAGTTTTTCTTGATTCCCACAAATGCGTTAGTTGAATCTATGGCATGAAGCTCATAGGCAGGTACAGAATCAATCATATCAATGCCATTATTCTGAAAAATAAATATGCAATAATAATTTTAGCATGGCAAGTAATTTTATAATAATATTATAATGAAAAGTTTATGATAAAAACTAATAACAAAAAGGTCAGGATTTACAAGGTGACAAAAAGCAGGCCCAGCAAAACTGGAATAATATTTTTTGATAATATCTATGATATTTTTGATTCAGTCACACTGGGTATTCAAGGTACTCACAGGGTTACTGAATATTAAAGCATGACATTTTTTTTATAGATTAACAATTTATTTCATCATATATGACATTGAAGAGGGAGCACTATATGCTATAGGTTTCTTTTTTTTTTTTTTAATATATATTTATTTAAGTCAAGAACAGCTACATATTTGTCACATAATGTTTACAGGTTTCTTTTGTTTTGGTCTTGTAAAAAGAATTGAGAAGTCAGGTGGCTTAAGTAATGAGAGGACGACATCACTGGCTTAGTCCACTACGTCCTAATGATGATAATGATGATGATGATGATTGATAGCACTTCAACTCACCCCTATGCTTCCTCTATTCATTAGCCAGGTGTAATGATCCTCAATCGACTCAAAGTTGATGCACTTCTGTCTTCTCATATAATTGTTGTTTATCATATGTGTTGCTATGGAAGGCTCCTATAAAATGGCAAAATTTACGACTTTTGACCAATCAAATTACAGTACCATCAACATATAAAATAGTGACCATAGCAACTGACACTCTTGACCAATTAAGCATTATTCGCCATTTACATAACACATCTGACATGGATGACTAAATCAACCATATCAAATGACACTACCCTATTTTTGGTGCAAAAAGGATTATCTAGTACATGTTAAAATTACGTAAGAAGCAAATACTTAATTGTATGTGGCAAGGAACAATTTCTCAAAAGTAAGGCCCATTTTTGGCCCAAATCTTTTTTCACATATTGTGGGGTCCACCTATGTCCACTAGTTCGTTGACTAGTGTATAGGGTAGTGGTGTCAATTAACCGCTTGAGCATTAACCGGTTAACCGGGGGTTTTTACCGGTTAAAGTCGGTTAACCGGCGGGAAATTTGAACTGATGATTTCAAATGAAATCTTCATCTTCGATCTTGAAAGTTGAAAAAAATTGGAAAAATGATATATCGGCGTTTATTTTTACGTTCGTCAAGCTTTACGCTATTCTATGTAAGTAAGCGCGGGAAAGCAATGTGGCAGGGATTAAAGTTGCTGATTGGATGTTTGTAAGGAATTATCGGACCTATCACATGTATGCATGAGTAGCTCACATGAAACTGACGCTTGAAAAACAAACAGATTAAAATGCAAAGTAAGCGCGGGAAAGCAATGTGGCAGGGATTAAAGTTGCTGATTGGATGTTTGTAAGGAGTTATGGGACTTATGACATGTATGAGTAGCTTACGTGAAACTGACACCATAAAACCAAACGGATTAGCATGCAAAATAAGCGCGGGAAATAACAGAATTATACACGGTCAACTAACCGCCCATAAAAACTCAGACCGGTCAAGGCATTATCGGCGGTTAACCGGTTAACCGGTTAATACTTGACACCTCTAGTATAGGGTACTACAGCAAACTTACCTTCACTGTTATATGTAGACCTTCGATTTGTTGGTTCTCATTTGAACAGCTCACAAAGTCTTTATGCATTACAACAAATCCACTGCTATCAATAACAAAGCAGCTAAAATATAAAACAAGACATTACATCAAATATTTTCAGTCATCAATATTTTTTCGCTGGTACTGATCAAAATCCCAAGTTTTTAGTGTTAAAACAAGCAGGGAATATTCATAATAGTTAGGCTGTTCAGGGAATATTCATAATAGTAAGGCTGTTCAGGGAATATTCATAATAGTAAGGCTGTTCAGGGAATATTCATAATAGTAAGGCTGTAAATTTTCTGAAATACGAATAATTCATTGGTTTTAGTAGCACAATTAGAACATGAAGTCAGAAAATTACAACACTAAATTTTTGTCAATAGCATTAATCTTTGGTCAAAGCTATGCAGTGCCAAACAGTGGCTCTAAAACTGTGAAGCCATCTGTTGTAAGTAAATGAGGCCAAAACCTCAAAGGGTACTGAGGCAAATGAAGTTTCTATGTACATGTATTACATACCTAGCGAAGCATTTGTATGGAAGTCAATGGGAAAGTTAGCGAGCTATATCCACCGATATTGCCCGATTACCCCGATATAGCCCGTTTACCTCGTTTTGATATTAGATTTCTTTAATAACCATGATAATATCATGACGTCACGTCATTAATACAAAGTAACCATGGGAACAAAGGCATGTAATACATCAGTTATGTCACTATGACGTGAAATATGCCTTCGTTCTTGCCCAAATATAGAGCCTCCCAAGGTCGGCCTATATTGGGAGAACTCAGGCATATTTCACGTCATAGTGACATAACCTCTAAATATTATTCTTTATTTTCACTGATCAATTTACCAAATCAATTTACCTATATATTACATAAAATTCCTTTAGTCAACAATAATAGACATGCAATTGATTGCCAACATTTTATAAAAAACATTAGCGGCAATTTCAAAAACATTAGCGGCAATTTTAAAAACATTAGCGGCAATTTACCTATAGTCATCCTCTGCACATATGGGGTAGAGAGCAGTGAGTTTATTGTAGAATATCATAAAGTTGAAATCAAACCCCATCACACCAAATATTGGATCATTTTCATTATGATTTCCTCCCGACCTAAAAGATAAAATATCTGTTTACAAATTTACACAAAACACATTTTCTATTACAATTACAGTATTTATTAAAGGAATAAAAAGACCGAGATTTTATGATTTATGGCGTAATATATACAGAAAATTTTATTTTGTTCATTTTTAAAAGACTGAGATTGCTGAGCTATTATTATATTTACTGAAATGATCAATGCTATGGAATTTTTACTTGAACTAATATGGATATTACATATATGTAGTACATTTAAAATGTTTCAAATAAATTCGGAAAAATCAATCTCAGTGACTTACTTGCCATCATAGAGCGTATGGCTGAGTGTTATGACATATCCCAGTCCAAGAGCATCGTCATACGGTGCATTCAATGTAATCTTGCCTCTATTACTCACTGCTCTTTTGTACCTAAATGCAGAAAACAGAAGAAAAGGTTTAAAGTGTATGGCTGAGTGTTATGACATATCCCAGTCCAAGAGCATCGTCATACGGTGCATTCAATGTAATCTTGCCTCTATTACTCACTGCTCTTTTGTACCTAAATGCAAAAAACAGAAGAAAAGGTTTAAAGTGTATGACTGAGTGTTATGACATATCCCAGTCCAAGAGCATCGTCATATGGTGCATTCAATGTAATCTTGCCTCTATTACTCACTGCTCTTTTGTACCTAAATGCAGAAAACAGAAGAAAAGGTTTAAAGTGTATGACTGAGTGTTATGACATATCCCAGTCCAAGAGCATCGTCATACGGTGCATTCAATGTAATCTTGCCTCTATTACTCACTGCTCTTTTGTACCTAAATGCAGAAAACAGAAGAAAAGGTTTAAAGTGTATGACTGAGTGTTATGACATATCCCAGTCCAAGAGCATCGTCATACGGTGCATTCAATGTAATCTTGCCTCTATTACTCACTGCTCTTTTGTACCTAAATGCAGAAAACAGAAGAAAAGGTTTAAAGTGTATGGCTGAGTGTTATGACATATCCCAGTCCAAGAGCATCGTCATACGGTGCATTCAATGTAATCTTGCCTCTATTACTCACTGCTCTTTTGTACCTAAATGCAGAAAACAGAAGAAAAGGTTTAAAGTGTATGACTGAGTGTTATGACATATCCCAGTCCAAGAGCATCGTCATACGGTGCATTCAATGTAATCTTGCCTCTATTACTCACTGCTCTTTTGTACCTAAATGCAGAAAACAGAAGAAAAGGTTTAAAGTGTATGACTGAGTGTTATGACATATCCCAGTCCAAGAGCATCGTCATACGGTGCATTCAATGTAATCTTGCCTCTATTACTCACTGCTCTTTTGTACCTAAATGCAAAAAACAGAAGAAAAGGTTTAGAAAATAAAACATGAAAATTATACATTACTGGTGAACATCCTGATAGGACGTTGATGTGTAATAAATTAGATTATGGATCTTTTTTTTCAATCTGAAAATCCGGAATTGTAATTCTGATATTTGTCAAATTCCAAGAAGCATTTCTTTTTTACAATAATACAAATTCCGTAGCTAATCTCGATTGTAGTTTTATCATATTCCATTGAGGAGGATTTCTTAATCGTTTTCATTAATTTTCAAAACACAAAAACAATAACTTCCCTATCACACTTACCATGGTCTCACAGTAGGGTCATAAGTTTTATTATTCAAGGCTCCTGGGAAAAGTTTCATTATGCCGTTTTCTGTCCCAACATAGTGCCATATCGACTGGACATCCTGGGTCCAAATGTTCTTTGTCTCAACTAATGCAGAAACTGTATTTCTGATATCATCCTGAATGCAAAAGAATAAAACATAAATGTCATATCATACTTATTAATTATATTCAGGTACATCTTTGAGTTGACTAAGGGATGAGTTGACTTCAATTTTGTTAAATTGGTGACTAAGAGATGAATTGAATTAGGGATAAGGGCATGTGGACTTGTGGATGAATTGATTTGGGAATAGATTGACTTGGGGATGAATAATGAGTTGACGAGGTATATGACCAGTTATATCAGTTATTAAAACTAATAATAAGACAGGTTGTGAAGTACCTTAAAACCAGGTATATTGTTTGTAATGTCAGTCATATATCCAACAATTTGATCAATCTCATTTTGTGTCTCCACTCCATCCAGGTAGACAAACGGCTTCTTAAATGATTTGGCTGCAAAAAATATGCTTGGTGAACCTGAAAAACACAACCAAATTAATTATGGACACGTAAAATATAAGATACAAGGTCTGAGAAAGTTTTGGCAAGCGTGATATATACCTATTCATTTTTGTCATGTTTTGCTGTATGCAATACAATTCATATATGGTCTCATAAACCTATTGTAATTTAATTTATACACAGAAAAAATGTGTCTATTTTGAATGTTTGAAAATATGAACAGAAAAACAACTTGGTTTAACCCACCAAATTAAGATGCAATTACCTTTAAGTGCAGGGGCTTTGATGTTTTTACAAAGGGATGAGCTAGGAACCTTGTCAATCCTATGGTATTTAAAGTCTTGTGAGGATATCTTTGGTTGCGTTGTCATGGCATTTTGGACATCATCATCTGGCATCACAATACACACAGAGAAATCTGTCCCATTAATCTAAATGGAAAAGCATGGGTGATGTAAGAATTTAAGCTAATTGGTGATATGAGATTGAATTTAATCACAATACACACAGTCTCATTAATCTAAATGAAGAAGCATGGGGATGTTAGAATTACAGCACAATTGGTGAATTAAAAACTCCATTTTGATTTTCATGCATGAAAATAGAACCACTGGTCTTTTAAAGTTGTGGGTGCTTACTAAATTAGAATGAAACGATTTTGACGTTTTGAGTTCTCCATGATACCTAGTAGAGAAATAAATATGTTGGCATAAGTGCCAAAGAGAAAATACTAAAAGTAAAAAGTGTTATGAAACAGAGCAAGAAAATGAAACATTTAGGACTACATCCAGTCACAAGGAAAACAAATCCCAAATATCCCAAATTATGAACTTACATGTAAGGAAACAATGTCTTATACCCCCAACCATTCAAGAATCATCTCAATCTGATACCACCTGCCATTTGTTACAGATAACGAAATACCAAATGCCAAACACCATGAACAAAAATGTTAAAGACTATAACAATATGTCACTTCTGGTGGTGACATAATAAGTTCAACATACCGGCTGCCACATGTAAGTTGACTGCACACTCTCTGTGTAGACTCCATCCATTGATGTTGACCCTCTGGGGAATACCATCGTATTAGATATTTTCATAGATCCTTTTGTCCCATTTTTCATTGAAGTTAAAATACCATTCTCCTCAGCCGTTCTCTCTAAGCTTTCAATTGGGACAAAAATCGGTGCGTCACTAATCGAGTATGGCTTTGGGAGTAATGGATGCATCATTGTACGCCCAGTTTTGTCGATGATAAATGCGTACGATTTTTCACCTGTGCGAAAATAGATGACGTCTGCAAGGAGGTCCTCCATTGTGATATCAACACAAGCCACGCCCTTAAGATTAGCATTGTAGAACACAGGGAGACAGATTGATGTCACCAGGCCTGTTAGTTAAACGGACAAAATAAACATTAATTCAGTTTCATTTAAAGCAATTGTAAATAAGTCTAATAAAAGGCATCATTCATTGATTTATCTTAGGAAACTAAAATAAAAAAATATGGGCTCATCATCATATCAAGATTTCACTCTTTTTAGAAATATAATAAAAGCTGAATATCTAGCTTATGAGTATTATGAAGTTGAATATCAAAAGTGTTTTTATAGAATTGTACATTTGATTAGTTGCTGTCTGTCTCAATACAAGGCAATAACAAATGGTTGCAAAAACAAAACAAAAAAAACAAAACACTTAGTTACAGAAACCAAACACCAATTGCTGAATGCAATCCCCCAAAACAAAAGTCAGCCACAATATGTCACCATAGCAACAGTAAACATCGCATACCTAGTCCAGACGCATCTACATAGGGCACTGTAATGATGGCATTATCGTGCTCTACATCACTGAAGAAATCATAATAGGATGACATCTTTCCACGAAGTGTGTCCGGATCTGATACTTTAGTGAAAAGCCCCTTCTGCAAAGACAAACATTTCAATGTTGTTTGAGTTTGAAAGTCCCTTCTGCAATAACAACAATCTCATTGTTGTTCACTTAATATCCTTTAATGAAACCCTCAATTGCAAAGACAAACAATGATATATTTGTGACTTAAAATAAATGCAGATATTTTTATCAATGAATACACCCCCTTATCCCATAGTTGAGGTCAAAATGTTTGATAACATGATGTGTTATTGTTATGTGATGATTTCATAAAGTCACATGATAGATAAATGATAAATGAATGTGTTGTTTGAAATGCTTCATACCCTAATTTCTCCATATGCTGAATCATAGTTTTTCTGCTCTGCCATGTCTTGTAATATTGCCTCAGCACCAGCATTTTCAGCAGCTTAATTTGAAAGCAGATATAGTTAATGTATATATGCAATTTTTAAAATTAATGAGCTTGTCAAATTCACAATTACAAATCTATAATATCTGTAATAAAGGATACGGGTATTGATATGGTGAACTTTTTGAACACACATTTCTCTTAAACTAGTCATCAAAACATTCTGAAAATTTTACAGATCGTCAATTTAATGGTCATATTTTATATGGTAACATTATAATTTGAAATATATATGTACTTTTCTCTATATTGTTTTAGTAAACTTCTTTTGTTCTTGGTATCACTATGTTCAGAATGAAATGAAACATCTATCCGGACCTCATTGGAACAAAACAACAAAAACACTGTGTGTTTAGGTCTCTCAATATTGTAATTGTACAAAGGAAACTTTGGTTGATTTTAAAAAAGTGTCTTGTTAATGAAATAAAAGGGCTATCTTAATTTTCAACTACAGGGTGTAAAAAAAACGCAACCCAAAGAAATCACTATATCTTGGAAAATACTAATCCAATTATGTTCCTATTTTCAGGAAAGAAAGCAGAGACTGTGTATGTATAGCCCATGTTGTTCGTTAGTTGTAAAACATGATATCTTGGACACTTGCTCAAAAGACAGTTGTACTAGGAAAATATGAAAACGCAGTCAAAGGTGACTGCCACAGCAATAAAACCAAATTAATTTCTAACCATGGTGTTTTGGCACTTCAGATTTGGCACAAATTATCCTCATTAATGTGTGGTGAAATAGTGGAGTTTCACCAAAGTCACTCCAGGGACTTTACAGTCATGGTCAAAATGGCTTCTTAAGTCTCACTGAACCAGGGCGTTTGACTGCGATTTGAAAGCATTTCAACCATGACTGTAAAGTCCCTGGAGTGATTTTGATTTCACTCTACAGATTAACCGTACAGTGAATGAAGATGAAAAAAATTAAGAGCCAAAACACTATGGTTAGGAAGATATGAATTTTTTTTGCGGTTGCTGTCACCCCTGACTGCGTTTTTTTGTATTTTCCTAGTACAAATGTCTTTTGAGCAGGTGTCCAAGGCATCATGTTTTACAACTAACCATTTACAGGACCTGTACATACACAGACTTTTCTTTATTTTCTGAAAATATGAACATAATTGAACCTGTATTTTTCAAGATATAGCGATTTCGTTGGGTTGCGTTTTTTTTTTTGAACACCCTGCATTTTAGGGGTTTTGTTTTAATTTTTTGCATACATTTTGTTATATCAACCAAAATTTCCTTTGTATAACTAAAATATTAAGAGGTCTAAGAAAATGCTGTATATGCTATTTTGTTCCAACAAGGATCGGGTTTGGTAGAAAGGAACAAAAAACAATTGCACTAAAAACAAAAAAATTCAAAAAAACAGTTATATAATAAATATAGAAATAATTTCCGCATTAAATTGTTGTCAATCAGTCAACATTACATAAAGGATCATGTTTTTTACAGAATGTTTTCAATAATTGGCTCAAGAGAAAAACATTGTTGAATTCAGGTCACCATATTGATGCCTACCCTATCCTTTCATTTCATTTCTATTTCTTCATTTGAATTAAATTATCATTTTTAATTTTTTTATTTGATTTTTCTTATTTTGATCATAGTGGTCAAAACATAAATAAAAAAGTCACCCAAGCTGCGACAATACAATATCTGCCTTGAAGATAAACATATAATTCCCCCTTGGTATAACCTCTATATATTCCATAGGATAAATTTGATATCCTACCTCCTCCAATACCATAGGTCATGATGACCACTTCATTCCTGATCTTGGCATTTTCATCTCTGATCTTATTGAGAATAATTCTTCGTCCATTAGCATCAGTCCCTTCAGTGGGAACTCCATCAGTGAGAAATAGGATTACTTTATCTGGAAAGTTATCATATTTATTGTATTTTTACTTATTTAAGAGGCCCGGAGTAACTGTATACAATTTAAGTTGAAATGCATTAGAAATTTTATAAGTATACTATTAAGAATGATTTTTTGTAAAAACACATTAAATTTGAATAAGTCTAAAATTTTTGAACATTTTTAACAATTATGATTTGAATTTTTTTTGCTGTTGTAAAAACACATTAAATTAGGAATGTGTTTGAAATTCTAACTAAAAATGTGTTAATTTAATTAAAGGCATAATGTTGGCTCGATAATCCAATGCAATACACAAACCTCTTTTTGTTGAATTCCCTTTTGTTTCCCTGTCAATCTTATGCAACAGTGAGAACGCTTTGTCTAATGCTTGAACATAGGATGTTCCACCATCAGCGACTATCTCATTAACATCTCTTGTTATAATGGCTATATTCTGAGGTGTCGCAAGAGCCAGTTGACTGCCGAAGCAAAATTTGCTCTCGAGGTTCCCATCTAAGATGGTGGCTTCTGAGGAAAAAGCAACAACTCCCACCTGGAAACAATTGTTGTAATTACAAAAACATAAAGTGGAATATTACATAAACTGGAATACATGTACTACATTTAATATTCAGAATTACACCCAACTGATTAGAAATACAAAACGTATACTGGAAAATCGATCTTTATTTATCATAAGCATTTGGATAATTAGTATACTACATGTACATACGTTAGATCTCACAATATCCTGTATCAAGTCTCAAACAGTAATTTAAAAAAAGATTTATATCAGATTATTTTGAAACCTTTCTTCATATTTTTAATTTATTCAATTTTAAATCAATGTTCTAAAATAGTGTTATGCCAAAGAAACAAATTAACTAAAATGTGTACGCATTAGAGATTAATAAATATAAAGATAAACAAGGCATTGAACATGCAATATGTCACCACCAGCCATTTGTTACAGACATCGAAAGTCAGACACTGTCACAAGTTGTGGTGGTTACATAAAAATGTTAAAATTAAGTTAAAGGGAAGCATCACTCTTTGTTTGCATATTTCCTTATTGACCTATGAGACCCAAAACATGGATTGAGGGATGCTGTCAAAACATAAAAAGTTGTGAACAAAGTTCAATTCTTAATCATAGTTTGACACTCTCCCTGTTCCCAATATAACAAAATTCAAACAGCTAATTTGCCTTTGACTTCAGTAAATCATCATTCTTTGCTTTCATGGGCGTAGTGCCTGTTAAGCAGAGTACGCCCGTGCATACCAATTGAATTTGATGAAAATTAAAAATGTGTTAAAATGCATTAATTTGTTTGCACATTTATTGATGATTCTTTTGAATATTTAACTATTAAGTTTTATCAGAAGAACTATTTAAGGTTGATAAAATGCTAAGATTGCATCAAATAATGTCTTTGCATGTTTGGAAAATAATGATAGTATGCTTTTGGAACATTAAAGGGTGACGCATATCGTTTAGCAAATCGAACGCTCGTTTCTGGTGTTGCTCACCGTTTAGTATAAAAGGCCCGATCCCGGAATAATACTCAAGGGTTCACAGGTTTGAGGTCGTTGTGTCAACACCTCTAACTGTTATATAGCATAAGTATATTATAGATCGTCACACATTTATAAAAGGGTGATTTCTATTTTGACAAATCAATTCCACATTTATGGGTGAAGTTTCAGGATCTTTTATTTGTGTACAATAAGGAAAAATTGGCATCTAAATTTCCCCATAACGTAATAGCACACAGCTTTGCATATGGAATATCCTACAAATGAAACAAAGCAAGACAAAGCGGTTTCTAATACAAGGATTTATATTGGCTGTTGTACATGTATTCTTTGAACGCAATCACTCTTTGGATAACGTTTTCAAAATCATTATAAACGGATTACTTTATCTCAAAGACAATTTCAATAAACTGGATTTTACAGAACTCCCCTTATTTCTTAAAAGTGGACTGATCCAGTTGATTTGCCTGGAGCCGCCATATTGTTTTTATACGGGATGCTAATCGGAACCCTTTAAGTGTAACTGTAGTATTCATTGTAATTGTACCAGAAAGACTAATTTGAATTGTGGCAATTTGCAAAATAAATGAATATCATGGATATTTGTTGATTTTAGATCCCATTGGGCCATATGAATGGAATATGCAAGCCTGATTATGGATACAACCTTTATAATTTATGTTAGACTATAACACAAGACCTTTCAACAAGACAGAGAGAGACATTTAGCTGCTACAACAAAATAGACTACAATTTGACAGGTCTGTGAATGAATACATGAATATATAATATTGAATAAATGAAGGAATATATAAACTGCATGGACTCTATTCTAAAACTTTAATATATTGGAAATTCTTTGATTTATGGTCAAAATCATGAATATTGGAAAAAAAACAGAAAAAAAGATTTGAGAAGGAGGTCATTTGCCAATTATGAGTAATCAATACTGAAATCTTCAGGGACCTGTCAATTTTTAACCCAATATATTGGGGATCTGTTATTATGAAATTTGGGAAATCAGGGACCTGTCAAATTGCAACCCATTATATTGGGGATCTGTTATTGTGTAATTTATGAAATCAGGGACCTGTCAAATTGCAACACATTCAAAATATAACCCATTGATTGCTATATTATTGGGACTAACTTATCATATGCATATTTGTCAAACTTTATAAACAATTGAAGGGACATGTTGACCCATGATACAAGGGACCAGTCAATCTTATTATTCTAAGGTTTATGTTTTTGGAACCCTTGAATTTTAAAATCCCCCATTATCAGGATTCGTTGTGATTTTAGGAGACCTGTCAACCACATGGATTAGGGGACACATGATAATAACTGTAACCTTCCCTCTTGGAAATATTCCTTGTGATTTTGGGGACCTGTCAACTGTATCTCATATGCTTTTAGGAAACGTGTGATTTTGGGAACCAGTCAAACTGTTAACTATTGTGACTTTGGGGATCTGTCAATTGTATAGCTGCAATATGTTTTATGAGAGACATTATTTGAGGGACCTGTCAACTGTAGCCAATATGCTTTATGAGAGACATTATTTAAGGGACCTGTCAACTGTAGCCAATATGCTTTATGAGAGAAATGATTTGAGGGACCTGTCAACTGTAGCCAATATGCTTTATGAGACACATGATTTGAGGAACCTGTTAACTGTAGCCAATATGATTTATGATAGACATAATTTGAGGGACCTGTCAACTGTAGCCAATATGCTTTGAGACATGATTTGAGGGACCTGTCAACTGTAGCCAATATGCTTTATGAGACACATGATTTGAGGGACCTGTCAACTGTAGCCAATATGCTTTATGATAGACATAATTTGAGGGACCTGTCAACTGTAGCCAATATGCTTTATGATAGACATAATTTGAGGGACCTGTCAACTGTAGCCAATATGCTTTGAGACATGATTTGAGGGACCTGTCAACTGTAGCCAATATGCTTTATGAGACACATGATTTGAGGGACCTGTCAACTGTAGCCAATATGCTTTATGAGAGACATGATTTGAGGGACCTGTCAACTGTAGCCAATATGCTTTAAGAGAGACATAATTTGAGGGACCTGTCAACTGTAGCCAATATGCTTTGAGACATGATTTGAGGGACCTGTCAACTGTAGCCAATATGCTTTATGAGACACATGATTTGAGGGACCTGTCAACTGTAGCCAATATGCTTTATGATAGACATAATTTGAGGGACCTGTCAACTGTAGCCAATATGCTTTAAGAGAGACATAATTCGAGGGACCCGTCAACTGTAGCCAATATGCTTTATGAGACACATGATTTGAGGGAGCTCTCAACTGTAGCCAATATGCTTTATGAGAGACATGATTTGAGGGACCTGTCAACTGTAGCCAATATGCTTTAAGAGAGACATAATTTGAGGGACCTGTCAACTGTAGCCAATATGCTTTATGAGAGACATGATTGAGGGACCTGTCAACTGTAGCCAATATGCTTTATGAGACACATGATTTGAGGGACCTGTCAACTGTAGCCAATATGCTTTAAGAGAGACATAATTTGAGGGACCTGTCAACTGTAGCCAATATGCTTTATGAGAAACATGATTTTGGGGTTTTGGGACCTGTCAAACTGTAACCTACCCTGTCATTAGGATTCATTGTCTCCAGTACAGTGTTAGCAGCTCTCTTGGCAGTATCCATTAAGGTTGTACCCATAGAGCCAGATTTGTCAATGACAATAATAACATCTTTAGATGCAGGGACGACAGCCTCAGCATACCATGGCCTAAAGTAACATCAAGCAAGAACTAATGATTAAAGAAGCTAGCTCATGCTTTATTACATCAGAGTTTTTGTTGATGACATCATGGGTGAACAGGTCAAATGTCATCCCACTATAGATCCGGCTCATATCAAGGATGCATTCCTTTACTGTGTGGTTAGTAGAAGAACTGTCTTAATGAGATGTGTATAAAAAATGATTAGAGTATGGCGTTTATGAGGTGCCTCGTATTACTATGCAAAGAGCATTAGGAGAAACAGAGTGCAGAGAATTTATCACAGTGAAGTCACACATATACTATAAGTTATTGAATGATTTGAAGTGCAATACAGGATATATTCTGCTTGAGAAATTCCGTATTGAAACGAGACGAAGTCGAGTGCCAATACAGAATATCGAGAGCAGAATATATGCTGCATTGCACTTCAAATCATTCTATAATGTTTTTATCGTATGATCCTCTGTATTGCTACTGAGAATGTCCCCTCCGTACCAATATTTTCTGCATTGCGACGGAGATGATCAATGGGGACAATCTCAGTAGCATTACAGATTGGTACAGCACAAGAACAAACCAATCAGAAGGCTTCATTTTACAGATCATACGAAAAACAGTATTATCATGTATGTAGAGCTATTTATGTCCAGTGGCTAGCCCGATTATGTCCAGTGGCTAGCCCAGCTAAATGCAAGATTACAATGCCTTTGCCCAATATAACTGATACAATTCTCTGCAATTGGAATCCTCATATTGCAGAACAGTATCAAATGTTTTCTGAGGAAATTTTCATCGGGGCGATTAAACTATTTTTATTTAACTTATAGCACTACATACATGTCTACAGTCTCGGGTTAGAGGTGCAGACTCCTGTATTTTAACCCATACAGATATATGGATTCTCCTGTATGGGTTCATTGTTTCATTTCATGTTACCATTTCAATGGTAAAATGTGGGCTGATTTGCAGGAATTTTCACCTCAAATGCTGGATTATGTAGTTAGCCTATGGTGTTGTATCTTACTAATTAGGACTGTACAAATACTAAATAAAACTAAATCATGATGGATTGAAATGCAAAATGGAGTGGAATGTGTGAAAATGACTCGATCGTGTACATTGATTCCAATTTATTAATGGAATATTCAATTCAAATTATTTTACAGATAAAAATATTGAATTGACACATTGTCTTCTCATTCAAAAAAGGTAAAGTTTAAATTTGAATATTGCTTATTCCACTCAATTGCTCTCTAAAATTTGAATAAAATGTCTGATTTTCTTGCATTTCTATACAATTTAGAGTGTTGGCTACATGTCTGTTGACTTTATTCCTTGCTTATTCCACTCTTTTCCTCTCTAAAATTTGTATGAAGTATCTGATTTTCTTGCATTTCTATACAATTTAGAGTGTTGACTACATGCCCGTTTAATTTATTCCTTGCTAATTCCTCTCATTTCTCTCTAAAATTTGAATAAAACGTCTCATTTTCTGGTATTTCAATACAATTTAAAGTCTTCACTTTAAATCTGTTTGTTTTATTCCTCACCAATTCCACTCTTTTATACTGTATTTTGCATTTCAAAACATGACCATTGTGGCATTTTTGGGAAATTCCATCTGCTTTCTCACCCTATCGGAGGGATTCAATGTGTCTAGAATACTATTTGCTGCATCTTTGGCGATGTTTATGAGACGTGTGGGAGATCCACCTGCCATAGATCCAGACTTATCAATAACGATAACAATGTCTTTGGATTGTGGCGTTGCGGATTCAACATACCATGGCCTGTATTGAAATTAAAAATAATATACTGACGTGACTTGCAAGGTAATAATCGGTATTTTGCCACAATCTGTTTTGGAAATTTCAACATATTCATGTACATATATGCCCCAGTGATCTCCCCAGCTTTAAAACAAATAGATGCAGTGCCTACCTGAGATTTTGATAACAGAATTGCACCCACCTGATAATCCATTTCCATTTGAGAAAAATCAGGAAAAGTTGGCATATTTTGACCAATTTTGGTCTAGAATGAGAATTTTGCACCCACTTGAGAAAAATCCTGTGGAGATCACTATATGTAATATCTGAAAACCGTCTTCCGGTAGTTAGCATATTCATTTCATAGATATTGTTATAATAGTCTATAATGTATACAATTAAGATTTATATACAATGTTAACATATAAAAGCAAACAAGTATAATAGAATATGTGACTGTCTTTAACAAGGCAATGACTTTTTGAGAAAAATAGTCTCATTTTTGCTCAGTTTTCATCTTAAAAAAGTTTAAACAATACTTTCTATTTTAAATATTCATAGCTTCATTCAAATATTAGAAAAATGTGAGAAAATACATTGTACAGGTACATTTAATTTCATTAATCTGCGCTTAATCATAATTTCCATACCTGAACCTATTATCATATTCATCACATCCCGCATCATATGACGCTGGATATTTTGTAAACACTCCGTTTTCACTGCCGAAATACTGCCACTTTAAGGTGGGATAGTCCTGGAGATTTTTTTTCATTTTGTTCAAAATTGCTTCATTAAGGTAAGTTCGGGTATCTGGAGCTGCCGCTGATCCGGAGACCCGCATACACAATTTATTGAAGTCGACCTACAACAGGGATGGAAAGAAAGTGTATATCAACAAACAAAAATTTTGAAATTACAATTAAATATTTCAAAAAATTAATGTCTTATTTCCATATGTTGTTCTACAGAGACTCGGGGCTCTCACTATGCTATTAGACTGTGGCGCATCACCACCACACTCTATTTAGCTCCAACCACAACCTATTGGCAAATCATGATATTTCCAGTATAAACTTGATTAAATACACAATAATAGCATGAAAAAATGATAAAATGTAACACATAAATATGATTTATCACAATTGAACCGTTATGCTGAAGATGTTTCCACCACATCCTAAATACTTCCTGGTGAGAGCCCTCAGGCCTGAATACTTGTACATTTTGTAATTATACAGCTATGAAACTGAACAAGATGAGAAAGAGTTATGGTAGATTCTGCAGAATCAAGGCACAAATTCAAAGGCCTTCATCGATTATGAATAAAAAAAGGAATAAAAAAAAAATCCACAAATTGAACAAATCACTTACCCCTTGCTTGAATTGCTCATTTCTTTCCTCAATGGAAATTGTACAACATTGTTCAACATCATTGTTGGGGTTCAAATTTGCAAACTCGCCCTGAATAGTCCTAGTTAAATCTTCAGTTATTTTAATTCTGCTACGGAATTTCTGGCTTAATGAGTCTGAGAGCTGAAAACAGAAAAATATTAACATGAAAAATGTCAACACCATTTAATTGTTACAGACGCCAACCACCAACCTCCTATCACCAACCACCGTCACAAAAACCATAACAATATGTCACCATTTTTGATGGTGACATAAAAATTAACAAGAGACAAAAAAATCCAAATTTTCAAATTTCCAATTTTTTTGGACAGTAATTCTTAAGTCATGGCAGATATATACTACAAATATCAGATTTTAAAACTTTTCATGGGGCCTTTAACAGCGAGAGAGGCTAATCTCACTCATTTAGATAAAAACTTTGGCACTTATATTCTTAGTGACTCTCATTTATATGGTCATTTTTTCAAGCGCAACTTTTTTATATATTGAGTTTTTATCATGCAAGACAGTGCTATACTTACTTGTGCAAGTTTTTCTGATATGTCTACGTTTACTGCATTGAATTCAATATTGTCCAGATGTGACTGAAATATAAACACAGGATCATTATTAATTTCAAATAATTTGATTTTACTCAGTGGTGGAGTTTACAAAAAGGCTACAATGACTCTGTATACAATATCTAATTGCAAATTATCCTCCTGTTTGATATTCAAATGTCCTCTCCCTTCTGGAATTTAAATGTCCCATCCCCCCTAGACCCCCCCCCCCCTTCTGATATAAAGATTACCTTCCCCTTCTGGAATATAAATCATTCCCCTTCTGGTATATACAGGGTGTCCGGAAAGTAAAGATACAAATGCTCTAATTTCAAGAGATTTACCTGTTATGAGATGAAATTGCTCCAGAATGTAGAATGACATTATAACAATATATCCTGCAACTGTCATGACTTTCAGTTTCAAAATGAAAAAGTTATGGTTGTTATGGTAATGGGAGACGAGGGTAAGTGGAGCAAAGTCACAACTGGGTTCTACAAATCTCTTTCCTGCTCATATGATCTTGGCACTCCACCATCTATTCCTATATTATATCAAAGTACGTACCACAACAGCATAGGGATTAGTAATGCAACATCTGATCATTTCATATTACTACTATCATTGAATATTCAGTATTTTTCCCATTATCTATACATTCTTGGGGCATCTTGACCGGCGATTCAAAGACCTGACAAAACCGCTGCTGTCCATCTCTCAGATCGCTGATGAAATTGGCTTCCAGCTGAGTCTCATTTGTATGTTGAACTTTTAACAAATATTGCTTTCAAATGGTCATTAAGGTAGAAGTCTAAAGATGCTTTATCAGGTGAACATGGGGCATTGTATAGAAAGGTTTAATGTCAAGACACTCCATTGTAAGATTTGTTTTTTGCTTTGTGAATTGGTGCATTGTGGAGATGCAATATTGACTTTCCTACTAATGGCCAGGGACCATTCTTTTGAGCACTTGTATAATATTTCTTTCATTATACTGGTTAGTGACATAACATAGTTCTGATATGTAGCAATGAGATCATTATATAAAAGAAAACACTATAGCAGCCATGGGTGTAGCGCTATATTTCTAAGTAGTACACCACCGTGAGAAAGAGAGTTGAGCGAAGCAAAAAACAGCGTTTAGGGGGGTCTCTGGGGGTTCTCCCCCAGGAAAATTTAGATTTGGTTGTATTTGGAGCGAATTTGCAACCATCTGGTACGCCTGTGCGTACCCAGCGTACCGGGCGCTACGCCTATGGCAGCAATAATACAATGATGAACAAAACAAAACATATATAGAAAATACAACGAAAAAATACTGTTTCAAATGGTTGTCTTTTAGCAATTTTTCACTTTTTAGCGTTGTTCTGGAACTGCTCCGCATACCTCTCACATCCGTAACCATAACAACTGTAACTTGAACACACTTAGACTATATGTGATGAAAGTTGGTAGATATATTGTAATATTGTTCCTCTACAATCTGTAGCAATTTCATTTCAAAAAAACCAAATTTCTTAAAATAAGAGTATTTGTATCTTTACTTTCCAGACACCCTGTAGATTCCCTCCCCTTCTGGTATATAGATTACCTCCCCCTTCTGATATATAGATTCCTCCCCCTTCTTGTATATAAATTCCCTCCCCTTCTTGTATATATATTTCCTCCCCCTTCTTGTATATATATTCCCTCCCCCTTCTTGTATATATATTTCCTCCCCCTTCTTGTATATATATTCCCTCCCCCTTCTTGTATATATATTCCCTTTCCCCTTCTGGTATATAGATTCCCTCCCCCTTCTGATATATAGATTCCCCTCCCCTTCTGGTATACTGTATAGATTCTCTCCCCCTTCTTGTATATATATTCCCTCCCCCTTCTGGTATATAGATTCCCCCTCCCCTTCTGGTATACTGTATAGATTCTCTCCCCCTTCTGGTATATATATTCGGTTCCCCCTTTTGGTTTATAGATTCCCTCCCTCTTCTAATAGATTCCTCCCCCTTCTGGTATATAGATTCCCTCAATTCCCTCCCCTTCTGGTATTCAAAGACCCTCCCCCATCTGATATTTAGATGACATATTACCAGGTCGTTCAATAAGTTCTCATAATTTTGCTCTCATTTTAAGAGTTTTTTATATTTTTCCATGAAAATTTCACAGACGATGCAGAATGTATCTGTGTAACAACTCTGCAAAGATTATGTATTAATTCTAATGGTTGTGGAAATGGCGGTTGCTATAGTAACGTCAAAAATCGGTAGGCGGGGCAACTTTATTTGATCGTAAAATCCATGGATGTAGTTAGATTTCATCTTGAAATGTCATATGTTTTATCTGAAAGATTTGCAACCATAGAAACAGGTTTTGACATCAGTGTGAAAGATGCAACTTTTCTGAGTATAGTTATTACTGTGACATCACATAAAAAGGTATGACATCACAGAAAAGGTTTCAATAGAGAGACCCAAGATGGCAGCTGACTGTGGTCTTGTGAAAAGTCAAGATGAAATTCAAATTCAAATCCGTAGTGTGATAAGATTTTGTGTGTTATCCAAGAAATCAAGAGGAGAAACAATAAAAGCAGTTCAGGATATTTATGGAAAGGAGTTAATGAGCACACCTACCATATACCAATGGTATCAAAGGTTTGATTCAGAGGGAAGAAAATCTGTGATGGATGAAAAACGGACTGGCAGACCGGTAAAAGTCACCAACCCAAAGGCTGTTGAAAGAGTTAAGACAGTTCTAGATGATGATCGCCGCATCTCTGTACGGGAACTTAGTGAGAATGTGAACATTAGTATAGGTAGAACACACTTCATTCTGAAAGAGAAGCTTAAAATGAACCTCATGTGTGCTAAATGGGTGCCAAAGGAGTTAACTAGTGACCAGAGAGCCCGCAGAGTTGAGGTTTCCCAAGAATTTCTAAGACGATACCAAGATGAAGGGGATAGTTTTCTTCAACGAATTATCACATGCGACGAGGTGTACGTCAGCTATTATGAGCCCCTTGGGAAGAGAGCATCAAGTGGTTGGAGAACTAAGAACTCACCTACTCCCATTTCAACCCTGGCAAAACTGACCAAAAATGACGGCAAGGTGATGTTCATTGTGTTTTTGGATAGCTCTGGGGTGCTGCTTACGCATGCAATTCCTGATGGTCAGAGAATAAACAAGGACTATTATGCAATGGTAAGCTTATTCATTATTAATAAATTAATCAATATAAGAGTAAAAACATTAAATCAAATCAAATTTAAAATCAGATTTGAACTATAAAAATGGTTAAGTACAAATGTTAAAGGCATTAGTATCCTATCCTACTGACTATTTCAGGTTCTCAAGAGGCATCTCAAACGGGCCTTCTCAAAGAAACGCCCCCTCCTAGAGTTGGCGACAAGAATATTTCATCAGGATAATGCCCCGTGTCACCGGGCAGAACTTGTACTGAACACCATAGGAGAACTCGGAATGGAAGTTCTCCCACAGGCACCATATTCACCTGATGAAGCCCCATGCGACTTTGGCGTGTTTGGCCGAATGAAAGATGAGCTGAGAGGTTTTCGATTTGCATCGACAGAAGATTTGCAGAATGCAGTCCAAAATGCTCTCAGAGCTAGATTTCCTGATGGATTCCATAAAATCTTCCAGGATTGGGTAGAACGTCATCGAAAGTGTGTCGCATCCAATGGACATTATTTTGAGCATTTAAAGTAGGAATAGAAACATTTACCCCATACTATTTCATGGGATAAATGGGACTACATGACATTAAAACACTTGTTACTCTCCACAATGTTGAACTGAATTATATGCCACTATGACGTCAAATAATCTGCCCCGCCTACCCATTTTTCATGTTACTATAACAACCGCCATTTTCACGACCATTAGAATTAAAACTTAATTTTTGCAGGGTTGTTACACAGATACATTCTGCATCGTCTGTGAAATTTTCATGGAAAAATATAAAAAACTCTTAAAATGAGAGCAAAATTATGAGAACTTATTGAACGACCTGGTACAAACGTATAATTTGAATTATTGAAAATTAAACAATTAATTACCCAAAATCATGTGATTATATGTTCATTCATTCCCAAAAGATTTTAAGGGACTTTTTAACTTTTCTACGAAAAATTTATGATTTCCATTAATTTTGCCTGTTGTTTTAATTTACTTAGCTTGTTGTGAGAAATTCTAGTGAAACCCCTAACAATATTCTAACTAAGAAATGACTCACAATGAAAAAGTTCAGTAAAGAGTACAACAGTTATATTCGTAAACAAATAAATTATATCAAATCATAACACAGAGTAAATATTATTATGTCAACCAAATAAAACTCTCCACTTTATAACTCCATCCCTCCAGAAAATATCCTCGTCATATATTTATATTGAATAATATAAAGGAATTAAGGGTGAACTCAGGAAGGAGTTCAAGCAGCAAAACTTGGAAAACCATATTAAATGCAAGAACATGTGATACTGCATAGCAAGATGATACTGTATTTGATACATTTCTTTGAGAAAAGTTGTAAAAGAAAGAAAAATAGCATACTGTACTTGAGGGGTTTGTTTACTTCCATTTATAACACAGGTTAGACATTATGTTTATTTCAATAAAACAGACCACTTAAAGAAATAATTTGAATAAAAATGACCTTGCAAAATTCAATTATTGTAAAGAATGATTATATTGTAAATTGAAAGAGTATAGAAGCGTGTTCACGTGTAAGCTAAAGCATGAAAGGCAAAAGAAATGAATAATTCTTCTATGACAGATAATATTCGTTCGTTCTTTTTATGTTTGTGCTTCTTAGGAGTACCGAGTCATGTACCAAGTCATGCTTTTTATTTCTAGAAAGTATTCACGTAGATTTTGATTATAAAATGTTAAATGTTGAAATGACAAGACTCTCTTTGAAATGACAATACTCTCTATGAAATGACAAGACCCTCTTTAAAATGACAATACTCCCTTTGAAATGAAAAGACTTCCTTTTAAATGACAATAGATCTACTCTCTTTGAAATGACAAGAAACTCTTTTAAATTATAATACTCTCTTTGAAATGACAAGACTCTTTTAAATAGCAATACTCTCTTTGAAATGACAAGACTTTCTTTTAAATGACAATACTCTCTTTGAAATGACAAGACTTTCTTTTAAACGACAATACTCTCTTTAAAATGACAAGACTCTTTTAAATGACAATACTCTCTTTGAAATGACAAGACTCTCTTTTAAATGACAATAGTATACTCTCTTTTAAATGACAATGCTTTCTTGAAAAATGAAAAATTCTCTGGTTTCAACCGATTTTAGAGCCTGGGATTCAAGAGGTTAATAAAACAAAAACTCACCTGCATACTGTTTACTCCTACTGATTCCCTGGTAATTTTATCAAGTTCTGTTCCTAATAAAGATGGATTTAATAATGCTCCAGTTACCATGGCAACACACGATAACCATAATGTATATAGTGTGGTAAGTCTATGACGTTTTATTAATGCAAGTGCAGTCATCTTGTGAGGGGAAAGTTGTTGACCAGTATGTATTGCTGATCCTAATTCTCTAGTTATGATCTGAAAAATATTTTCTATATATCTAAAGATTGTGTTAAGTTAATGTATCACTTTTAAAAAATTCCAGGGGGGTTCACTTTTGACAACTTTGGACCAAAAATAGCCCCCCCCCCATCCCCCTGGCTACAATTCTGTTGGAATAAAAATATAGGTCAAACGTAGTCAAAATCTGATTGACAGGAAATTCAATAGTCCTTCTTGTCTACACCAAATGAGGGGTCTCATGCAAACATACAAACATTTACACTCAAACGTCTTCCAAATTTCTTGATGAAGGTGCAAAGAGAGCCACACCCCTTTATAATTCAGTAATCAATGCAAATATTTCTTACCTGGATTTCAGGTGTGTAATATTATATGAATAACTCTGTGATGAGAATATAAAACTATTATCTTATATAAAAGATAAACAATGTTTAAAATATTGATTGATTAAATGTAGTACTGTACTCATTACAAGTCAATAAAATTCAAAAAACAAATATTTTCGGAAAATGGAAATTGCATAAATTTTAAGTCCCAAAACTTACCTGGATTTCGTTTTATTTGATCAATCGAGACAAGCTCGTATGCTTGGGGATATCATGATTCTGATGGCGTCGTCGTGGTTAACATTATCCAATTATATCTTAGTTTTTTTCTTAAAAACAAGGAAGTAAAACAAGCGCGAAATATTTCATTTTTATTTATTGACCTAGATATTTCAATCAACGAAAGATGTTACTCGTTCGTACAGGTGAGTCATTTGGTACAGGGTTTGATTTGTTATTAATGTTTGAGTCATTTGTGTGTATAAATATTGAATTGATTCGGAAAATATTATAGTTCGACTGGTTGTACGCTCCAATATGATCTAATAATTGAGAAATGACACAAATATAAAATTTAAGATTTTGAAAATTCGCGAACAATTACGTTCGGTATTACTGCGCATTTCCCGGAAGTAGAAAACATGGCGAACAAAATTTTTTAAAATTTTCGATAAATCTATATAATAAAGAATATCTGCCTGTTTTCACCAGGATGTCGTACGGGAAATGGATATCTCGGTTAATGAGAAGACATTGCTTGAGTATTGAGGGATGGCTGACGGCATTTCTGTGTATATTTGTATATTTACTTGTGTTTCACCGAACTTCTATGAAGAATTTTTTCCAAAAAACCAAAATCAGATTCCAGATTTGGTGGAAAGGTTGTTACACTTCTAACTGTGATAAAGAACTAACGAATGAAAAGGTCAAAGCATCGTGGGAATTAAGAAAAGGAAATGTTGGAGTTTACGCAATACAAGGACGTCGCAATCACATGGAAGATAGGTTCAATGTGGTTCTGGATTTGGAACATACAGGGACATCTATATATGGGATCTTTGATGGTCACGGTGGAGAGGTATGTTTATACTAATTAGATCACTTCATACAAAGGCATATTGTATGAAAATGTAAAATACTTGATGCCCTAACCTACCCAGGGTTCTCACTTGGCTTTTAGACTCCGGAGATTCTCAGGAGTGTAATGTCTCTAGACCCTTTTGCTCCAGAGTCTAATAGCTTTTCCGGAGTCTAAAGTGTTTTTCCGTAGTCTAATTTTACATTTTTGTCACATTATTTGTGGTAAAACTCTTGAGTAAATACATAAAACTGGATACAAACAAAAAATAGGAGGTCAAGCTATTATTATGCACTACCATCCTGTTGAATTCAAAATCATTATGTCCCTCCTCTGGGAAAAAACAGGAAATTTTCGGCAGAAAATTATCAGTTTGAGGAAGCTTTAGTTCACAAAAATAAACATTATAACACTTCAATTAAATGGTAAGGGGAGGCATCAAAAGTTCGATGTCGGATCGGAAACTAAATAAGTCTAGTTTTGACTCAGACCCCCCCCTCCCCCAAAACTGTGAAAGTTGATTGCTTACTTCCAGTTTGAGAATTTGAAAAATTATTGCTAAACACAATCTAGTTTTTGTTAATTCCTATCGTAATTTGCGGCTTTTAACCACTATTGATAGAATAGAATCCATTGGAATGATCTTGACCAAGAAAGCGTCAGGTAAAATCTTTATTTTTAAACCATTCCAAGGCATTCTGACTTGAAATTGCCAAAAATTTGAAATGTTGAAATTTGTCGGATAGCAAACTGAAATGGGTTTGAACCCCCTCCCCCCTACTAGATTTATTTAGTTTTCAATCCAACATCGAACTTTTGATGCCTCCCCTAAGGTATGATTAAATGCAATAAAAAGTAACACAGCATATTGTCAAGTGGAAATAAAGCTAGTTGAAGTAAAAAATATGCAAATTAATTCACTCCATTTTGAATAGCACTTCTTATGTAAACAAATATTTTGAATTACCAGATCTTAACATACCGATAGGTTGCTTATAGTCTGAATATATTCAGACTAAATAGGATATAGTCTAGTTAATATGGGGGTACCCTAACCTGATTATATGTGATTACAGGAAGAATATATTGTATATTCCTTCGTTTTGAGCTAACTACTATCTATTCTAGTGTTAGGGGTGCACTGGGAGTGGAGTATCGACCAGCTTTAGAGAATGGGCCTATCTCAGGATCAAATACTTGTACCTTGTTTGATATTCAATTAATTGGTTAAGCCCAACATACACCAATGTGGCGTGTAGGGACCTCCATATGCTTAACATTGCATGGGACCTCAACACCTCCTTTAAGTTCATGAGATTTTTCCCTGTTGGACTCAATCAGTCTTTGCCCCATCAAGTCCTATGAGGTACTGGATTGGACCAGTTGATCAAGATGGGCCAAAGTCCCACGAAGCCCCATCGAGAATGAACATGTTCATTCTGTCCATGGGGCACTGTGAGACTTTTGATCATGTGACATGTCAGGTGACTTGGGATCAAAATTACATAATTTCCTCGGGACTTGATGAAGCATGTTGTGACTCCATGGGGCGAAGTCAAAAACATCCCCCATTGGTGTATGTTTGGTTTTAGGGACTTCTACCATTTCACAAAAGTCCATAGATTTGATTGGGGACGTTCTGGTAATTTTGAACATTCAGAAAAAATTAGAAATAAACAATTTCATTTTAAATTAACAACACATTTTGATTTTGAACTGCATTGGTTACATTTTACCATACACATAAATATTGTCTTAACATTTGGAAAATATCAATACGACAACAGACACTATCAACTTCTTGAGAAACTGTCAAAATCTGTTAATGGAAAATTTCTGTTTTTGTTGAATAGTATTCTTAATTTTTCAGTTCGCGGCTGATTTCACAGAGAAAACCTTATTTAAAACAATAATGGTTCGTCTTCTGAAGGCAGCACTAGCAGGCAGCACGGAGGACCTTTCTGCCCTCCTCACAGAAGAGTTCCTATATGTTGATAAACAACTTTTAGCCATAGAAAAGGCAACAAATGAAGTCTCAGGTATTTAGACTGCAATATTTTGTTATTCTTGTAAGTATGAATTTGCAGTAGACATCATACCATTTTGAATCTGAATATTTCAGATTGAATTTGTCAACAGTATTTCAATGCATTTTATGATAAATGCATACACATGTGAAATTTCAAGTTTCAATTATGTACATTTTGCTTCACATATCATGTTTCACATTTTATCTTGCTTCTCATATCATCTGACTGTTTCACATTTTTAGGTACAACAGCACTCATAGCAATGGTTAAAGACAATATATTGACAGTGGCAAATGTGGGAGATAGCAGAGGTGTCTTATGTGACTGCAATGGGAAGGCAGTAGCGCTATCTATCGATCATAAACCTCAATTGGTGAGTTATTTTAGTGACCATGTGAGTTCTCGGCCTGTAGCCAGGGTTGGTGGTTGGCCAGAAATCTTTCAAAATTATGCCATTTTTCACCATTTTGAGCACTTTTTCAGTGAAATTGGGCGAAAATTGTCAAATGTGAACCCCTCTGACTTTTTTTGTAAATTGAAATCCCCTTTGAAAAAAGCTTGTTACAGGCCTGAGTTTCATTCTCCTTGTTAAAGTGCATAGTCTGCATACAAACTCAGATGGATTACATAGTGTGGTATAATCATATCTCATTCACTGATATGACCATCTCTCTACAATGCATATATAGCCACTTAAATGACCATTCTACTGTCTGGCCCATCTCTAAGAGGACCTTCTGCCACTGTCCTACAGTGTCCTACAGTATACTGTTATTGTGTTCAACTGGTTTTTGGGAAAATGTGAAACTATACATCTTTATTCAGATCTGGATTTTGAGAACTAAGCGATTTGTCTGCATGTTAATAGTTAATCTATCACAAATTTTTGTAAAGGGGCCACTTTTTGTACATTATGGGATTTTCTTATGTACATCAGTCTACTTTTTAACAGAAGCTTAACATTTATTATATGTATATATTTTCAGTTAAAAGAGAGGAAACGAATAAAAAAGGCGGGAGGATTCATAAGTTTTAATGGAGTATGGCGAGTTGTTGGGGTCCTCGCGACATCACGTGCAATGGGGGATTACCCCCTCAAAGAAAAAAACTTTGTCATAGCCGAGCCAGATGTATTAACTTTCGATCTGAATGAAGTAAAACCAGACTTTATGATTCTCGCTACTGATGGTTTATGGGATGCTTTCAGTAATGAGGAAGCAGTAATGTATGTCAAAGAGAGGCTGGATGAGCCTCATTTTGGCGCAAAAAGTCTCGTATTTCAAGCTTATTACAGAGGCTCTCTTGATAACATTTCAGTGATGATAGTGAATTTTAAGGCGCAAAAAATTGTGACTGTCCGAAATGGAATGTCAGCGTAAAATAATATTTTAACAACTGAGAAATATTGTAAATGCACATGAACTAATCTACTCCATGTGCTGTAAATGTACTGTACTACATATATATGTACATGTTGCATATGTACTATGCTATAGATGTACTGTACTACATATATATGTACATGTTGCATATGTACTATGCTGTAAATGTACTGTACTACATATATATGTACATGTTGCATATTTATTATGCTGCAAATGTACTGTACTACATATATATGTACATGTTGCATATGTACTATGTTGTAAATGTACTGTACTACATATATATGTACATGTTGCATATTTATTATGCTGCAAATGTACTGTACTACATATATATGTACATGTTGCATATGTACTATACTGCAAATGTACTGTACTACATATGTCAAAATTTCCTATACTACATGTATTGTGCATGAAGCATGCTGTACTTCCTGTAAAGGTTAGTGTTGTATGTAGTGTACATACCTCTAGTACTTCTAGTAGTACACATGTTCTGTACTACATGAAATGTACAATGAAATATATACATCACGTGATGTACTACAACAGAAATAACAAGTCAGATTGGAAATATATTTAAAGGTGTAAGTTGAAATTTTGACAAAAATATCAAGAATTACTTAATTTGAAAATAATCAAAGAATATTCAACCTTACATTTTCACAACAATAATACAAAATTTCTCATATCATTTATAATCATGTTTGCATAAATACTACTTCTATTTGTACAGAATGAATTACATTAGCAGGGTACTATATAAGCATCAGTCCTGGGGCATGGGGATAGTACAAGCTGTCATGGGGAAACATCTCTCTATAAGTAACACCTGTCTACATGGAACAGTGAATACGAAAGAACCGAGTCAAATTGATTCACATGTTCATGAGCAGTTCTGATGAACCCTCTTTGCATATATTATTAGTAGTATTAATATTGTGAAAAAAAGTCTGTTCACCTGGTCTTTTTTCCAAATTTATTTCTGCTAAATTTAAAATCAACCTTAAAGCTTAAAAGTTTATTTTCTTTTAAGCTTTTCTGAATCTCCACATTCAGATCTGTCTGAGGCAGAGCCATGATCCCAAAACAGGTGAGGCAAATATGAATATGAGGCAAATATGAATATGAGGCAAATATGAATATGATCGAGGCAAATATGAATATGAGGCAAATATGAATATTAATGTATATTCATATTCACCTCACCTATATTTGAATCCTGTCTATACTCCTTCCTGCGTAGATTTACAAGAAAGGGATTTAAGTTAGGAAAAATCAATAAACGCACAATTCAATTTTTGGGGGAGAGAGAGATCAACCTCAAAAAGTAATAATGTTTTTCGGTAGGACTGAAATCTTGCATTGGTTCTCCAATGATCAGTAAATTGTTCGGTTTGTGTGTTGTTGTATTTATCAGGCCTTATATGGTCTTCTTAGTGCAGTGTTGTATATGATATGATATTGAAACAAATGATATGATATATCATGCATGATATGATATATTATATGAACTATATATCATGAAAAGTTATATGATATGTTAGATTAGTAGTTACATGATATGTAAGCAGTGTTTTTCCTAAGCGAGTATAACTCACAGGACCAACAGACCGGCAAAATCATAATTTCAGCCAGTCCAGGCTTAAGCATCATCTGTCACCTGGACCTGTAACTTTGTACCAGTCCTTAAAATTACCGTGACTATTAGGCCTACTAGCCCTATTTTTACGTTCCTTGTCATGTCTTGTTTTTCGTAGCCCTGTTGTTATACTCATTTTCACCTACTTCAGTACCAGTACCATTTTCTAGCAAAAAAAATCGGAACTTACTTTGAATATACTAGATGAAAATAAATTCAGTTTCTTCACCTGGGATTGTTTATACTACTATTTAATCCCATCATTTTTAAAATTCACACTCGGTGATCGTGAAAATGGGACGGAGGGGGGGAGCAAGCAATTTCTGGTAGAAAAATGAACAAATCTGCAAAAATTATTTTTTCAAGAAAAGGTTTATGATTAAATTGCTAAACGAATAGGCGCACGGTATGGTAAAATATGTCGCGTATTCTACAAATTTTTTTTAGCCGATTCTCTTCTTAGGTATAAGATCTATTAAAAAAGGCGCAACGCCACCAACGTGCAAAAGTCAATGTTTTTGCTTTAAATCAAGCATCAACGGTCTACACAACCTGCAATAAATATTTGTAAGTGACATTATCATCATAAAATAAATGACCTTAATGACTTTACAAAATATGTTTCCATACGTTGTATAAAAAATAATCGAAAATAATTAAAATGGGACGGAGGGGGGAGGGGACGGAGGGGGGGAGCAATATGTCTATAAGATATGATATGAGATGTTACTTGATACTTTATATCCAGATTTTCCCATTATCTCCTCAATTACAAAGGGTCAGGAATTGATAACATGTTGTACTTGTTAGGTTTAGTTAGAGGGGTCAAATTAAGGTTGGCAAAACATTCCAGGAGACTGTTTATCTATAAATGTTTACCTGTCTTAACGTTTTTACTTGCTGATTTGTAGGCATATCATACACAGCACATCACACTTTGGACATGTAAGTTTCAGCGAAAATGTAAGTTATTCACAGCGAAGTAACAATCTACTTGTTATTAATTATGCGATATATTTTAATTATGCAGAATTGAATAAATACAAGAAGCTCACGCGTCTCCAACTCACGACCTATATTGCACTAAATGTGAGATGCATATTGCATAATAAATACATATATTACACTTTATGTGAGAAAATATGTGCAAAGTACAGTACAGTATTTGGCGTAATAGGCAATGTGCCCATGGTATGATTGGGTACACTAATTGGGAAACTTCCTGGCAGATTATTTAGTCTAAATTCTACATCTGCTGAAACCCAAAATAATCAAAAATATTAACATATACTAGATATCTGGTAGCGAGGTTAATAATGAAACAACTTTAGTAACTGCTTACTCGAAAACGTGCATGTCCAAATAGAAATATGATGCGATGTCTACATTTTTATGATAAGTCTTCAAAAAATAAAAACTATTATACACATATAAAGATAAACGCTCTCCTCCAAGATTTTGATAATCCTAAATAAATCTAACTACAAATACAACTTGTTATCAATTCCTAACTCAATGTAATTGAGGAGAAAATGGGAAGTGAAGTAACATCTCTCATCATGTCGTATAGACATTTTGCTCCCCCCCCCCCTCCGTCCCCTCCCCCCCTCCGTCCCATTCTAATTATTTTCGATTATTTTTTATACAACGTATGGAAACGTATTTTGCAAAGTCATTAAGGTCATTAATTTTATGATGATAATGTCACTTACAAATATTTATTGCAGGTTGTGTAGACCATTGATGCTTGATTTAAAGCAAAAACATTGACTTTTGCACGTTGGTGGCATTGCGCCTTTTTTAATAGATCTTATACCTAAGAAGAGAATCGGCTAAAAAAAATTCGTAGAATACACGACATATTTTACCATACCGTGCGCCTATTCATTTAGCAATTAAATCATAAACCTTTTCTTGAAAAAATAATTTTTGCAGATTTGTTCATTTTTCTACCAGAAATTGCTTGCTCCCCCCTCCGTCCCATTTTCACGATCACCGGGTGTGAAATTGTGTTGTTTTCAAGAGTTTCAATACGATGATGAAAACAATCTTGAGGAAATGAAGTATATAGATCGGACCAATGTTTGAGTTAAGAATTTGGTGCATACCTTAACCATCGGTCTTGTGGACTGGCTGGTTGAAATAACTCGTCTGTCCAGAGTCAACATCACCAGATTTGTCCAATGGACTGATGCTTAGGAAATACACTGTTTGTTAGATCAGTATTGTGTAAAATGCACATTGGGTCGCCTTGCTTCAAGACCCTAGACCCCCCATCTTATCTGCTACCTGCTGTTGAAGTTGGGGGGGGGGGTCTTAAAGCAAGACTAACATTGAGAGTTTAGAAGAAACAAAATGTGCACAAAATACAATTGGCAGCCTTGTGTCTAATCATGTACATGTACATGTTCTGTAATACAATTGGCAGCCTTGTGTCTAATCATGTACATGTACATGTTCTGTAATACAATTGGCAGCCTTGGGTCTAATCATGTACATGTACATGTTCTGTAATACAATTGGCAGCCTTGTGTCTAATCATGTACATGTTCTGTAATACAATTGGCAGCCTAGTGTCTAATCATGTACATGTTCTGTAATACAATTGGCAGCCTTGTGTCTAATCATGTACATGTTCTGTAATACAATTGGCAGCCTTGGGTCTAATCATGTACATGTACATGTTCTGTAATACAATTGGCAGCCTTGTGTCTAATCATGTACATGTTCTGTAATACAATTGGCAGCCTAGTGTCTAATCAGGTACATGTTCTGTAATACAATTGGCAGCCTTGTGTCTAATCATGTACATGTTCTGTTATACAATTGGCAGCCTTGTGTCTAATCATGTACATGTTCTGTTATACAATTGGCAGCCTTGTGTCTAATCATGTACATGTACATGTTCTGTAATACAATTGGCAGCCTTGTGTCTAATCATGTACATGGGCATTTATAGAGGTAAATATCAGTTTGTATTTATTTATGTAGAGGGTATATGTATATATGTATTTTTTATTTATTTGTTCGAAGAGTCTCAAGATCCCAAATTGCATGAGTGCTGGTATAGAGGCTGCAGTTTGGTCGGAGGATGAGTTTTAGTTGAACATTTAGGCCATAAGACTTTAAAAGTAATTGCATACCAAGTTATTCCACCCCCCCCCCCCCCCCGGTCCCCTTGTTGTAGCTATTTTCTGGTTTCATTTTCAAAAGATGGATTCCACTAAACAATTATCTTATAGGGGCCTATCATTACATGGAACTTGTGAAAATAACCCAATAGCTGCTTGGGCTGCTAGTAAAACATATACAGTATTGGAGGGTGTAATATGACAATTTCAAAAAACTCTAACTCATGCAGGTCCCTAATCAGCTTTTTCCAGGGGGGGGGGGTGTTGAGGCCCCTCAAAACCCCCGGGCTATGGGCCTGATTATACATATATATTAAACTACATGTATTGCAATTTTTTAGTACAAGCTTGGGCAGCTAGTAAATCATGTACAGTATTTGAGGGTGTAATATGACTATTTTAAAAAACCTCACTCATGCTTTTTCCAGAGGGGCTTTAACCCCCTTAAAACCCCCAGGCTACGGGCCTGCTTCATATACTAAACTATTGCTATGTTTTAGTACAAGCTTGGGCAGCTAGTAAATCATGTACAGTATTTGAGGGTGTAATATGAAAATTTTAAAAAACCTCACTCATGCTTTTTCCAGGGGGGGGGGCTTTAACCCCCTTAAAACCCCCAGGCTACGGGCCTGCTTCATATACTAAACTATTGCTATGTTTTAGTACAAGCTTGGGCAGCTAGTAAATCATGTACAGTATTTGAGGGTATAATATGACAATTTTAAAAAACTGTCAATCATGCTTTTTCCAGTGGGGGGGGGGGGGGCTTTAGCCCCCTCAAAAACCCTTGGCTACGGGCCTGCTTATGCATAAATAATTGAACTACTACACTATTTAGTACTAGGTGCTTTGACAGCTAATAAAATATGCATAGTATTTGGGGGTTGTAAAACATCAATTTTTAATACCACCCCTATCGTGCATATATTTAGTATTCTTTTAGAAATCTAGTCAATTTTATTTATTTATCAATACAGTTGTATGAGTCATTTTTGTACAGCAAGAGACATTTAAAACTATTTAAGACACTCAAGATTCAGTATATGATTGGTTTATCTTTGTATATATCAATGTTTGTGCTAGATCTCTTTTAAAGCAATATATCTCCAGTGCTGCCATCTGTCTGTGGTCATGCATACCATGAGTTAGATGACTTTAATTGTTAAAGGCCCTGTGCAATAAGCAACAGGGGTTTAAACTCTACATGGAGCCTTTAACTGATATACACATTTGATTTTAGAGACCAGTTGCAAGAATGATGAAATGTTTGGGAAGTATTTTTTATTCAATTATTCATCAAATCGGTAATTTCATCATATGTGGATTTTATGGATTGAAATTTTAGTATTAACACAATATGTTAAATGGTATGTAGATTGACTAATGAACATACAACATACCAAAGTCAATTTGAAAAGTATGATTTGTTTAAATGTGGCATATTTTGATGTTCTAAAATATGCTCGTATTGTACATGTGCATAAGTAGATATGATTTTAAAATACTATATAAAGTATATATATTTGTATGTGAAACCCAATCACAGTTCCAAACTCCCTTGTACATAAAGATTGTTCCTCTCAATGATAATTCATAATGTCTTGATGCATAATGAATATTAATTTTCCAACAATTATCTATTGGATTTTTTAAGAAATTCCATCCTCAGTATTTCAAATTTAATGTATTTTGAGACAATATGCCCCTCCCTATGTTCTCAATTTATAGTGTGACAGGAGAGTTAGTATTGCCCATTGGGGCTTTGCTTCCCAAGTTGTTCATTCCTCATTCAATGTTTGAACAGGAGTTAATTTAATGAGTGAATGTGACGTTAAGGTCTTTCGTATAAAAATATATGTTAAAAAGAAAGTGGATTATTAAAAATCATGCTTTTATAGGAATTGATAAATGTTATATTTCTATCATAAATACTTTTCACCATTTTAGTGGAAAGAACATGAAGGCATACTTTTCTGTATCATTTTGATGATGCAATTTCTTCACACACTAATAGCTAGCTTTTCCCATGAATTGATGTAAAATTTGAAAGTGCATGTTTGCATTATTTTCAATTATGGATATACCGGTAGTTGGGCTATAGTCTTACTTCAAGACCCCCCCCCCCCTTACTTCGATAACTATTGTTGAAGTAGATAATGAGGGGGGGGTCCAGGGTCTCAAGGTAAGATTTGTGTGGCCAGTAAGGTTGCCCGAAACCTCTCTAATAAAGGACATATTGAATTCTTGTGATTTTCTATGCAATGTACCTCATATGTACATATCAATTGGTTGGTCAATCATAGAGAAATTATTTTCAGATAAACACATGTACAATATTGTAATAACGATGTAACATATTTGTATAGATGTATTTGTAAATTATATATATTTAAGTACTGTATTTATGCTGCAATATATGTGTATAAAATAGTTGATTGTTACATTAAAAATTCTGTTTGATGATTTTTTGAAGGTAGTTAGTCTTATATCAAGTTTATGTTGCCCCCCCCCCCCCCCATTCCAAGTAAATCGCAGTGTAACAGGTTTTTATTATAGTTTTTGGGAGGGGGTTACTCAAGGGCTTGATGCAAGACTAGGGGTATGTTCTTTGTGTTATGCTGTAAAATCTGCATATCTGACAACCTACTCTAATCCCAAAATTTCTCCGTTTAAGAATTTCTCCCATTGGTTTACATAGTAAGAAAACTTAGAACTATTTCTCCCATTGGTTCACATAGTAAGAAAACTTAGAACTATTTCTCCCATTGGTTCACTTAGTAAGAAAACTTAGAACTATTTCTCCCATTGGTTCACTTAGTAAGAAAACTTAGAACTATTTCTCCCATTGGTTCACTTAGTAAGAAAACTTAGAACTATTTCTCCCATTGGTTCACATAGTAAGAAAACTTAGAACTATTTCTCCCATTGGTTCACATAGTAAGAAAACTTAGAACTATTTCTCCCATTGGTTCACATAGTAAGAAAACTTAGAACTATTTCTCCCATTGGTTCACATAGTAAGAAAACTTAGAACTGTTTCTCCCATTGGTTCACATAGTAAGAAAACTTAGAACTATTTCTCCCATTGGTTTACATCGTAAGAAAACTTAGAACTGTACACTGCTAAATCAGACACTTTCAACCAGTCCCATTGGTGTTCAAATTAGATAAATGTTCTGTACATCTTCAGACCCCTTGAGTGTACCCTGTCCACAAATGAGTTTATTGTACTCATACTTTGGAACATGCAGTTTGTGTTGTGACATATTTAGTTCGCTGCTATAGCAACTGAACCGTTTTGATCCACAATATCACAATAGTAATAGCCCTATAAACACTTTAGAAGAGATAAAATATTTTTGAATATTTTTTTGTTAATTCTCCATGCAGCTAAACTGAACAGGTATTCAAAACATTGAGATTAACATTTTTAGCAAAATAGATTTCTTAAAATGAGCACTTTACTTTGTATAAATTAATCTTCAATATTAACCAGTTACATTTATGACCATTCTAGAAAATAATTCCATGAGCAGTTAAGTTCTATGCACAACACAATATTGTATCAATAAATGTATTGTAAATTATTGTATTGATTATCGATAATTGTACCTATACACTCTACTATACCTAACCCCTAGAAATGCATAAGGTACTCTGTTTGTCCAATTGTATTGTTTAGTATATTTTTGAAAGTATCTTATTAACATCTAACGTCATCCGATAAACCATTCACAAGGAACAGACAAATGAAAACAAACAACATAATCATTACTAATAAGCCAAAATAGTTGCTCATGAACACCCAATGCAAGGTATAGTAGAGTGTATAGTGTGCAATGTATCAATTATATATAATTTATCATAACATAATGTTAACGGGACAGTACTTCAATAATCTAATAATATTTGTTCAAGCAACAGATCAGATGAGACAAGATTTCTCTTGGATAAATGGATTATGTTTTTACAAATAAAATCACCTCACGGCTCACACCATTTTAATGCAACTTTATCTTACGAAATGTTCATGAACTACCCCAATTTCTTCATTACACACTAAAATACATAGATTTTATTTCTTCCTTATTCAATTTTTTCACTTTATTTTAAGGGGAAAAGCATGACTTTAGTACACTTTATTCCCAGGAAAAATTCTTCATTGATTTTCCAATATTAGTAATAGAACTCCACATAAATAGCACCCTAATGGGATAATGTAATACAGTGGTCAATTGGTCATGTTTTTAAATGCAAAATAGAGTGGAAAAGTGAGAAATAATCAAATGATAAATTACACATACATAAACAAGATACTCTAAATTGTACAAAAATCTCAAAAAATCGGTTAGTTCATTCAAATTTTAGAGAGAAATTCAGTGAAATAAACATGGAAGATTGAAAAACAGCCTAATGGGATAAAAAAGGATTATTGATTGGTTCTATTCAAAGATGTCAGGCAGGTACGTTTAAAGGACCTTCACCTTAATATATTTGCATTATAGATTCAATAGCAACAACAAATAGGCCTAGCATAAATCGACTTGCGACATTTTAGGATTTTAACACAGCGTTAAATTAATTCTTGAAAAATGTAAGTTTATATTGTATTTTTATGTATTTATCTGACATGGGATGTATGGTGATTTAATGGTATCCTGTTTTAGAGGTATTTTACACATGTTTTTTTAGAAACCTTGAAATGACCTTTAGTTTGTTTATGGTTACCAATGTACATATATTTTTATCTAAATTATTTTGGTGTTGAGATATCTATGCATGTTCATTACTACTATGTGATTGTATTACAAGGTCAGAGTTAAGATATGTGATATTTCTCCATGTTATTTTATGTTAGTCTCAGCTTTCATTCATCATTTTATTAATCTTAAAAAACACCTCATATAGTCCTCATGATAACTATGCGTGCATTTTGTTTTTTTCTGATATGGGCTGCATTTGAATTTAATCTACCTCCTAGGGATGAAATATGACTTGTCTCCCAATACAAATACAAAAACACTATTGTTTTAATTAAGGTAGTTCTACATGATTACAAAAAGTCAAAAACATGGTGTGAGGAAATGTGTGAGGAAATGTCATTTCAATTCCTTTAATAATGTGGAAATATGCTTTTAAATTGAGAATATATTGAACATTTCATCAATTTTTGTTAATTATAATTGTGAAAATTACATGAAACTTCACATCATGCGGAACTACCTTAGGATGTTTCATACCCTCTAGATATAACAAGAATTGGATCAAAGTAATTTGGTAAATCAACAGGGAAAGCTACTTTTACTTTGCAAAATACAAGCACATTTATGTATGCTACTGATTGAGATAATCCTTTATGGAAACATTCACCTGTCAAGTTATTTTAAAGCTCAGTTAACAAGTCACTTTCCAAAATCTGAAAAATTCACAATCCATTAATTTGTTGAAAAGTCTTCATTAGTTTGGTGATGATAATGGGGGGGGGGGGATTCACTAATTTATTGATGTCCGAATGTACTCAGTGTATAACATGTAAAGTTTGAAGTATACAATCATGTATTTATACACAAGGCTTATGAAAATACTTTTACAAGGAATACCAATATTTGTTTAATTGTATATAAACATTCATCCATCCTTTTAACCTTAGTTCTCTTCATGTTTCCATGGTAAAGTCAATAAGGTAAAATTCTATGAAAATATTTTCATTTTCCCTCAAGTTTTCCATTTCAAACAGGCCTTCCGCACTCCTCCTCCACAAAAAACTTGAAATCTGACTTAGCAACATTTCGTCACAAGATATTTATTTCTTATTTTCATGCAAGATGTCATTTGGAGTTTTTTCCCACCACTACTACAATACATTTTTAGAAAAATAAAAAACTGTTCTTTTATGAGGGCTTATTGATGGAATGTTCTATTTTTTAATAATGGATATTTTACTATTGTAGCGAGATGTCTTTTGCACAGGTATCCCACCATGTTAACCACACATGCGCCACCCAGACTACCCCCAGGGGAAGTGCAGCTAACAGCAGGGGGCATACCCCACAGGTAAAGTAACCAATATTATCATGCACCTTCATTTACACCATTTACACTGCAGTAATGCCCTCGTCACATTTGCTCCGATCCATCAGCCGGCGCCAGGCGGATTGAGTGTTTTGTTCAATATTGTATTCAATTTTGAACAAAATACTCAGTCGCCCGGGTGCAGTTGTGAAAATCGGAGCAAATGTGACCAAGGCATAACGAATTCAGTCTTAAGCTAATTAGCCCTAGTCAACTGCCTTATTTAGATGTTGTGCTTCAACAAAAAGGATTGCAACTATAACTGGCTATCACAGGGAGTACGTCACCCACTCTCTAATATTCCCTATATAGGCTACAGAATGTAAGAGGGAGGGGTGACTTACTCCCAATGCTGGCTTCTTATTATCAAGTGACTGTATGGATGATTGGCAAAAGTGCAGTGTCTTTTTTCCTTTCCAGCAGTCACCTCGTACCAAAACCCCTGGAAAGGACACCTCACCTTTCAGCTCTCCCCGCTCCTCCAAAGGTGCAATGATCATCATACGGTTCAACGCATCTTACATACAATCATTCAAGAACTCAATGACAAAGAGCCGGAGCATAATGCGCAACTATGGGGGCAGTTTGTTAGGAGTTGGATCAAAGGTAAAATTCTCAAACATTTGACATTTTATGGGTCCAAAAACTCTGGAAAGCAACATTGATGAAATGTGTGTGCCAATTTTAAATGTAGCACGGTAAAACTTAGAAGTTTGATGTATTTTCAATACACTTTCTTTGTACTTGGGTCAGTCAAAAAGTTCTGTTTATTTATCTCTAACTTTGTCATTTTGAGAATTTACTTCTTGATATTTGGTACATCTATAGAACTATTATATTTGTGCAACTATTGGCTAAATATTGTATCTCAAGTATGATTGGCTATTGAATTATGGTTGCTATGGTAACAGAATTGCGGGGTACACGGTTCAGCTAAAAAATGTCATATTTTTAATGTCACATTAATTTCATTCGGCATCAATTTATTGAACAGTTAAAATATCAGATTGTGCAAATTGGCAGGTTTTGATGCCAATTCTATTGTCTTGATGACATCACAGTTAAGGAAATATTCAATGGTGACAATTTTCAACTGACATAGATGATTTTGAGGATGAAAAAAGTATTTACTGCACTGAAAGTATTGTACTGTTTATTTTGTAGATATACTCTATTGAAGGCAACTGGAATCCACAGAAATATTGCGTTGGTGTTTTACACTTTGCAAACAGACAACAGGCAGACTTGTGGTAAGTACAACAACAATAATGGTTGCTATGACAACATATATTGCTTCGGTGTCTTACACTTTGCAAACAGACAACATGCAGACTTGTGGTAAGAACTACAACAATAATAGTTGCTATGACAACATATATTGTGTTGGTGTCTTACAATTTGCAAACAGACAACAGGCAGACTTGTGGTAAGTACTACAATAATAATAGTTGCTACGACAACATATATTGTGTTGGTGTCTTACAATTTGCAAACAGACAATAGGCAGACTTGTAGTAAGTACTACAACAATAATAGTTGCTATGACAACATATATTGTGTTGGTGTCTTACAATTTGCAAACAGACAATAGGCAGACTTGTAGTAAGTACTACAACAATAATAGTTGCTATGACAACATATATTGTGTTGGTGTCTTACAATTTGCAAACAGACAATAGGCAGACTTGTAGTAAGTACTACAACAATAATAGTTGCTATGACAACATATATTGTGTTGGTGTCTTACACTTTGCAAACAGACAACAGGCAGACTTGTAGTAAGTACTACAACAATAATAGTTGCTTTGACAACATATATTGTGTTGGTGTCTTACACTTTGCAAACAGACAACAGGCAGACTTGTGGTAAGTACTACAACAATAATAGTTGCTATGACAACATATATTGCGTTGGTGTCTTACACTTTGCAAACAGACAACAGGCAGACTTGTGGTAAGTACTACAACAATAATAGTTGCTATGACAACATATATTGTGTTGGTGTCTTACACTTTGCAAACAGACAACAGGCAGACTTGTGGTAAGTACCACAACAATAATAGTTGCTATGACAACATATATTGCATTGGTGTCTTACACTTTGCAAACAGACAATAGGCAGACTTGTGGTAAGTACTACGACAATAATAGTTGCTATGACAACATATATTGCGTTGGTGTCTTACACTTTGCAAACAGACAACAGGCAGACTTGTGGTAAGTACTACAACAATAATAGTTGCTATGACAACAACAACCATGACAACCATCACCACTATTTAAGAGATTTGATCTTATCTAATTCAGAAAAAGAATCTTCATGTATACAAATAGATAACAAGACATGAAGAAACATGAGTCCATGTTTTAACAGTAAAATCAACTAGCAACACAAGTCATGTTTTTTCACCATAATTCTAATAGTTTTTGTAAAGATATCATGCATTTTCGAGTTTGTATTTTAAAAAGTAAAAAATACTTTGATTGCTTTTTCCCTCTTTGTATGACAGATTCCATATTTCATTGAAGTACATTATGGAGTTTGTATTTTAAAGAGTAAAGAACTTTGTTTGCTCTTTCTTTCTTTGTATGGCAGATTCCACATTTCATTGAAGTACATTATGGAGTTTGTATTTTAAAAAGTAAAGAACTTTGTTTGCTTTTTCCCTCTTTGTATGACAGATTCCATATTTCATTGAAGTACATTATGGAGTTTGTATTTTAAAAAGTAAAGAACTTTGTTTGCTCTTTCTTTCTTTGTATGACAGATTCCACATTTCATTGAAGTACATTATGGAGTTTGTATTTTAAAAAGTAAAGAACTTTGTTTGCTTTTTCCCTCTTTGTATGACAGATTCCACATTTCATTGAAGTACATTAATGTCCTTTATTTTAATTACTAGGTATGTGAGTGACCCACTTATCAAACAGCAAGATTGGTTGGATGGAGCAGACTTCATCTGTGTGCCTTTATATACAGCTGCCCCTTTAGGTAAGACAACAAACTCAATAGTTTGTCATTCAGGGCTTTATATACAGCTGCCCCTTTAGGTAAGACAACAAACTCAATAGTTTGTCATTCAGGGCTTTATATACAGCTGCCCCTATAGGTAAGACAACAAACTTAATAGTTTGTCATTCAGGGCTTTATATACAGCTGCCCCTATAGGTAAGACAACACACTCAATAGTTTGTCATTCAGGGCTTTATATACAGCTGCCCTTTTAGGTAAGACAACAAACTTAATAGTTTGTCATTCAGGGCTTTATATACAGCTGCCCCTTTAGGTAAGACAACAAACTCAATAGTTTGTCATTCAGGGCTTTATATACAGCTGCCCCTTTAGGTAAGACAACAAACTCAATAGTTTGTCATTCAGGGCTTTATATACAGCTGCCCCTTTAGGTAAGACAACAAACTCAATAGTTTGTCATTCAGGGCTTTATATACAGCTGCCCCTATAGGTAAGACAACAAACTTAATAGTTTGTCATTCAGGGCTTTATATACAGCTGCCCCTATAGGTAAGACAACACACTCAATAGTTTGTCATTCAGGGCTTTATATACAGCTGCCCTTTTAGGTAAGACAACAAACTTAATAGTTTGTCATTCAGGGCTTTATATACAGCTGCCCCTATAGGTAAGAGAACACACTCAATAGTTTGTCATTCAGGGCTTTATATACAGCTGCCCCTATAGGTAAGACAACAAACTTAATAGTTTGTCATTCAGGGCTTTATATACAGCTGCCCCTTTAGGTAAGACAACAAACTTAATAGTTTGTCATTCAGGGCTTTATATACAGCTGCCCCTTTAGGTAAGACAACAAACTTAATAGTTTGTCATTCAGGGCTTTATATACAGCTGCCCCTATAGGTAAGACAACATACTCAATAGTTTGTCATTCAGGGCTTTATATACAGCTGCCCCTTTAGGTAAGACAACACACTGAATAGTTTGTCATTCAGGGCTTTATATATAGCTGCCCCTTTAGGTAAGACAACATACTTAATAGTTTGTCATTCAGGGCTTTATATACAGCTGCCCCTATAGGTAAGACAACACACTCAATAGTTTGTCATTCAGGGCTTTATATACAGCTGCCCCTATAGGTAAGACAACACACTCAATAGTTTGTCATTCAGGGCTTTATATACAGCTGCCCCTATAGGTAAGACAACAAACTTAATAGTTTGTCATTCAGGGCTTTATATACAGCTGCCCCTTTAGGTAAGACAACAAACTCAATAGTTTGTCATTCAGGGCTTTATATACAGCTGCCCCTTTAGGTAAGACAACACACTCAATAGTTTGTCATTCAGGGCTTTATATACAGCTGCCCCTATAGGTAAGACAACAAACTCAATAGTTTGTCATTCAGGGCTTTATATACAGCTGCCCCTTTAGGTAAGACAACAAACTCAATAGTTTGTCATTCAGGGCTTTATATACAGCTGCCCCTTTAGGTAAGACAACAAACTTAATAATTTGTCATTCAGGGCTTTATATACAGCTGCCCCTTTAGGTAAGACAACAAACTCAATAGTTTGTCATTCAGGGCTTTATATACAGCTGCCCCTTTAGGTAAGACAACAAACTCAATAGTTTGTCATTCAGGGCTTTATATACAGCTGCCCCTTTAGGTAAGACAACAAACTCAATAGTTTGTCATTCAGGGCTTTATATACAGCTGCCCCTTTAGGTAAGACAACACACCCAATAGTTTGTCATTCAGGGCTTTATATACAGCTGCCCCTTTAGGTAAGACAACACACTCAATAGTTTGTCATTCAGGGCTTTATATACAGCTGCCCCTATAGGTAAGACAACACACTGAATAGTTTGTCATTCAGGGCTTTATATACAGCTGCCCCCATAGGTAAGACAACACACTCAATAGTTTGTCATTCAGGGCTTTATATACAGCTGCCCCCATAGGTAAGACAACACACTCAATAGTTTGTCATTCAGGGCTTTATATACAGCTGCCCCCATAGGTAAGACAACACACTGAATAGTTTGTCATTCAGGGCTTTATATCTCGCTGCCCTAGCCTTATTAATAAGCTCACATGCGACACCACACTTATTAGTTTGTCATTCAGGGTGATTTATAGCTGCCCAGTCAAGTAAATAACAAGACACTCAATGAAGAGTCTTCCTTGATGAATTTATTCAAACCATGATGGATAGCAGAGTGGCACACTGTACTAGAGCTTTCATCGTGCTAAGTGAAGTGAATTCTATTACATAACAAATAAATACACTCATACACATTTTTCAGATAAATGTGTGTTTGAAATCATGGATCTGAAGATGTCAAATCCAAAAGCCTTCTTCGAAGAATACATTCCCAACACTACAGACAGCATGGTTGCCCACGGAGCCACACCATGCGTTGCTGCCACAGAGGAACATTCCAGAATTGCCTCTGACTATAGAGGGCTCTGGGAGCCAGGGATGGTCATTGTACATTGCTGGCCAAGTCTACAGGCTTTCAGACAAAGTTATGATTCAGGTTAGAGGGTAGTTGGTTAGCATATGTACGAGGGTTGTCCCAGAAGTATATGCTCTAACTTTATTAAAGAAAGTTAGAGCATATAGTGAATACTTCTGGGACAACCCTCGTAAATTAAAGGGTATCTGTATTACAAAATTATTAAAAAGACGCTTTAAAAAATTTACACATCTATCCTTTGTTGTTCCTTTTATTAAGGTTAAATGGAGTTATGAGACATTTATTAACATTTACATTTATTTTTCCAGAGGAATACCAGTACTGGAAAAACTTCCGCCAGACCTGCACGTGCACTGAGTGTGACGTGGTTGTGTTCCAGGGCGAGACCTTTCCATTCTAAATATGGTCTCAACAAACCCCATGGCTATGGTGGTCATATTCGTCTTCAGGTTTACATACAGTGCAAAGTTTAACAAACATATTCAGTGCGCCAGAAATTTAGATAATCTGACAATTTGGAAAGGCAGTGCAAGAGAGGAAAATAATTTGCCATCCAGATTGAGACTAAAACACTTAAAGATGTGTAATTTTCAGTGTAAAAAATGATAATCCAATGACAATGGTATTCATGTCAACTATCATGTCATTCTATTCTATTCTATTGTCATTCTATTCATGTCAGTTATCCGTCCAATCATACAGTACTTTAAGTATACCTTTAGTTACACTCCCCTCCTAAAGTTTGGCAACATTTGCTCTCTATTGGATAGAATAGAGAGCAATGAAATTCTATGTTACAATGTTAAACTTCTGTCTATGTTAAAAAAATTTACTCAATCACAATGCATGTTCATCCATAATTGATGAATGTAATGATTTTTTGAGAAGCATCTTACACAAAAAAACATATGAAAATTGAACATTGATGTTTCCAAACCTTTGGAGGGGGTTGTATCTGTAAATGCTGTAAATACTGCAACATTGTCTCAAATATAATGTTAAATTGAAGAACTGATAATAACAGCTGTTATAAAATCTAAATTAGTAATTAGCTGAACGGTTTGTGCAGAATTATGAGGATTTTTGATGCAATTCATATTTTAATGATGAAATATGGAACTTGTTAACTAAAAACTCTTAAAACATTTAAATCAGTTCAGTGTTACATTGTATGTATGAAATTTTGAATATTTTGAGATGACCTCACTTTTCATAGTTTTTTATTGATGATTCTGAATTTGTGTCACAAACGAAGAGATAACATGTATGAATCAAACAATTGTTTTTAACTTGAACATTAAATCAACATGTTCTTAAGTATAAAACTAAATCTCAGGCAACATGGTTCATTATTTGAAATATTATTAGAAATTTGATTTGTAAAATATGTGCAATTTTAGGGCATCAGCTCGGATGATCCCACTCTCCAATGAAAAACAGATATTTTCTGCACATTTTTAAATCAAATTAGTTCATTCAACCCATGTCAGGGTATCTGAATGGATTAGGGCATTGAGCAGAAACTTAAAACAACACAAGTAACACACAGCATGAACACATCTACCTTCACTTAAAACCTAGTTGCCTTGCATTTGCCTAGTATGTGCAGGCCCGTAACCCCCCCCCCCCCTGGCCAAAAATTATTTTAAAATCATGCAGCTTTTCACCATTTTGAGCACTTCTCAGGTGATTTTAGCCATATTTGGGCAAAATTGTCAAATATGAACCCCCCTGGAAATTTTTGAAAACTGATCCCCCCCCTTGGCAAATCCTGGCTACGGGCCTGATCTGCTTCTGTAATTTGTCCATGCTAGTAGTTCCTGGTGTACGCTCAATCAGTTCAGGCTCCCCGAATCTGTTACAGAACATCATTATATGCCATGACCTATTTTGAACCTCATATTTTATATAGAGATATTAAGTGTTGTTATATATTTATTTACGTATTGACGTGCCATAGAAATAAATAAGTGTCAGAGTATATATCTCAAGAAATAGAAGTTGTATACATTCCGTATAAACAAGTTCTGAATTATATGGAATTAACTTGAAATAAGTTTTCTGAATACAGTATAGTGAATTTATCAGATTTTCAGCTTTGAATCTATATACAGGCAAAGATCATTTGACAATACACCAATTTTATCTATATTTTAAATGCAGAAGGGTTGGAAATTGAAATATAGATTTGAAAAACAATTTAAACACTTTAAACGGTATATAGAAATGCCACTATATCCAATACTTCATTTATTCACCTTTGAAAAGATGTTAACTTTATATGGATATATGATGTTATTCATAAACCAATATTAATATATTTTAATTTATAAAATGCTTTTATTTTGTAATAAATTAGATCATAGATATGATTATATATGAAAAAGTTTGTTTATTTATTGAATATCATTAATTACACTACTCTAGAAGTAAACAACCTATCTTAAATGGTCTATGGCATCATTCAACAGATGCACAATTGATCACTCTACTATACCTTGCATTTGGTGTTCATGAGCAACCCATTTGGCTTATTAGTAATAATTATGTTATTTGTTTTTATTTGTCGGTTCCTTATTAATGGTTTATCAGTTGAAAGTCAGATGTAATAAGGTACTTTCAAAAATATACTAAACAAATCAATTAGACAAACAAGGTATCTTATGCGTTTCTAGGGGTTAGGTATAGTAGAGTGTAGATAAGGTATCACATCAGCACCTGTATTTCATGTTGAAATGTTATAAGACCACGTAGTGATCTCCTCAGCATTAAAGCAAGTGGGTGCAGCACCCACTTGAGATTTTGATAATAGGCTTGCACCCACCTGAAAATCTGTTTGCACCCACTTGAAAATGAGAAAAATCACGTAGAATAGGCATATTTTGACCAATTTTGGTCTGCATTGTGAAAATGAAAAATTTGCACACACTTGAGAAAAAATCCTGTGGAGATCATTGCCATGGTACAATTACATGGTACAATTACATGTATCAACGGAATCGGCATCAGCAAATAGAGATGTGACAGCAAATAGAGACGTGACAGCAAATAGAGATGTGACAGCAGGATTGCAGATGTCAAATACATATTTTAGTGCTCATGATAATTATCATATTTCCAATAGTAGTGTACTGACTGACACACTCCATTTGGCAGTTAATAAAGTTAGTCTGCTTTGGCATATTATTTAAAAGGCAGTTACGTATGATATCCTTATGCTAGCATATTCTTTTAACTGACTAGGTCAGCATAACTACATCCCTAACACTGATATTCTCCTGGATTGCTCCATTACACATGATTGGCTGCATTACTACATACAGTACATATGTACTCCCACTGTGTCAGATACTAGCCTCTGTAAACCATGCCATATATGGCAATTCTTTGTCCAAATATTGCCACAATGAAACCATCGTTTAATGCCAACATAGCAACAATAAATTGCTTTGGTGTGGCCATTGTTTTTTGACATATCCAATTAATAATGACATAGCAGCCAAAATTGAGATCATTCATCGTCACTCGAAGAACTTGAACTAGAGTCTGAGGACATGATGCCAACTTCATTTTCTTTATTTTGTCCTTTTTGTGCCCCCATGGTCATTGATGTTTCCATGGAGATATGAGGTTGTTGTTGCCATGTCAGCCCAGAGCTTTGTGATGTCATATGATCTGGAAAACATGTTCATTCATTAGTTATAAATAAATAATTCTCACTGAAATTAATCGATTTCGGTTGAATAGTATGATAAAACATTCATAGTGTATATAAGTAGGTAACTAGTCATGCATTACACCCCAGTCACATTTCCCACGGCCGCCGTGAGGTCTATCATTTCTGCGGCCAGTAGCTTTTCTACGCTCGCCGTAGAATTTCTGCGCTCTCATACTTTTGCAGTCACATTTCCCACGGCAGCCGCACGGTGAATTTTAAATTTCTGTTGATAAATAATACTTTTTTCATTTTATTTACATCAGGACAATTTAAAGATGTTATTCATAGTGCTAGGATGTAATATCAAATGAAAAGTGATCGTGAAACATTGACAAATAATGATTCAATCTTGCTGAGCCAGTTGATTTCTACGGGCACCGCAGAAATGAAAAATATTATAACTCCGAGTTATAATTTCTACGCCTTCCCTGCGGCCTGTAATTATCTGCATACGCCGTACGGAGACCGCAAGGTGCCCGTAGTTTTCCTACGCTCGCCGCAGAAATTTACTGATTTAATTGATCTGCGGTCGACTTACGGCCACCGTGCGACAAATGTGACTGGGGTGTAACGTTGTTGTAGCTCTCATTTTAAAACTTCAAACAAGAATCTCATGCGATATATTACCAACACTTTGTTGAGTCCCTGGCTAAAATCTTATATTGATGTAAAGTAAGAAATAATAGAGGGTTACAAATAGGAGTATCAAAAATACTCACCAAGTTACAAATAAGAAGATCAAAATACTCACCAAGTTACAAATAGGAGGATCAAAAATGCTCACCAAGTTACAAATAGGAGGATCAAAAATACTCACCAAGTTGTCCAACCCCTCGAGATGCGGATAATGTGTCGGAGAAGTTTCCATGCACATGATTGGTCAGATTCTCACTTGGAAGGTTACTCATCTGTCCCAGGAATCCCATCCTCATTTCAACATCTGTTGGGTAAGGTCGTCGTGGATCCCCTTCAGAAAAAATGTGAAATTTTAAAAAGATCAATGCAAGGATTTTTACTTCCTTTGGAGCTTGGTTGCATCATAAAATAAACCGATCAATATAAATTGAATTTTTTTTTGAATTTTTTTTTTTTACATGTAAATGTCTTCTTTTTCCTTCCTTTATAATTGTTATAATTTTTGTTTGTACATGTACTTGACCCCAAGGGGTGTGTATGTACTTGAAGAATAAAAAAAATAAAAATAAATAAATTGCATATCAGTTGAGTTGAGTTGTGGATCCCCTTCAGAAAAAATGTAAACTTTTAAAAATGGATTTTACTTCCTTTTGAGTTTGGTTGTTTCTCAAAATAAATTGATCAATATGAATGCAGAATTGATGGTGTAACAAAGATTAGAGGTGAGTTGAAACTAACTTTCCTATAAATAGTCACAATTTTGCAATCGTTTTTGCCCACAACATTCCATGACAAGCATATTCTCCAGAATTAGACCAACTTAACAGTTCGAACTCTTTTTCATGTTCATCTCATTTTAACATTCTAATAGATATGTCTGTTAAATATTCTGTTAAATATTCAATAATTTCCATGTTAGATTATAAATCTCAATTGATTTTTTCTGATAAATTAATTTTTGGTTTGTAAGAGAAACACTGGCTTGATTTTTAAACAATGAGTTTCAACATTGCATAAAATCATTTCCTTATTATCATATTTCTTGTATTATCACTTTGAGCTCTCAATTTTTACCTGGAGTTGAATATTTTACCTTGAGCTCTCAATTTTTACCTGGAGTCCAAGTTGTTGGTGCAGCAACTGCATTGGAAGCACTAATTTTATGCGCATATCTAATGAGGTCCTCTGATGATATTGCTTTAGCTTTTGCCTGTGCCATGGAATGTAGTTTCTGTTTGGCCTGATAGATGGCAGTAGCCTACAAAAAAAACAAATCATAGTAAGCATATATAGGTCTGCCACAGGGGAGGGGGGAGATTTCCGCAGCACTGAATGAGCACATGCTCATGATTGTTCCTGTGATCACATCCTGCAATTTGATTGGATGTCATATAATGGGGAATCCCCAAATACGATAGAATATGAAAGAATTGTGGGAGCTACTCACTTCTTTTGGGTCTGCCACTAGTTAACAGGCCTGTCAACTTGGGAACACCTAACATGAGTGACTTGGAAATGTTGAACACCTCCCCTCAAAATGTGGACACCTTGGTCCAAATCTGAGGTACGAAAAATCTCGAACGGAATGCGTGACATATACGTAATTCGCGTGAAAAGTCCGAACGAAATGCGTACATTTTTTTCCGGCGTTCGTATTTTTTCTGTGTAGACGATCTTTTTTAGAAATTTTTCTACAGAAACATTTTTGCTTGACAATTACCAGGTAAAATGCGTATTTGCGTGACATTTTCTGTCACGCAAAAATAACTGGCGTGACTTCAAATTCTTCAGCAAATGCGTGACAAATACGCAAATTGCGGGACAGTTGACAAGCCTGAGTTAATGGAGACACAGTATGAAATTCTGAGTTAAGGGCTGACGGGAAAAAGTAAGCCCACAGGATTGAACCCACAAAAATTAAAAATTAAAAACTAAAGACAAAACATTAATTTCAAATCAAATGTAAATAAAAGCAAGAGTATATTTTTTAACCATCAAGACTACACGATAGGTTAGACTCAAATCTTAAAGAAAAAGAAAGTTAAGGGGAAAATGAGGAAAAATAAAATAAAATAAAATGGTAATATAAAGCATACCAGCATATTCTCTGCTTCCTTTAAGTTCTTTTGCAATCTGTTCATTTCATGGTCTCTCTTGTCAACCTCTGCCTGAAATCAGTGACAAAAATGTGATGGATGGGTCATTCATATTGAGGGTAAATAACAGAACAATACTGTACTTCTACTTAATTTGGTGCTACTTATTTTGGCGGATTTGCTGTTTTGAACATTTGGCGGCTACTTTTGGCCTACTTGCAATATTACAATGCACTAATAGTACTAATTTACATGGTACTAAAATTACCAGGGATTTGGTGACTTATTTAGCAGACTTTAACAATTTGGCAGATCTGCCAAATCAAATTTGCTGCCAAATTAAGTAGAAGTACAGTAACATGACAAAATCTTACCAATGGGTTGGAATTACAAAATTTTAACCATTTGTTACTAATGGGAAATAAAACTTAAAGGAACATATGAGAAATTATTCTTACTTACTTTTACTATATTATTTGATATGATTCTATGGTTTTTTAAAGAAATATTTTTCATCATCAAGCGACTATAAAGAATTCATATGGCAAGATTCACATTAACATTACATGGAAAGACTGGGGGAAAAACTATGAAAAGTGACAGGTATCAAGCCCTAAGAAGGTAACATATACAGGGTGGTCCATAAAGCGAACCCTGAAGCAAGCTTTATCTCAGTTGTTACCCGCACTAATGGGCTAATATTCTCACATTTTTGAGAGGAAGGTCTAAACTTTTTGTAGGTCCCATAAATTTTGTAGGTCTTAAATCTTCAGTTTGTACCATAAATAAATGGGTTGTCAATTTTCTATCACCATTTCCTAAGCATAGTGGTTTGAAAGCCCAGACCAAAGTTTCCAATATTGTCCAGATACATATCCCTAAAATTTTTATATTTTACATTTTGTAAACTCTCATCCACTGATGTATGGCCTACTGAAAATTCTCTTATTTTTAACATGGGAAATCCTCACTTCAGCCCGAACTTCAGCTGACTTTATCTATGGTCCAAACTGTAGGGGTATTTTGTATTTCAAATGCATTTTCTTAATTTTCAAGAAAAAAGTTGTATCTTAAGTTTTGTGAGTGATACTTTTTGCTAGATCAAACAAACATATTCATTCCACCCTAGCTTATTCCAACAATACATTCAAAGATTGACCCGCACTTAAACAAATGTAACAAAACGAACACCAGAAGCTGTTTACCTGTATGGCATCCATTTTCTTTTGAACTTCACCTTGTTCTTTTGCTACTTTGAGTGCATCTTGAATTTTTGCATCTTTGTGAATGAGAAGGTCTAAGAGTTCTTGTGTTTCAGGGGTATCTGGAGTCTTTGAACCTTTGGGTATTGAGATCACTTCAAACAACTCTCTGAAAAAACATAACACAATACAGTAGTACATATGTATTTACCGAGGGATATGCCTTGTATCCAAAATCGAGCATTCAATAACTGATTTATCCTATTCTTAGTAGATTATGAGAATTAAATATGTATTGCATGTTAGGGAACCCTAATGTAATAATTATAAACAATAATTACAATCAAAAGATGAATATTATATCTCAATTTTAAAGTCCTCAACAACTTAAAAAAAAAACTCAACAGCTTTTATTAACATTTAACAGTGTATGAAATTAATATTTATCAAAAAATAGAGTCAAACTGTATCCCGGGAATTCCAAAAAGAACCATAAGAAATTCCCAGGGATTGCTGATGAGCGGATGATTCTGCTCACCTCAGCAGGAGATATATGTATCACCCGCTCTATTTTTTTATGACCGCTATTTTTGTTTCAGACAATTTTCTAAAATTAGAAAGATTGTATCAGTTAGAGCAATATTTTGGGCACATTTTCTCAAAAGATTCTGTTCAGTAACCTTTTCTGAGGGGCTACTTTTTCTATTATCCAGTCACATTTTCAGAGGGCTGAAAAAGTTAGTTCATCATGTTAAGGGTCATTCTGACCATGTACATTGTGATCCTGGTCATGTAAATGATATGTGGAACTAGTTAAACTGACTGGAGGTCAAAACAAAAGTCTATTATCTTTGTTCAAAAAAGTCTAAAATGAAGCATGTTTTGTCACTTCCTATTTTGTCATTTCCTGTTAAGTACCATGGCACCTTAAACATCCAAGACAAAAATTAGTAAAAACATATAATCATCATCATCATCATCATCAGATTCTGAGCTTGTAGGTCTTAACTAACAGTCCTGTTAATGCTCAGATCTTTATTATTCATAGTTCATATTCAATTAAACTATATCATAGTGGTAAGTTTGCCAAAATCTGTCTAGCCTCCCTTTAAACTGATCTACACTGTCAGACATCACAATCATCTCGGGAAGGCTGTTCCAGTCATCAATAACCCTGTTGCTGAAGGAGTTTCTTCTCACAGTAGTGTTGCAGTGATGCTTGCATAGCTTCAAAGAATGCCCTCTGGTGGTAGTGGTAGCCTTAGTAAAGAAGGAGCTTGGCTCTATTGTGTCGATTCCATTCATGATTTTAAAGACTTGGATCATGTCGCCCCTTCTGCGTCTATATTGAAGTGAATGTAGCTTTAGCTCTTTCAGTCTTTCTTGGTAGGGCTTATCCTTTATTCCAGGTATTAATTTAGTAGCTCCTCTTTGTATTTGCTCTATTTTTCTGTTATCGCCTAAGAATCTTGGATGCCAGATGCTATTTCCGTAGTCTAGAATTGGTCGGATCATGGATTTATACAGTGGAATTATATTTTCCTTTATGTGTGTGAAACTCCTTTTAATAATACCTAGTTTACTATTGGCTTTCTTAGCTACTTGACTAATATGTTGCTTAAACTTTAGTTCAGTGTCCATGATCACTCCTAAGTCCTTTTGTTCTGACACTGATTCAATCTCTTTATCATCAAGTTTATACTTATGGTTCGTATTCATATTCTTTCTGCCTAGGTTTAGCACTTTGCACTTTTTTTGATTGAATCTCATTTGCCATTTATTTGACCAGTCTGTTAGAGTGTTTATATCTTGTTGGAGACTTTGCCGCTGTTCCTCAGTTTCACTTACTCCGTATAGTTTAGTATCATCCGCAAAAATCTTTATCGAGTTCCTGATCTTGTCTGGAGCATCGTTGATGTATATGATGAACAGGGACGGCCCCAAAACGGTTCCTTGAGGTATTCCGGAGGCCACTGGCTTTGGTGAGGATGTGCTAGTGTTAACTTTCACTGTCTGTGTCCTGTTTGTAAGAAAACCTCTTATCCACTGAAGTACATTGCTGTGACAAACAAGAAAATGCAGCAAAACTCCTCGAGTCGAGGTCTCCAAGTCAAAAAAATGCCTGACCCTCTTATCTGTTGATTATCCTGTTTATAACTGATTCAAGAGCGTTGCACTGAACGAACCTATATGCCAATTTGTTATTTGTTTAGTTGTTGGTTGGGTAACATGTTTATGACGTCACAAATGATGCGAAGAATCTTTAAACCAATCAGTGAAGTCTATGTTGATTGTTTGTTTAGTTGTTGATGCGGCAATACGTGTCTGACGTCACAGGTGATTGCATCATATTCCAGTCACGCCATTTTACGACATTGCATAATTTTAGCTGATTTTGGCTTCATTTCACTTTATTTGAAAGACTTTTAAAAATATAATAATGAGTCAGTATTTTTTCTAATAAATATTAATATTTGAATTTGAGGTCAAAGTTCGAAAATTTTATCAACTGATTGAAATCACATTTTGAAGAGGTGAAGAATTGAATAATTACAGGAGCAAACGTGATCAATGGTTCGAGGTCTCCCGCAAAGTAGTCGCTAGGCTCCTACTTCGCGCTGCCTTCGGCAGAGGAGACCTCGAAAAAAAAACTTATCCGTCATTCGGGAGATTTCTAGCAGATGTAAATGCATGTAAATAAAATCAAGTGGGCGATAATGTGTTTGTTTTGAATATGCAAAATTAAGACTTCAAAAATGACCATCTAAACATGTTCAACATACTCTAGATTTAAAATCATATAAAACTAATGTCTAATCTATCGAAAAACACAAGCGTATTTACTTTGTGATTATCTCTACGTCTTCTATGAGTGAAAACAGCTCCTGTTTTGTAGAAGTCATTTTATTTTGTAGTTCCAATTCTGCTCACATGAATTGAAGCGCCACCTGGCGAGTGTCAATTTTGGGGAAAATGATTTATTGAAATATCTCCACATTTGTAACGATTTCTGTCAATATAAAGGATTATGGCGGACGAAAGGAAATTCAGAGATTTCAAGAGGGGATTGAGCAAACCTGGAATGGCTGCGCAAGTTCGAGAAGAAGTCTCACAAGTCATCAGGCAGAGTTCAAATCAGGTGGGTACATTTTTGGAATTTTTTCTCCTTCCTCTCAAGTTTCTGCTGAAGTGAGAAGCGGATCATTAATTTTAACAGAACTTGCATAAATTAGTATAATTCAAGTAAATTAGTCTATCTTTGATCTACCTTGGAGTCAGAGTTAAGGTTACTTCTAAAAAAGTTACTCATACCTTACAAAAAACTCATTGACCATTTGCAAGATTAGAGCCTATAAGGGAGTTTTGTCACATAATCACGTCAGGTGGTAATACATTTTCACGTTGCACGTTACTAATCAGAATTACTTTAACGTTTCACGTCCTTAATCATCAAAAAATTACATTCACGTTTCACGAAGATCAAATATCATTACTACTATTTATTATCACAGGCTGGTATCGAAAGATTTGTCCGCTGTGACGGAGCATGCTATTTTTCATATAAACACTAAGAATGCTTGACGATTTATGTTTTAACTCATATGTTTCGTTATATCAAAGATAATTACTTACTCCATGCAATGGATATATCATTTGCGTGTAACCTTCACTTCTGTTTGAAGTCCAATAACGCTAGGAGTAAAATCTATTGAAAACGGCGCCAGAGTATCAAACTCTAAAATGTACCATTTCTTTTTTAACTTTTTAATGGCATGACATAGTGACACGATAATATTAACATATGTTTTAAGCATAACTCTGAATGTATTAATGAGATATTAATGCATTGGGTCTTTTTATTTTTTTTAATAAAAAATAATATTAATATTTTTTGTCCGCTGTGACGGAGCATTTTCACAGTTCACATTTGCAATTGCTCCGTCACAGCGGACAAAAAAATTAAACATAACTTATTATAAAAGAATTAAAAAGACCAAATACATCAACATTTCATTTATACCTTCATAGTTATGCTGAAACCATGTGTAAATATTATCGTGTCACTATATCGTGCCATTAGAAAGTTAAACAAGAAATGGTACATTTTGAAGTATGATACTCCGGCGCCATTTTCAATAGCTTATCTTCCAAGCGTAATTGGACTTCAAACAGAAGTGAAAATTACCCGCAAATGATATATCCATTGCATGGAGTAAGTAATTTTGTATGGTATAACGAAACATATGAGTTAAAAAATAAATCGTGAAGTATTCTTAGTTTTTATATGAAAAATAGCATGCTCCGTCACAGCGGACAAATATTTCGATACCAGCCTGTGATTATATATATTTCTACTAAGTCTTTTTTCTCGACCAATGGAAATAGAAGAAAAGAAATTAAAATATTAAAATATCCTGATGGCATTACACCTCTCTTATGTTAATCTTTGTCGCATTTTGTAACTGGTGTTCTGATTGGCTCAAAACAGAAAAGTTTATAAATGGGAACTAATTACTTTTGAGTTAACAAAGTCGACAAATAAGATGTATCACAAAAGCGAACGTAGGATCGCCAAACAAAGTTTCATTTATTCTGAAAATGAAGCATGAAATAACGAGACTTAACAGTGTAACAAAGGTCTCATAATTCAAAATACGATCATTTTTTACTGTCAAAATTGTAATGAATGTGCAAAATGAAAGATAAATAGTGATTCAAGTTTGAGTTTAGGAGAGAGCTGGTATAGGCCTGGGACCCTCAATAACAAGTCTCTTTTACAGCCTAGCTGTAGTGGACAGCCCCTTTGACTCGAGTAGTAGACTGTCAAACTTTGGAGGGTCCTGGGTTTGACTCCCGTATGGGGCATTGAATTAAGCACACTTTTTATGTCTAGTATTTGGCTCACTATACTACAGTTTCTCGGATGAGGGTGCCCAGAGTCGTTACAGTATTTATCATAGATTTGATGAAGCAGTGAAAATCACATGAGATTTATTTGAGCAAAATGCGCTTATGAATAACTTATGCAACATTTTCAAAACTATGCCTATGTACTTATGTTCAGAATTCTCAAGTTCTATACATGTTGTTTTTATGGATTTTTCTATTTTGACAAATATCTTTTTGCATCTTCAAATATTTTTATCGCATCTTCAAAAATTGTTCCTTAAAGAAACTTTTCCTGCTTCTCAGACAAACAACCACATTTATTTCAGCAAAAAAACTTAATGATAAATATTGAAAAAGTTACGATAATATTGAATATACATTTCATAGTTTTGTTTGTAAACCCTTCGTGTTTTCATCATTATATGTTACAGTTCAGTTCAAAATCAACCAAAATATACCTATTTTCTGGTTAGATACTCATTTCCAACAGATTGCAAATTAGATTTCAGGTAGATTTTAGTTATATTAAAATCCCAAGTTGGTTAAGCACTAACATGTTTTAACACTGAGGAGATTCATGCATTGATACTTGAGCATCTTTGGCATTAGCATCGTTAATTCAAATACTATATAGAAAAAATTAATGTACAGTTACTAGTTAATCCTTTAATTCAGTGGAATATCTTGGTAATGCCTAGGTCACATTTACTTCAAATCGTTGGCCAGTGCACGGCCGATTGAGTATTTTTTTTTTCACGGCTGATTGAGTATCCTGTTCACAATTGTGAAGTTTTGAACAGAATACTCAAATGCCGGATGCCGGCCGATGAATCGGGGCAAATGTGACCAAGCCATTAGTGGACCACCTCCATAAAGGAAATTTTGCTAAGCCCCTTTACTTAAAGTAGAACACCTCCAAAGTAGAACACTATTTTGAAGAATCAAAGGTTTTTCACTTATACAAGTTTTACTGCGTATACATTTTGACATAGTCATTGTTATGGACCATTCATGTTTATATCTGTATTTTTCATATCCTAGAATCAGGAGTCCCACCCTATTGACTAATTAATGACTAGGCTCAATCTATAGAAAACAACCAGTAGAAACATACATTATGTTTACCTAAAATAGTTGAACTTTGCCTTTGTGGTTTTGTGGCTATACCCTCCAGTTTCCCTTACAAATAAGAAAACTATTTACAAATATGCCAAATCAAACAAACCAAAGATTGTTACACAACTATTTGAAATATTTTTATAGCCATACGCATACATATATACCAGTGATCTAATCCAGGCATATTTCAACTATTGGTTTTTAAAACAATGCATTATTTTTCTAAAAAAACAAACATATTTTCTCTTCCTCTGAGTGCTTTAGGCAATAATGACTGAGTATGAGGTCAATATGGCTTTTCTAATATATCTTGTAAAAATTGTTTGAGATGAGATTGACTTTTAATGCTTCATACTATCACACATTTATTTGGATAAAGATAGTCATTATATTTTATTGACTTGATCGTAGTACTCTATCTGTTATTGTCTGCTGAAATATATAACTGAATTTGTGTGGGGGTGTATTATCATTTGAGATACATGTAAGTGTATTATCATTTCAAAATACATCTAATTGAAAGATAACAGAGACATATGCTTGGCTGTTGATATCTTTGTGCTGATATCATTTTGATTAGCTCTATCTATTAGAAGACCAGTATTATAGGGATATCCTATAGTTTTGAAAAATATTTATATTCATTAGTGGATATTGATATCTTCATGAGTGAATTATGTTACTTTTTGAAACCATTGAATATCACTAAGAAGTAATATTCAATGGTTTGGGGCTTTTTTGCTAAAATATGATATTTAGATCCTAAAATATGATATCTAGATTTAGCTGCATAAGAAGCATCAGGTTCAAATGTAACTAACTATCCATTCAGAAAAAATTCTGCAATGAAATTGAACATTTACCATCTTTATTTATGAAAGTACTTTTGCAAACAGTCATAATCTTTTTGAGGTACGTAATACGTATCTGTGTAAACCACTTTTAAAACGATTATCAAATAGACTGTTAATTTAAAGAAAAAGACTTAGATCATATTTATCATGTATTCTGGTCGTTTTAAGGCAATACACAATAAATGGATTAAAATTGTTGGTACATAGGGGTTTTCCCATTCCGGGTTTTAAGACAATATACAATAAATGGATTAAAATTGTTGATACATAGGGGTTTTCCCATTCCAGGTTTTAAGACAATATACAATAAATGGATTAAAATTGTTGGTAAATAGGGGTTTTCCCATTCCAGCCAGAGGCAAAGTCTCAATGGATGTAACTGAAATGTTCATTATGCTGAAAAGGCAAAAACACAGATGGTGTCTCTTTAAACAATCAACTAATGAAAATAATACTGTAGATTGGGTTAATTTGGCGCCCGCTTTAATTTGGCGAATTTGGCGAAATTGAAAAATTCGCCATTATAAATCTTCGCCAAAATTTAGAATGAATCCCCGGGAATTATCTAGGGTATTTAGTCCAGTGTATTTAGGTCACTTCCGGTTTAGTTTTTTCAAAAATATGAAAAGTCTCTCATAAATTGGCTCAGAACTGGTCAGTCACTCATTAATACTCAGGGAAAAACTGGAGAGGAAAAGCATGGTATAGTAGCAGCATCGATTGAGGTGCAAAATGTAAAGGATGATCTGACAAAAATGTGCAAACTTGGTGAATATCGCCAGTTGTCCTCAAAAGAAAAAATCAACATAGCCAAACATGCATGACCGCCAAATTAAATAGCCGCCAATATGCCAAAAATGGAAAAATCGCCAAATTAAGTAGCGCCAAATTAACCCAATCTACAGTAATAGCTAAACAAACCACAAAAAGACCTCATATGGCAAAGCGATTCAGTGATCTCCAAAGGATATTTTCTCAAGTGGGTGCAAAATTCTCATTTTCACAATTCAGACCAAAATTGGTCAAAATATAATAATTTTTCTCACTTTCAAGTGGGTGCAAATGGATTTTTAGGTGGTTGCAAGCCTATTTCCAAAATATCAGGTGGGTGTTGCACCCACTTGCTAAAATCCTGGGGAGATCACTCCATTTATATCATTACTATACAATGTTGATCTATTTGGAGAATTCCCTTTTGTTGATAATACAATTCAATTAGCAAAAACAAGTTTATAAAACACATGAATGAAGAGGATGAATATGAGGAAAACACTTG